AGCTCCATAAATGAAGAAAAAGATCGTCATTTGTGAAAAGGCTTTTTATTTCATCAAAATTCTACTGAAGTCTTCACGCAAGCACAGAGATCTCAAAACTGAGATCGAACTGGAATTTTGAGTTGTGAGCTGTAAGCTGTTAGCTGTTAGCTGTTAGCTGTTAGCTGTAAGCTGTTAGCTGTTAGCTGTTAGCTGTTAGCTGTTAACTGTTAGCTGTAACCTGCTAGCTGCTAGCTGTTAGCTGTTAGCTGTTAGCTGTTAACTGTTAGCTGTAACCTGCTAACTGCTAGCTGTTAGCTGTTAGCTGTTAGCTGTTAGCTCCATAGTTCACGAAAAGTATTGTCATTTAGTGAAAAGGCAATTTTTGATTGCATCAAATCATCACGCAGAGTAATGATTTCAGAAAAGTTTTTACGAATCGAAAAATAAAGCATTTTAAAAGTCGATGTGCCTTCCAATTTGGCTAAAAAGGCAAAAGAAATATTTTGAAATTCAATTCATCGATTTTTTTTCTCTAGAAGTGCTTCAGGGCTAAAAGCTCTGATTGTGAGTATTGATTTTACCCAAAAAATTCATCAATTTAACAACCATTTCCGCATTTGCCCATTTCCCCTTTACCTAAGCATGTAGACAAAAGTGACGGTGTCGGAAAAAATGGTGTGAAACGTGGTGAACTCCTCCTTATTCTCTGGGTCGACGATCAGGCTCGAATTTGACCTTAAAAATAACTTATAAAACTTTTGCACTAAATTTTTATCCCATCTGGATGTCACGGCATCAATCTACGAAAAAGCCCAATGTACTGTACAGACAAAAAGTCGTGTTCACCGTAAAGCAACGCACTCACCGCTCTAAAATCGTTAAAATCAAATGTAGACCGGTTGAGACGAGATAGGACGTAACTATGGCCAGCATCGTATACATTGCCGATCGAACCTGAAGGAAACGGTAATTTTGTGTCTGCTTGCTAAACTGTGCTCAAACTACCGTATCCCTACACTCAAAAATTTGTGCCCCAGCTACCGTAAACTAGTGCAATCACTAGTGTGCGCTCCAGATCGGCGAAAAAAAGCGCTAACTTTTCAATCCAGTGCTAATCGGACCTATTATCATGGTGCAAGACTGTTTTACTCTTGAATCACCTTTCTACCGTAATCCTATTCCTAATTATGAATTCTGTGACCTCCATAGTTGCCTAAAACTACCGTACTTTTTCTCTCTAATCGACTAGAAGTGCTGAAGATCGTTAGATCTCTATTTTTGGCTTTAATTTCATTCTCTCAACTTCTCATCGATCACTTTGAAGAAAACCCATTGTCCAAGGATATCTCTCTTTAAAAAAATTTCGATATTTTTCTTTTTCAGCTTGTTTTATATACCTGTACACTGTTTGTTTTCAATGCTGGGAACAGAGCGACAAACGAGGCTGAAATTAGTCATTTCTTGACGAAATTCCGCGAAAACTCTCGATTTTTTGATCGTTCTTTGGAAATAAATTCATTTTTTGATTTTTTTATGCCAAATGCACTTGATTTTTGGATTTCTTAGAGTTGAAAAGCTTTGAATAACATACTGGGTTTGAAGTCCAAATCTCAGAGCCAAGGCTAGGTCGAGGCCGAGACTAAGACCAAGGCCAAGGCTAGGTCAAGGCTAGGTTAAAGCCAAGGCCATACCAAGACCAAGGCTAGGTCAAGACTAGGCCAAGGCTAGGTCAAGGCTAGGTCAAGGCTAGGATAAGATCAAGGCTAAAACCAAGGCCAAGGCTTGACCAATGCTAGGTCAAGGCTAGGTCAAGACTAAGCTAAGATCAAGGCTAAGACCAAGGCCAAGGCTAGGCCAATCCTAGGTCAAGGCTAGGTCAAGGCTAGGCTAAGATCAAGGCTAAGACCAAGGCCAATGCTAGGTCAAGGCTTGGCCTACCGGATAGATGAGCCATTTTTCAATCGAAGACTGAAATCCCGTATTCTGTTTAAAGCTTATCTACTAAAAATCCAAAAATCAACTCAAATTCGATGTTGAATCAAGTCCTCAAAGTTTCGATCTCAAAAATCGATAGCTAAACCCTTTAAAACTAAATTTATACAAGTTTTACAAGATTTCTTTAAATAAAACACAGCAAACGAATGACTTTTTCTATATAAAACAGATGGAAACATAGGGAAAATCTGCTGACGGGGTTTTTGAAAAAATTTCTTAGATTCCTTTTAAAACTCACTTGGATTTTCTTTATTCTGGATGGCACAGGCTCTTCTGGCTCAAAATACTGTGTCTACTGGCCTGACCTGGCCTGGCCGACCATAAACTAACCCTAGTCAGGCCTTAGCTGGCCCGTAACTCCTTAGGCCTTAGCTGGCCCGGCCCTTAACTAGCCCGTAACTCCTTAGGCCTTAGCTGGCCCGTAACTTCTTAGCCCGTAGCTCGACTTGAATGGCTTTGATCTGGCCCTGGTCCACGTTTGGTTTTGGCCTGGTTTGGCCTAACCATGATATAATATCGGATATAAATTTACCGGATCAGATCAGATCTTTGGATTAGATCGAATTCTCGAAGCTTTGAACGGCAGGGTCTAGACTCCAAATCCTAGACCAAAGGCTAGACCAAGACCAAAGGCTTGGCCTACAGTAGACCTACAGTAGACCAGTTATTCTTCAAACCAATGCCCAACTCCTGTATGCTGTGAAGCTAATCAACTACTAGAAATCGAAAAATCAACTCTAATTCCATATTCAATCAAGTCCTCAAAGTTTCGATCTCAAAAATCGAGAACTAAAATCGAGAACTAACCAAGTCTACCAAAGTTTACAAAAGTTTACACAAGTTTTTACACGATTTTTTCAATTAAACACAGCAAACATATGAATTTTTCTATATAAAACAGAAGAAAACATAGAGAAAATCTGCTGACGGGGTTTTGAAAAATTTCTCAGATTACTTTCAAAACTCACTTGGATTTTCTTTATTCTGGATGACACAGAGCTCTTCTAAATGATCAGAAAAGAGTTTAGATGATTTTGAAAATTTTTATTCTGATCTCACTTGACTTACAGGTTTACCACTGGGTTTTTGACAAAAGCGTGGTTAAGAAAAGCACTCACGCGATCGACTGCCTGCCTTCGTCTCCGTACCGTAATCCCCGTAGGTAACCGCCAGCGTGTTCAGCGTCGACTTGCAGAATTGCTGCTTCTGCTCCGACTTTGTCTGATCCTCGTGCAACTTGAAGACGATCACCTAAATTTACATTTATTTACATTTTATTTAAACATTGTGACATCCAGATATGTGATTTTTAAAATCATCCATGCTCCTGCATTTGCTCTACACTAAAAATTAGCTCAATCTCAAAAATTTCTTTATGCTCATCGATTCTACTGTTTTATGAGCGGTTAAATATCAAAATTTAAAAATTCATAAATCCTGGATAGCACAGCGATGATTTTTCAATCTAGATCTTCGTTTTGAAACTTTTTTAAAATATTGTTGAGTCGACTCACCCCGTTGAGTAAAAAGAGGATGACAAACGGGACGAGCGATTGTCCAAATGATAAGAAATAGTAATCAAAAACATAGTATCCCGATGCGAGCAATGTTGGCTCTATTGTCCAATCAGCTGGCTCTGTCAACTTTGTTCGGAGGAAAATTGGGCAGTCCGGGTAGTCGGCGACTGAAAAGTGATAAATGATAAATGTTTTTAAAAACTTCCTGTTTTCCACAACAAAATTAGAGCTTAGATTGGACCTATTGGCCTTAGATTGACATTGCCTAGCCTTAGCTAGTCCCTAGCTAGCCCTAGCTAGCCCTAGCTAGTCCCTAGCTAGCCCTAGCTAGCCTTAGCTAGCCCTAGCTAGCCCTAGCTAGTCCCTAGCTAGTCCCTAGCTAGCCCTAGCTAGCCCTAGCTAGTCCCTAGCTAGCCCCTAGCTAGCCCTAGCTAGTCCCTAGCTAGCCTTAGCTAGTCCATAGCTAGCCTTAGCTAGAATCTGGCTTGATTTCCTTGGATTTTGACCGTCTACGAGTTCGGACAAGCCAGGACAAGACAAGAAAAGCTAAGACAAGCCAGGCCCGCAAGGCCAAGCCTACAAAGCTCTTGGACCGGCCATAGGCCTGAATCTATTGATCTTTACCTAATCTGGTCTCAATCTGGGTCTGTTGGCTTTTCCATCAGCTCATCAGAACTTGGTTTGTCCGAAGCCCGGTCTAGGGCCTAGATCTAAACCCGAAGCTAGAGATTGACCTGCTTGACTTGCTTGACTGATTCGGATGCCCTGTTTACAGGCCCCAGGACCCAGTTGGACCATTCAGAAGAAGACAACTACTCTAGAATCCATTTCCCACTCACCCTTAAGCGCCCAGAAAGTCGGCAATCGTGACACAATACAAAAAGCCAATGATAGAAAAAGTGTCCACTGGCGACCCGTTCGACTATACATTTTTTGCAAGAATTCACTCCGCCTGAAAATTGAATTGAATTGAATATAATTAAATGTAAATTCTGATTAAATAAAAAACTAATCAAAGAAAATGTTAGAAATTGAAATAAAAGAAGTTAATTGAAATCAGAAAATGTTTCTAGTACCTGAAGTTTGAGTTGCTAGAAAAATTTTGTTTTTAGAAAAGTTTTAGAAAAGAGCTACAGTACTGGACAATGAAATATGATATTTGAAAAAAAGATCGTCACTTTCGCGCGTCTGTAACTCCCTTGTCTTTAACGTATTTCTAAATATTAATATTACCATTGTGTAGCCATTGAAAAGAGCTTTCAGAAAATGTATAACACTAATAGTTTATGCTCAAAGACAACGAAGTTACAGACGTGCGAACGTGACGATCTTTTTTTTCAAATATCATATTTCATTGTCCAGTACTGTCCAGTACTGTACTATCCAGTGCGTTCCAGATTGTGAATTTTCGAGGAAAACTCACGTTTTCCCGGCAGTTATCCAAACAAAACGCTCGAGAGTCGCAAAAAATGAGCATGTAGCTGAAGAATGCTTTTGACTTCAATGCTTTCGACATTAAAATGAACACTTACGGAATGGCCAATTGCGCGATTCGACTCGCGACAAAGGCTGGGATGATGTATAAGTAGTAGAGGACGAAGAGACTCTGTAATTTCATCGTTATTTAAAGTTTTGATGACTTCTGTTTAAAGCAAATGATATGAGAAAGCTTTTGACGAAGTTTTTCATTTTGATTCTAGATTGTTTGCTGATTTTGTTAGGTTTAGATTTGATTAGATTCAATCGTTAGTTAAAGGCTACCTCTGTTTTTGCATAGATGATGATGGCATCGATTCCGAATATCAGCACGTAGACTGTGCAAATGATCGCATCAAGAACAGCAATCGCTAGAAATACAATAGATTACAATCGATTTAGCTTTATTTGAGATAAAAATCTTCTCTACTGTATATAAAGGAAAAGAAACGTCTGTCTGTTCGTCTGTCTGCCTGTTCGTCCGTCTGTTTGTGCGCAGTCATTAGCAAGAAAAGATTAGGGGCTTAGAATACGTGAACAAACGTTAGTGAACGTTAGTGAACGTTAGTGAACGTTAGTGAACGTTAGTGAACGTTAGTGAACGTTAGTGAACGTTAGTGAACGTTAGTGAACGTTAGTGAACGTTAGTGAACGTTAGTGAACGTTAGTGAACGTTAGTGAACGTTAGTGAACGTTAGTGAGCTATCTAATTCATTCAATAGACAACCTGATGGATAATGAGTAGGCGGAGTGGATGGACATTGTCTTGTTGCAAATATTTGAACCTAAAAAAAAGATCTATAAAAATTTTATCATTACCAACTTTCTATCATAAATATCTTGATGTTTAACTTTTCAATTTCAATCGTTTCAATCGTTTCAATCGTTTCAATCGTTTCAATCGTTTCAATCGTTTTTTTTTCTATTAGAGACATAAACATTAGGCTAGAGGCATTGATATAAAGAAGATTGAATCCAATAATATTCCTAGATCACATACAATGATCAATGATCATACAATGATCATACAAAGATCATACAAAGCTACAAAGATGATACAAAGATTAGAAAGCTTAACACTAAGAAACTTCGAGCTTAAATTTTAGCAATGATAAAATAGCAATGATAATATGAAAGGGGCGAGCGATAAATTGCTCCTTTTTTCTTACAAACCAATAAAATATTCGCTGCAATCCCAGCAGCTGCAATCACTGTCGCGCAAAGGATGAATGAGAAACGAATCGCTGTATATGGTTCATACTAAAAAAAAAAGATATAATAATTAATAATAAATCTCGATGATAATTAATAAATAAATTGTAATCTTTCTAGCATTTACTAGCATTTACTAGCATTTACTAGCATTTACTAGCATTTACTAGCATTTACTAGCATTTACTAGCATTTACTAGCATTTACTAGCATTTACTAGCATTTACTAGCATTTACTAGCATTTACTAGCATTTACTATTACACTCTGTCAAAAAATTATAGACGCACCCTGTTTTTTTGCTAGTTTAGAGCCGGATATAAGTGCTAGTCCAGTGAAAAGTATTTTTTAGTTTCTTTAATGTAAAAAAAAACAACCCATGCAAAATTTCAAGTCATTTGCACTCATCCAAAGTACTTTATCGTACAAAAAACGTTTTATCAGCTGTCAAAAAATTATAGACGCAATTTTATTTGACGATTTATTCTATCGATAATTGTTAGATTTTTGCTTATTAGTTATGTTTATAAATGTTTTTTTTTCATTTTCAGATATGCTACTTGGAAAACAACTGGATGTGGTGGAAAAAAAAGCGTATCGATGTGCTCCCCACGCTTGGTCACTCAAACAAGGACATTGCTCGTCGCATCGGACGTTCTGAGAAGTGTATTCGCACGTATCTCAAGACCAAAGTGACTCCTAAGAAGAAAGAAACACGGGGCCGGAAGAAAAAGTCCAAGAAAAAAAGATCAAGACGAACGCGCAACTACGAAACGTCTTTCCAACACGACGACATCACTCGAAGAGGTTCGCAAGGAGATGAAGCTTCCGATCACTCGCCAAACTGTGCACAACGTTGTCAAACGATCTTCAATACTCAAATATAAACTCATGAAGTAATATGAGCTTATTTGACGATTTATTCTATCGATAATTGTTCATTTTTTCTCATTGTTATTTTTATTTCTGTTAACTTTTTTCTTGATAAAATAAAAGTGCGTCTAAACTAACAGTTTGACTACGGTAGTTTTCTCAAATAAATTTCTCCACTTGCAGCCCAGACTTGAACCCGATTGAGAATGTGTGGGGGACACTCGTTCGAGATGTCTAGAAGGGAACCCAGCAATATTCGAGCGTGAATGAACTCAAGTAGCCTGAAATCGGCTTCAGCCAACAGTGGTCTTCAGCACGAGAAACTTCGGAGGTGGATCATGTATGGTATGGGGAGCCTTTCGAGACGGTGAACTGGTCGGCTTAGAGTTTATTTCGACCCGGATGACATCGCACAAAATGGGCACTGTCGCTTGGCCCGCTTGCAGCCCAGACTTGAACCCGATTGAGAATGTGTGGGGGGCACTCGTTCGAGATGTCTAGAAGGGAAACAAGCAATATTCGAGCGTGAATGAACTCAAGAAAGCCATTCAAGTAGCCTGGAGTCGGCTTCAGCCAACAGCGCTCCATGACCTTGTCTCTTCGATGCCGAGACGTCTTTTTTGAAGTTGGACTAAAGCAAGGAGATGCCACACATTATTAATTTATTTGGTTTGTGTTGTTATTTTTATTTCTCTTAACTTTTTCTTGATAAAATAAAAGTGCGTCTATAATTTTTTGACAGCTGATAAAACGTTTTTTGTACGATAAAGTACTTTGGATGAGTGAAATGACTTGAAATTTTGCATGGGTTGTTTTTTTACATTAAAGAAACTAAAAAAATACTTTTCACTGGACTAGCACTTATATCCGGCTCTAAACTAGCAAAAAACAGGGTTCGTCTATAATTTTTTGACAGAGTGTATTCAAATCTCTCTCACCGGTGCACAAACATCGGCCAATTGCGCGAAACTGCTTGTGCTAGTTGCAAGCGTTTCGCTTAACTCCATAAAAGTAGATCTGAAAGATGTGAAATAGAGTAAAAAGAAGTTAAAAATTAAAACTGAAATTGAAAAGAGCTCAAAAAAAATGAGAAAAAATGAGAAAAAAATGATCATTCAGTCAATGAAACTTTGAAAAACCTTTTTTTTTTTTTTATAAACTAATACCCTCTTCTATTTACATCTACAACTTTTATGCACTCCAGAATTTGTGAAAAAAATGAGCAAAATCCGGGAAAAGAGTTGACGAGCCTGGGAAATGAATGAGATGAGAGTGAAATTCGAGATGTCTAGCTAGCCTAGCTAGCCCTCTTTACCCGTCGTCAAAATTTCAGTTGAGTGCCAGATTGATGATTGCTGACACTTTTTCTTCTGTAAACACTTGATCTCTTTTTGTAAACTCTTTTTTTTTCTTTTCTATTCTCAATTTCCACTATTCTGCTTGAATGTTTAAAGAAAAGCTGTTTCTTTTTATCAATATTCAATCGATCAAATCTCTCATTCCCCCGGGATTTAAAGGCATTTAAACCCAGTTCGTACTCCAATTTGACACCTCATGAAGATTTCTCAGCTCTTCCAAAAGATTTCTTGAACCCTGGACTCCCCCTTTTTTTCAAATCCTCAGATCCTCAAATCCTTAAATCCTTAAATCCAATTGTCTCCCACACTCCATCTTTCGCCTCTCCAACTTCTTTTTACGAACTTTTTACTTCCAAAATCTCAAATGAATTTGAAAAGAAAACTTTAAGAAATCTTTAAAAGAAGAGAAATTCTAGAATGATCTTAGAAAGGTCAATGTCTAAAAGATTTTCGTCTCAAAAATTTGGACTCGAGTGTAAACCCGGTGCAGATTGCTTATTTAATCCCTCTTTTTGCTTTGATTGATCGATGACATTGTGAACAAATGTTTTTCGCTCTCTAAATGACATGCCCTGTTGCCCGTTTTCCTTTAGAAATAACTTTAGAACTTTGCCTGGTCTTGGGTCTGACTCTGTTCCTGAGTCTGAAACAAAAGCTCGTTCTCGTTCTGATTCTGAATGTAGGCTAGATTTGGCTTTGGCCTGATCTAGCCTACATTAAACCTGGAGCTGGAATTGACTAGTGAGTCTGAACATAGAATCAAGCCTGAGCCTTGGCCTTGACCTGGAAATCAAGCTAGATCATGGAAATTGTTCTGAATCTGGACCTGAATCTAGACATGAATCTAGACCTGAATCTGGACCTGAATCTAGACATGAATCTAGACCTGAATCTGGACCTGAATCTAGACATGAATCTAGACCTGAATCTGGATCTGAATCTAGACATGAATCTAGACCTGAATCTGGATCTGAATCTAGACATGAATCTAGACCTGAATCTGGATCTGAATCTAGACCTGAATCTGGACCAAAAGCTGTATTTAAAGCTAAATCCGAATCTGGAAACTAAATGAAAAGAGATTCACCAAGAAAAATATACAAAAAGCACACACTTCACTCCAGAAAAGAAAATCGAAAGAAAGGGAAATGAATTTTTGGCGCCAGCTTTGACAAATCGCTCCCCGGTGCCTAGAAGCCAAAAAATCAAAAAATTTCCCCTTTTTCATCCATCCTGGAAGTCATCCATCCAGGAATCGGCGTTTTTCGTTTCTTTCGGGCATTTTCAGGTCACCACAATTGGACCCTCTCCCCGCCTGTCCATTCCTCATCTTCAGATCCCCAAAATTCAAATTCAAAAAGATTTTTGGAAAAAAACCTCCCAAAATTCTCGATGCCCTCCAGAATTGACGATTTTCTTGGTTTTACACTTTTGAACCTCTGCCAACCTGGGAATTGTCGAGATCTCAAATCGCCGCCCACCAAAAGCTAAAATCAGCAAATTGCCCTAAAAACTTCTAGAATTGTCAAGTGCTATCCAGGATTTACAAATGTTTAAACTTTTAACATCCTTGAAGAAATTTAAGGCTTTAATTCAAAGTCGATTCTAAATTTGGAATGATTAAACTGAAAAAAGGCAAAAAAAAGCGTTTAAAAGTCATTTTCAACTTTTAACTGCATCCCAGAATGAAAGAATTTCACATTCTTAAAATAAAATTTTCAAATTAAACGTTTAAAAACGAAATAAAAAACGGGGTTACAAAATGACGACAAATTTAGTTCGTTAGTTTTTAGGAAGTTTTTTTTCGAGTCGAACACACAAATTTGGCATCTCTTGATTGACAGGCACGAGTTTCCCGATCAACTAGTTAATTGAAATCGGTTAAATTTTAAAGTTTATCAAAAAGAATGTGGGAAAGGCTGAAATTGAGAAAAAATGAGAAAAAAAAATGTTTTCCTAAGGATCGTGGGAATGGGAAAAGTTTAGGGAAAAGTTTAAGGAAAAGAAAAACGAATGTTTAGCTGTTTGAGACTTGGGAGAATGTGGGCTATGATTGTTGTTTTGAAATTGATTTAATGCGAGCCTCGTTTACAGCCGAAGCCACTTAAAGGGGGGTATTAATCGCGGCCGGGTGACGATAAAAAATTTTTTTACGGCAACCACCTGTTTTTTTATTTTAATATCGCTGATTTTATTATAAAAAGAATAAAAATCACCCGGCTAGAGTGATTTGATGGGTTTACAAATTTTTGGAGACGCTGCAAGGCTTGAAGAAAAACAAGATCGTCACTCATCAGACACCTCAGCTAAAAGGCACCTATTTGAGAAAACTAAAACCACAAGCGACCACAAATGGAAAAAAGATCTAATTGTGTCAATCAAAGCGCTGAAGACGTCCTACGGTGGAGGAGATCCAGGCACTTCTGGTGAAGATGCGCTGGAAATTGATAAGATAGGAAGCCGATTTGAGGAACCGCTGTACTTGAGCGTAGATGAAAGCGAGCAAGAGGAAGAATTATAGATTAACAATTTATTTTTATTGTTTTTTGTGCTTTTTATTTTGTTTTTAAATTTATCTGCAATTAAAACGCAATCGATCTAGACTGTGCTGAGGTGTCTGATGAGTGACGATCTTGTTTTTCTTCAAGCCTTGCATCGTCTCCAAGCCTTGCATCGTCTCCAAGCCTTGCATCGTCTCCAAGCCTTGCAGCGTCTCCAAGCCTTGCAGCGTCTCCAAGCCTTGCAGCGTCTCCAAGCCTTGCAGCGTCTCCAAGCCTTGCAGCGTCTCCAAGCCTTGCAGCGTCTCCAAAAATTTGTAAACCCATCAAATCACTCTAGCCGGGTGATTTTTATTCTTTTTATAATAAAATCAGCGATATTAAAATAAAAAAACAGATGGTTGCCGTAAAAAAATTTTTTATTGTCACCCGGCCGCGATGAATACCTCCCCTGGAGGAAAAACGTAGTGAATCAGAAGGTTTGCTGTTTTAAGTCATGTTCAGCTGAACAGATCAATTCTGGAAACAGATTGACAAAGTGGGGAAGAGAGAAATTTCAATTCTAAATGATTTAAGGATAGGAAAAGGTGTGAAAAGGGGAAAAACCGAAAAACTCTTCTGAAAAAGAAGAGGAAGAGGAAGAAGAAAACCTTTCTTTTTCAGAAGAGGTTTTCTTCAATCTGAAATGCAAAAGTGTTCATCACTTGAGAAAAGGGAAAAAGAGAGAAATCTTAAAAGTTTCCAACGCCGTTCCTATTCGATTTTCACAAAGAATCTAGTTTTTCTAAATGTTTCTATATTCGCTTTGTGCTTTCTAAACATACGCCTTCTGGCGTAATGCTTGAAATTTAAATCTTCATTGTTTAAGCTAATGTTTTCTTTTGAAAATCTTTGAGAAACAATTGAGAAGTGTCGATATTAGAAATTGATTTATTCAAAAGTATAAAGTACGGTATTTCTTCGAATAGAAGACCGGGTAAAGAGTATCGTCGCGTACTGCGTACTGCGTAGCATCGCGTACTGCGTAGCAGCCCTTTTTAAAGTTTCTTTTCTGCATAAAAGCTTTCAATCAAGTGCTATAGAGCTGGAAAATGGCCACATGAGCTAACAGATTTTTGAGGACGATTGGACCTTAAATTCTTGATGAATTAATTGCATCGATGCCTACTCGTATTAAAGAAGTACTTTTGGGAAAAGGAGGAGCGACTAAATATTGATTAAAGCTTAAAGACTGAAGGTCCAATCGTCCTCAAAAATCTGTTAGCTCATGTCGTATTTTTGAGTCATTTTCCAGCTCTATAGCACTTCATTGAAAGCTTTTATGCAGAAAAGAAATTTAAAAAAGGGCTGCTACGCAGGAGTACGCGATGCTACGCAGTACGCAGTACGCCATGCTACGCAGTACGCCATGCTACGCAGTACGCCATGCTACGCAGTACGCCATGCTACGCAGTACGCCATGCTACGCAGTACGCCATGCTACGCAGTACGCGATCATACTCTTTACCCGGTCTTCTATTCGAAGAAATACGGTACACTGCTATTTTTGTTTTCAATAAAAAAAAACTAGAAATTATCTAGCTAGCTTTTGCTCATTGAATCGCAAAAAAAAAACTAGAGTATCCGGCTTTCCCGTTCGATGCAAATTACGGAAAAAACACACGCTTATCGAATTCTCTTCAACACTTCGGCGATTTCCGGGAAATCTTTTCCCTTTTCACTCCTCAATCAAGCACAAAGCACCCTTATTTGGACAATGAAACAAAAAAAACAGACTTGCTTAAGATTTGAGCGAAAAATCATCGACGAAAGAAAATATTTGCACAAAATTCGTCAATCCTGGAACGCACAAAACAAGAATTTCAAGAACAAGAACAAAAATATTTTCATTTCAAAGAAAATTCTGTCTAAAGACTTAAAATTCGACTTTGATCACTTTTTAAAAGCGTAGAACTAAAGGAAAAACGATTTTTCTTTTAAAATCGTTTATTCTGGAGTACACAAGAGCGATTGTGAATAAAAAAAATTGCAATATTAGTTTTAAAAAAACAAAAATTTTTTTTTGGTTTTCTTCAAATCCGAACGGGGGCGCCGCTGGATGAGTGAGAGCTTAAAGAAGCCGTAAAAATTGGGGTAATAAGTCGATTCGAGAAAAATAAACGAAGAAAGGATAAAGGCGATTGAAATGACGAGAAAAAATATCTATCTCGGGATTAGCGAAGAGGATTTTCTTCTAAAATCGAGAAATCTTTTGAAAATCTTGTGATTTTTGAAAACAAAAGATTCTTAGACTTTCAAATATTTCAAATTGGTGTACAGGAAAACGCTAAAAATAAGTTTTACATTTCTAAAACCAAAAATTCAAAACAAAAATCCCGAAAACCGGATTCGAACCCGGGTCGTCTGACTGATAAACGAGAGCGCTAGCCACTCGGCCAAAGTGTCGACTTTTTAGAATTCGAGTTTTTCAAAAAGTTTTACGCTTAAATTCAAGCATGACATCCAGCTTGTATAGTAGATAAATCAAAAAGGCTATAGCTGTCAGTTGAAGCAATATTTTCGAATGATCAACGTTAGTGCAATCGGTATGGCGTAAATTTTCAGATTTTACTCGAAAATTCCCAAAAACAAGGAACACAGGCAAATCCAATAAATAAAAGTGATGCGTTTTGGCGGAGATTTCTGAGATTTTTCAACAAGTGGACTCGGCGATGATTTTTTTTATATAAAAACATCAGCGAGAGAAAAGAACAAAGCCCATCTTTTGGAGAATCGTTGAAGAGAGGACTAAAGCTTTTAGGTGGATTGGAGAGGAGGATGGGAGAAGAAGAGGAGTGCATTTCAGATCCTCAACACTCCCCACCCAAAACTCACCATTCTAGGTGTCTCCAGGAATGCTCAGAACAATACGAGAGAGATCATTGATCAAATTGGAGTTTAAAAAAGTGAAAGATTCTTTTTGACTTATGCACTATTCAAGCTGGATGTCATGCTTGAATTTGTGTTTAAAATGTTTGATGTTTGTTTGAAAAAACTCGAATTCGAAAATATTGACACCCTTATTGACTTTCGACCTTTGGCTTATAGGCTTACTTAAACGTTGACTTAAACGTTGACTTAAATGCTAGATTACAGACTTTCTAGCCTTTCCTGACCTTTCTACCCAACTGGAATGTATTTCTCGTGCTTAATTAATGAATTGTTTTCTCTAAACTATAATTAATCAAGTTTAATCAGAGGAAGCCTACTCTAATCTGCTTTCCCTAGAAAATAGCCTTATAGTTTACGAAAATTCAGGCCTGATCCTTGGCTCTAAGCCTTCTAAGGTTCAGTTAAACAAGCCTGAAGAAAGAAAATAGACTAAAACCCTCATCTTGTCCACTTTTTTCTTCCACTCAACTCCAATTCGTCACCCTAGCTAACGAGAATGACTCTTATTCAAAAAAATAACAGCTAATAGACATTTCTGGCCAAAAAAAACCCACGATTTTGCCTGAATCTCCTCCAATAACCTTTCCGGTCCCCACCTCTATCCTAAAAAGCCCAATTTTCCATCTAGTGTTCGCAGGGTTCGCTTTTTTTACATCAAAAACTCTTTTTAAAGACTTGGAAACACTCAAATAGACGATTTTTCATCTTCCTGGAATGCACTGAGGGTTTTGAATGTTTAAAAAATTGAAAATATAAAAAGCAAAAAAAAACGGACGCTTGAGGAATCGAACTCGGACCCCTTGGCTCCATAGACTCGAAAACCGATTGCGCCATAAAATTTTAGGCTTAAAATGTTAGTTTTAGACTCAAGATCATTCGTGTGCGTTCCAGATTAGATAAAAATTTAATAATGCCCAAATTCTGTCTACCAAATGAAAAGATATTCAGTTGATAAGAAAAAAAAAACACTTTTTAGGGGCAAAACTCGAGTTTTTTTAGGCAAAGGCAAAAAAAAACACATTATTTAGCTGAAGAAAAAATAAATAAGCAAAGTTTCCCTTTGATTAGCTCACTTTAGCCCTTTTTTTTCTTGGGCAAGTTTTGCAGAATTTTTGCTCGAATCACCTTCGCTTAAGCGCCACCTCTTTTATTGAACCACTGGAACACACTTGAGACATCAAAAAAAAAAACCCTCCCGAAAGTTTATGCAAACAAGAATAAAGTTTACCAAAAACAATTTCATTGCATTAAAAATGAAAAAGCAAAAAAATTTGACGGCACCCAGACTCGAACCTGGCCCCCTGGCCTCTTGACTTTGACTTGAAAACTGGCGCCCTACCGACTGCGCCACGAATGTAAAACCTCGAAATGCGAATTTTAAAGTGTTTTTTTATTTCTGTGAGTTCCAGATTGGCTGAAAATTTGAAAAAATCCGAGTTTTTCTGGTGTCAAAATCTCGAAATTGCCTCAAAGTCATACCATTTTCTCGAAAATTGAAAAAATGCGAGTTTTTGTGGTGCTAAAGACTAAAAAATTGCCTCAAAGTCATACCATTTTCTCAAAAATTGAAAGATTCGAGTTTTTCTGGTGTCAAAATCTCGAAATTGCCTCAAAGTCGTACCATTTTCTCAAAAATTGAAAAAATGAAAAGAATTATTTTTTTTTTGATGTGAATTTAGCCAAAATGCCATCCAGGATTGTCGAAAAATTCCCGGAAATTGGGGAAACTTTTGGTGCATTTCCGCAAACGGGCGGGGTGAATGAAGTGGCGGTGATTGAGCACAAGGGGCACCTGATCCCCCAGATCCGCTCGCTACTAATTGCCACTATTTTCGGCCATTCAAAGCCAAATGCTTTCGAAAAACTAGGAAATGACAAAGGCTAAACGAAAAATGAAATCATTCTAAAAAAGTGTCGAAGTTGAGTGTCGGAGTTGAAATTGTAGAACAAAAAAATTGCAAACTTTCTTTTTTCAAGAATTTTCCAGAACCAATGGTCATTGTGAGTTCCAGAAAGCGGAAATTTCTCAAAAATTTTCCCAAATTTTGCCTCTTTTAGCCTAAAACTGGGCCCTTCACCCACCATTGAGCACGGCGTTTTACGTTTTTTTTTTTTCGTTTTTTGCTCGATTTTCTTTTTCTAGAAAATTTTCGTGAGTTCCAATTCGTAGAGTTTTCAAAAAAAATTTAACATCGAGAAGAAATTTAAAGCAAAAAAAACATTGAGTCGTTTCTGTGGAATTGAAAAAAATTCGAGTTGGAGTAATTTGGCCAATTCTTTGCGCAAAACTCTTTTTTTCTTTCTTTTGCTTGTTTCTCTTTTTGTTTAAATCAAAAAAAAACACGTTTGTTTGAGGATAAAAATAAAATAAGCTAGAGAAGTTCAAATAAAATAAGCTAGAGAATTTTGATTTTGAAGAAATATTGATAAAATAGGTTAGAGGAAGCTCCTTTATAGTTCCTATTTAGTTCCTTTAAAGCTCCTTTAAAGCTGCTTTGAAGCTCCTTTATAGTTCCTATTTAGTTCCTTTAAAGCTCCTTTAAAGCTTCTTTAAAGCTCCTTTATAGTTCCTATTTAGTTCCTTTAAAGCTCCTTTAAAACCCTTTTTGAATAAAGTTTTCCTTTTTCAATTCATTTATTTGAACTTGTTTGCCTTGTTTGAAGGCTTTATTCTTTTAAAATAAAATGAAAAATGAATAATATAAGATTCATTCGCCTTTTGTCCACAAAATTCGTAAATTCTCGTGATAAATTTCGGCAAGCGGCACGATTTTCCCTTTCAACTTTGGCTTTTGAACGCTTGAGAACTCGTGCTCTCGTCTGAAAATCGTGATTGGTGGGGGGAAATGAAAATTGAAATTATTAGGTTAAGGAAAAATTCAAAACCGACATTACTGTCGGTTTTGAATCCCCGTTGTTGGCAATTTTCCAGTTCTTTTCTGCGATTTCTGCGATTTTTTTCAAATAGATATCAGCTAGACACTCTATACTTTCATATTAAATTTGACTTTCACAAATTTAACAATATTTTCAGGTACAAAATGCAAGACGAAAAGTTTCGACTTCGAGCCGCTTTGTGATATGATTTTAAACAAGGGAAATCGACGAGCCTGGTTGGGAACTTCTGCCCCACGCACCTTATACAGTGCGGTGCAAAACCATACGCCACCCCTTAAATTTCAATTTTCTGCGGCTCCCGTGCCAGTGACAAAAAAACCGAAAACGTAGTTAGATTCAGGAGCAAAAATAACCCTTAAACCCCAAAAATCGTCGACATAGCATGAATAGGGAGAATGTAACAGCCAAAAGACGAAAATTCACCCGGTGCAAAACCATACGCCACCCCTCCCCCTCCCCTCCCCCCCCCCAAATTTTCGTGTCGTTGTTGCATTTTTGTTCAATTTTTATGATAACATGGTTTATTTATAACAATAACAATTTAATATTTTGTTGTCTGTCCTTTGTGTATTAATAGGAGGAATGTATTCTATTCATGCTATGTCGACGATTTTTCGGGTTTAAGGGTTATTTTTGATCCTGAATCTAACTACGTTTTCAGTTTTTTTGTCACTGGCACGGGAGCCGCAGAAAATTGAAATTTAAGGGGTGGCGTATGGTTTTGCACCGCACTGTAGTTCCGACCTGGCCCCATCAGATTATTTTTTGTTTCGGTCGTTGAAGAGTTTTCTTATGGGAGAAAAGTTCGAGAAACATGAACAGATCAAAAAAAGCTGTCGACACTTATTTTGGCTTGAAAGCTCCCCGTTTTTTTGAGGATGGGATCAGGGAATAGATCCTAAGGACTTTGCGACGAAGATGGGAACAAGTCATCAATAATAATGGAGAATATCTCATTGATTGACGTGCGTTTTTTTATGTTTTTAGCAATAAACAGTTTTGTGACAAAAACCGACATTATTTTTTCCTCAACCTAATAAATCCCAAGGTCTTCAAGCTAGGCTCTGTCCAGATTTGGCTTCTAGCTTTCTTTGATCTTAGCTTTGATCTTAGCTTTGATCTAAAGATAAAGATTTGTCTCTCTTTCTTCCTTATCTTTTCTATTTCTTCTTAAGGAAATAAGGCTCAAATAGCTCAATGGTAAAGCATTTGTCAAGCAGAATCAAGCTTCGGAACCGTATTGGAACTGTATTAGATCAAAATTGGAACCGTATTGGAACCCTATTGGACCTTATTGGAACCGTATTAGATCAAAATAGGAACCGTATTGGAACCGTATTAAATCAAATCAAGCAGAATATCGATAAGCAAAAGATCAGGCGTTCAATTCCACCTTGGTTTCAAAATTCTTTGCCATTTATTTGCCAACAGAAACCAGATTCAAGCATGACTTTCGAATCATTTCCTCAGGAAATGACTATGACTTTGCGGTAGGCTAACCTGGGCTCAATTGGAAGATGACTTGTCTACTGATTTTTCCCCTTTCAAACCTTTTCCTCAACTTTCCCAGCACCCACACATAAAGAATCGGACAAACGAGAGCATAGTAGGGTAAAACCTGAAATGATTTGTGCTGATTATTTGAGTTTATACCTTTTTTTTAACTATAAGACAAAAATATCGTTGTTGTAACGTAATTTGAAAATCCCCCGAGAATCGGGATCAATCTAAGAATTCTAACAAGAAAATAAACGTGAAATTTGTCTATTTTCATGTAGATTTTTGACTTTTCATCTATAAGAAAATAAGAAAAATAAGAAAAATAAGAAAAAGACTTTTCTTCTATTTCTTCTTTTTTTCTTCTTCTTCTTGATGAGTTTAAAATCTCTAAATTATAGAGTTAGAGTTAAATTATAGAGTTCAATTGCGAAAGTGAATCACCCCGTGAAAATCTTACAAATCTTTACCTTTCTTTTGTTAATTATAGGTTAATAACTTACATTTTGTTCTTAAAAGTTTAGTTTTTTGACTTTTTGATTTTCTGACTAGTTAACTTTTAAAACTGACTGACTTTTTAAACTTTTCTTGCTACTTTAATCTAATCAAGACCATCATACAAAACTTTATATCTGAAATATCTACATTGAAAAGTCCTTGCAAGCTTTTGCGTGTGACGTAATCGATTTGTGAGATAAATGATCGTTGAATGATGCCGAGAACGTTGAAAACATAGATCATGCAAGTGTGAAAGATGATGATCGGTAAGAAAGCCTAATTTTGAAGAAAACAATGATCAAAATGTCAATTTAGTAAGCCCATTGTCGTTCTTCAAAGTATCCCCATCTGTAAGTACTCACCTGTAGCACCATTTCCGAGTATCGTAATGAATACGAGTAGTGCAGTGATGTGATAACTCTAAACAGTTGATTTTTGTCAAAAATTTCTTTCAACTCACCTTTTCTTTACCCTCCAACGACAATAAAAAACTAATAAAATAGCTGAAATGAGAGTAGTTGTGTCAATAACGATTAAGAATGACGAAAGCACGTTCATCATTGGAATAATCGTCTGAAAAAAGTGACATGAATCGTTGAAGATTTCTACAGAAATTGTCTAGTTACTAACTGGTGTATCCTCCAAGCAATGCAACACTTGAAAATCGTAGACAAGCTCGGTTGACAGAGCCCAACATGTTAAAGTAACCATTGCGCAAATCTAGAGCTGATGAATGTTAAGTTTTCTTGCTCACTTCGGCAAAAATCAGGAACCAGACGCCACGTGGATAGGGTTGTTGCGAGAGAATGACAAATGCTCGCTCAAGAAGAATCATGAAAAGAGTCGTGGAGAGACCTGTCGAGACGCACATCTGAAAAACAACTTTCATCCTAAACCATTGATAGTTTTCCTAGTCTACCTAGTCATTTGGTTGATCAAGAGTTGAACCTGGCTTGGTTTACCTAGCTTGGCTTACCTAGCTTGGCTTATCTACCTTGGCTTGCCTGCCTTGGCTTACCTGCCTTGGCTGGCTTAGCTTACCTAGCTTGGCTTACCTAGCTTGGCTTACCTAGCTTGGCTTACCTGCCTTGACTTACCTAGCTTGGCTTACCTAGCTTGGCTTACCTGCCTTGGCTGGCTTAGCTTACCTACCTTGTCTTACCTACCTTGGCTGGCTTAGCTTACCTACCTTGGCTTACCTACCTTGGCTTACCTACCTTGGCTTACCTACCTTGGCTTACCTACCTTGGCTTACCTACCTTGGCTTACCTACCTTGGCTTACCTACCTTGGCTTACCGGGCTTAGCTTACAACTCTAGTGGCTCATTCATCTACTGCTTCCTGGTTTCTTTGTCTAACCTTTGCTATGCTTAATCCAAACACTTACCCATATAATTTTCAACGGTAAACAATAGAAAGCCGATAAAACGAGAGAGCATGGTTGATCTCCGTGCAGAAGCCGCAGCAACAACAGTTGTCCCTAAATTAAGGAGAAAAGTCCCAATTTTTCTACTACTCACATGAGTGACAAAGTTATTCAAAGCGTACACGAAAAGGATCAAGATTTTGAAAGTGATCAATCTCTGAAAAACTTATAATTGTTTATTGATCTAAAAACATACATGACTCTCATCGTGGATTCGAAATTTTCCATTAAGAGAAAAGCGTATGATCAAAATCATTGACACAAAACTGATCACCACTTTGATGTTATTCTAGAAAAGAAAAAGATTTCTTTATGAGATATTTAGCCTTGATTGAAAGCTTGATTGAAAGCTTGGTTGAAAGCTTGATTGAAAGCTTGATTGAAGCCTTGATTGAAAGCTTGATTGAAAGCTTGATTGAAGCCTTGATTGAAAGCTTGATTGAAAGCTTGATTGAAGCCTTGATTGAAGCCTTGTTTGAAAGCTTGATTGAAGCCTTGATTGAAAGCTTGATTGAAAGCTTGATTGAAGCATTGATTGAAGCCTTGATTGAAGCCTTGATTGAAGCCTTGTTTGAAAGCTTGATTGAAGCCTTGATTGAAAGCTTGATTGAAAGCTTGATTGAAGCATTGATTGAAGCCTTGATTGAAGCCTTGATTGAAGCCTTGTTTGAAAGCTTGATTGAAGCCTTGATTGAAAGCTTGATTGAAAGCTTGATTGAAGCATTGATTGAAGCCTTGATTGAAGCCTTGATTGAAGCCTTGTTTGAAAGCTTGATTGAAGCCTTGATTGAAAGCTTGATTGAAAGCTTGATTGAAGCATTGATTGAAGCCTTGATTGAAGCCTTGTTTGAAAGCTTGATTGAAGCCTTGATTGAAGCCTTGATTGAGGTCTTGATTGAAGCCTTAAATCTAAGCTAAAAAGTTGAAAACCTGAATTAAATATAGTGTCCAGAGATTGAGCTGTTCGGCAGCGACACAAAGCGATGGATCCGGTGGTAGAAGATTTGGAAAAGCAAGAAGAGTATAGTTGGTCATTTATCGATTCGATATCGATGTTACGAAAATCGATTTACCAATGCAATTGCTGAAAAACGTTTTCACGATAGTTTTTTTGTGATTTTGACGAATTTTGACTACAAAAACTGAGTTTTACAATCCCCTTCATCGAATGTGATCAAAAAATGAGTGAAAACTGACTGATAACAGTTAGAACGATAAGATGCCTTACAGAAAATCACTAAACTGATAACAATTGCAGTGCCCAATACCGATAAAGCTCAAGTTTTTCGCAAAAATCTTGAGAAAAATCAGAAATATTCAAGATTTCCTCTTCCTTTTCACCTTCACAACTCTCTAATTATCTTTTTTTTTAATTTCTCTTGGGAAAAGAGACTTTTTTGACTACTCTTCTCTGTTGAAAAGAAGGAAATTTAGAAAATAGTCAAGATAGTCAAGCAAAAACTTTTCTGGGAAACAATGAAATCACCCGGGGATTCACAGGGAAGAAAATTCGCGTTTTGAACTTGAAAACAAATGAACTCAACGGGGAAATGAATGACTTTTGACCTGCAATTTAGCAATCAATTAATCTTTTGTACAAGTTGACCGTTTGGTACATCGAGTAACGGTTTGAATTGGAGATTTTCGATTTCGAGTAAGAGTTAGCTAAGGACTTGCCTCAAAAATCTGTTCCGCTTTGCTGTTCTTGTCAAATTTTTGGCAATTCTGGCAACGCATTCAAACGTTTAGCATTGGTTTCCAAACATTTTACAGCCTTTTACCAACCTAAAGTGTGTTCCTCGCGTTTTCTGCGTTTGTAATGCGTAATGCGTTTTCTAAAAGGCACCTATTTGAGAAAACTACCGAAGTCAAACTGTTAGCTTACATTCAATTGACCAAATGTTGGTGTCATTCGATGAGGAATTACGAGGCTCATTGATTGATACCGAAGGCGGGCTGATCGAATGTAAACTAACGGTTTGACTACGGTAGTTTTCTCAAATAAATTTCTCCGCTTGCAGCCCAGACTTGAACCCGATTGAGAATGTGTGGGGGACACTCGTTCGAGATGTCTAGAAGGGAACCCAGCAATATTCGAGCGTGAATGAACTCAAGTAGCCTGAAATCGGCTTCAGCCAACAGTGGTCTTCAGCACGAGGAACTTCGGAGGTGGATCATGTATGGTATGGGGAGCCTTTCGAGACGGTGAACTGGTCGGCTTAGAGTTTATTTCGACCCGGATGACATCGCTTTACTATCAACAAGTGTTGGACAAACATCTAGCCGTCTATCTGAACAACAATCCGGGCAATAACTTTACTTTTCTGCACGATAATGCGAGTATTCATGCAAGTTGCTCCACAAGAGATTGGCTGACAGCGCACAAAATCGGCACTGTCGCTCGGCCCGCTTGCAGCCCAGACTTGAACCCGATTGAGAATGTGTGGGGGACACTCGTTCGAGATGTCTAGAAGGGAAACAAGCAATATTCGAGCGTGAATGAACTCAAGAAAGCCATTCAAGTAGCCTGGAGTCGGCTTCAGCCAACAGCGCTCCATGACCTTGTCTCTTCGATGCCGAGACGTCTTTTTGAAGTTGGACTAAAGCAAGGAGGTGCCACACATTATTAATTTATTTGGTTTGTGTTGTTATTTTTATTTCTCTTAACTTTTTCTTGATAAAATAAAAGTGCGTCTATAATTTTTTGACAGCTGATAAAACGTTTTTTGTACGATAAAATACTTTGGATGAGTGAAATGACTTGAAATTTTGCATGGGTTGTTTTTTTACATTAAAGAAACTAAAAATACTTTTCACTGGACTGGCACTTATATCCGGCTCTAAACTAGCAAAAAACAGGGTTCGTCTATAATTTTTTGACAGAGTGTAGGTGCCTTTTAGAAAACGCATTATTCGCGAGGAACACACTCTAGACCAACTCTAGAACAAGATCAGGTGCATCTACCCAACTGTCGCCTTTTGTTTTCCTCCGAAAGCGCTAAGCTCTCTGTAATCAGCCATCCCACTACTACAAAGCACAGTATCGATAAAATGAAATTGAACGAGAGAGTATTTTGAGATCAGTAGCCTTTTCTCTTTCCCCGAGTCTTCCGGGCACAGGAATTCTTCTGTGATAAGATATCAAAAGACGAACACAAGAGAGCCCCAATCGACCCGACCGAATCTAATTGAAGCGCACAGCAGAAATTTTTTTCAACCAAAAACTTCTTCTGAGCTTTCTTAATTTCCATGTTTTCTTTTCATTTTAAACGAAATTTTACTTGATTCCAGTGGCCAGTTTTGAATGGCGAGCGAGGAGTGTCAATCGCTTCTCCTCTCCGAATATACTGAGTGAGTTTTTGTCTTTTAAATCAACGATTTTTATTAGTCTAAAATCGGATTTCATTTCATTTCATTATTTTCTTAATTATTTTAGATATGGTGGCTTGTCCAGTGTTGCCGAGTCAGCCCTCGAGCAAGTGGTATGTGTTTTTGTCATGAATTAAACCAAGAATTAGTTTCTAAAATTCGGAAGAAATTAAAATCAGCTAAAAAAATCAAATTTCTTAGGAACCCTCGGTGCTTTCATGGGAAGAGTTGCGAGTGAAAGTGAAGAAATCGGGCCGTGAACTATTGCAAGGCGTCTCCGGAGTCACTCAGCCTGGTCAATTGATGGCTTTAATGGGCGCTAGGTATTCAATTTGAATATAGCAATCATTTTATTGAAATTCTAGTGGTGCTGGCAAGACGACTTTACTCAATACCCTGCTCAGTCGGAATCTGAAAGGACTCGAGGTGACCGGCAGAGTGCTTGTCAATGGGAATCAGGTAAGACTTCTTTTGGTATTAGACTGAAACCAAGATCAACACCTAGATTGGATAACTTTTTAATCTTTTAATCGGATTATCATTCTTTTCTAGATCGGTCGAGGCATAACAGCTGTCTCCGGGTATGCCCAACAAGAAGAGCTTTTCGTCGGCACACTCACCGTTCGAGAGTATTTGAACATACAGGTTTGAAATTTTAAAATCAGCAAAACGAAATCTTTGCTCAGGCTCGACTTCGTGTAAATGGCTCAAAGGAGAAACGAACGAAGAGAGTGATGGCTGTTTTAAAGCAATTAGGCTTATTGAAATGTCAACACACACGGATTGGAGTGATCGGGGTGAAGAAAGGAATATCTGGTGGGTTTAAAAAGATCGTTTAGAGGTCAGACTTGGCTTTGAATAGATTTAACAATGAAAATGGGGGAGATTTGCTCGTTGTTTAGGTGGAGAAGCTAGACGATTGACCTTTGCTTGTGAAATGCTCTCAAACCCTGCGATTCTCTTTTGTGATGAACCAACAACAGGCAAGTTTTGGCAAAGATTTTAAACTTTAGTAATTAAACCTCTAGGTCTTGACTCTTTCATGGCTGAATCGGTGGTGGCGGTGTTGTCACGATTGGCTCACTCTGGAAGAACCGTCATTTGCACGATTCACCAGGTAATCTTTTCTTGTTAGCACATTTTGTCAGCCGTTTTACAAACAGCCAATAAATACTTAAGATATTCTTTTGATCTGGCTGTCACAGGATCATTTGCTCAGCTGTAACTTGTAAGATTCGTCTAAGTAATGTTTTCCAGCCAGCCTCTCAACTCTACGAGATGTTCGACTCGGTGATGTTTCTCGCGTGCGGGAGGACCGCGTTTCTGGGTGAGAAATGATTTTGATCTATCTTCTTGTGATCAGTTTAAGAAATGATCAAATATCCACAACTTTCAGGCACCCCAGCTGAAGCGATCCGCTTTTTCGAGCGAGCTGGCTACCCATGTCCCCACAGCTACAATCCCGCCGATCTCATCATTCACACGTTGGCCATTGTGCCCGGCAATGAGGTAGACTGAAAAGTTGTGATCACTCTCGCACTTTTAAGCCATTTTTTTTAGATTGAATGCAACCACCGGGTTGAGGAGATCACTCAGCTCTTCGATTCGAGTGAATTTGGGGAGAAATTGCAGAGGGATGTGGCTGCTGTTGAATTGAGAGCGGTTTGTGGAACAAATTTGACGCAAGATCTAAGCACAAATTCTAGGCTCCAGCCGGTCGACAACGGGCCGACCGTTTCGCGCAATTCTCGGCTCTCACCGAACGGGCTTTTCTCGACAATTGGCGAAATCCGTCACTGGCTCGCGCAAAGATCATTCAAAAGAGTGTCATGGTTGGTAGAATATTATCTAAAATTGAACAATTCAATGTTAAATCAATCTTTTCAGGGTCTCTTTGTCGGCCTACTCTACTTACGCACGGAAATCGGTGCACCAGCTGGCATCGATAACATCAATGGAGCATTGTTCTACTTGGTAAGTGTTTTGCAATTGATTACTCACTATCAAATATTGCCCAAATATTTGACTCATCTTTGTTCAGGTCTGCGAGCTGACCTACTCGACTCTTTTCGGGATTCTGACGTTTCTGCCTGGTGACTACCCGTTGGTCGTCAGGGAATATCACGATGGACTTTACAGTGTAAGTTAGACAATAAATCTTACAAGTTGAAGATTCTGGACTTGATGAATTCCTTTAGGTTTCCTCTTATTTCGTCTCTCGATCGCTCTCCTATGTCCCACTATTCACCATTGATGGTTTAGTGATGATGATTGTCGCGTATTTCATGATTGGGTTGAATGTCACTCTTCAACAGGTATATTTGCTTAGATTTGAGCTTGAAAACCCTCAAAAGTGACGAATTAAGTATACCAGAAGTTGAAAGTTTATGTGAAATGAATCGACAAGGTCTGGACCAGACTCCAGACAACTCTAGAGTCTAGCTTGAAGAATTTGTAAGCTGTACGTAAGCTAGAAGCCAGTCTAGATTTGAATGAATTAATAATACTGAAGATTTCTCAATGACTTCAGTTCTTCACATGCCTCCTCATCTCTGTCTTGATCGAACAATCGGCCTCGGCTTTCGGCGTGATGTTGTCAACGGTGTCTCCTTCATATCCAGTAGCTGTTTCACTAGCAGGTTAGAGTCAGACAGCCAGACATCCATTTTCAGTCCACAGTCTAGTACACTTGGTATTGGCTAGATGAGTCCATTACTCAATTATTGACAGGTCCATTACTGACACTGCTATCGCTGACGGGAGGTCTTTACGCAAATGTGGGTCAAATGCCCGCCTACATCTCGTGGATACAGTACTTGTCGTGGTTCCGGTGAGTTATAGATATTGAAATCTTATCGCCAACTCGTTTTCAGCTATGGTTTTGAGGCGCTAACTATCAATCAGTGGTCGGAAGTGTCGGCGATTCCCGGATGGAGTAATGACACGTCCAAAGTGAGAAGGTTTACAAGTACAAGATCCAGCAGAAATTGAATAAGCTCCAGAGTAGATCAGAATTCATCCACTTTCAGCGCGATGCCACTCTCGAGAAGTTGTCCTTCTCGGCGTCAATGCTCTGGCCAGACGTGTCAATCATGGCCGCTTTCATTCTCGTCTTCTATATTATCGGATACATCGGGCTGATGATACGCGTACACCGAGCAAGATGAATAAATATATTGAAATATCAGTTTTTTTTTCTCTTTGTATACTATCATACCTATATTTTATCCACCACTTAGTGCCGATTTATGCCTTTTCTTTTCATCATTGACAGTTTGAATCAATCACCCGATTGCTATTTATGTTTTTGATTTAAAAATAAATGCCTTCAAGTGCTTGACACATGCTAATTTACGTGAAAACCCGGGAGTGGGACAATGCGCCTTTTTTTTGTGCACGCAAAACATTGGCGCTCTTTTTTTCGCGTTTTAAAAAAGGGGGTAGGCTAATTTCCGCCATTTTATTTGCGCAAGTACGTTTGCGCAACAGGGCCATTTGCGTAACTTTTTTTGCGCAACAAGGCCATTTGCGCAACTTTTTTGACGTTTTTAAGGGACTGACGCGAAAGCAGAGCGGTGCGCTTTCTAAAGCGTGGATGCGCTACCGTACCCCGCACAAAAATTCTCTTTTGCCATTCTTTTCATTTTTCTTTATTCCATGGTGGGATCGGAAACTTTGTCCGGCTTTTATGGCGAGTCCCGTTAAGTTTTCTTTCCCCTTCGTAAAATCCATTATGTTTTTGTAGTGCGTTTTTAGGGGTACGCTAATTTCCGCAAGTATGTTTGCGCAACAAGGGTCATTTGCGCAACTTTTTTATCTATGTTTTTGTAGTGCGTTTTTAAGGAACTCTCTCCCCTCGTTCGTTCCCTCCTTTTTATATTGTTTACTCATAGTTTGTTGTTTAAAATTCTAGTACGGTTTTTTCTTAAAAACCGTTGTTAACTCATTTTTTACAGAGATCGTCGTCTGATTATCAATCATCGTCCGGTTATCAAATGAACATGCCCAGACCAAGGTAAGTTGCGAGTTCTTTTATGCATCAGTAGACTTAAATGCTTTTAAACATAGTTAGTTTTTATGGTTTCTATACTAGAATAAGGAAACCACATACTCATACGGACGCCGATGGCCCCTAAAATTGGGCGGGGGTGGGGGCGCAAATGGACCTGGCCAGGGGAATTTGCCCTTCGGGTTCTTTTCCAATATCGGGGGAGCGGTCCGATTATCGGGGGAGCGGAAAGAAAATCGGGGGAGCGAAAGGAAAATCGGGGGAGCAAATTTTGCCCCCTCGAAAAATGCATTTCTGGGACTTTTATTTTAACTGCAACGTTTTTTTTTTAAACTTGAACGACGATGCGCTTCTCCGATATTTGTGCGTTCAAAGAATCGACGGCAATCGATTATTTCGTCACTAAAGGAGTCATCCAGTCGTGGATTTGCAACTGTGGCGAATCGATGAAAGTCCGCTCAAAGGGAAAAGATCTATTTCGCTGGGTATGTGACACTTGCGCACGGCGAAATGTCCCCAAGCATTCAAGAGGAATTCGAGTCGATAACTTTTTGCAACAAAGCAAGCTCCCGTTTGTCACAATTTTAAAGTTCATACATCTATGGAGCCAGGGACTCACGACAATCAAACACTGTCAACAGGAGCTCGGCATTAGGGGCGACACCGTTGTTGAGTGGAACTACTTTCTCCGCCAAGTGTGCGCTTGGAAAATCAAGAAGCTTTCGATTAACAAGATCGGTGGTGCCGGACTCACCGTGGAGATCGATGAATCGCTGATCGCAAAGCGCAAAAACCACGCCGGTAGGATGCTGCCAGAACGTTGGCTTTTTGGTGGTCTGTGTCGTGAAACAAGGGAATGCTTCGCTTTTATTGTGCCGAACCGAACGGCTCCGGTTCTGCTTGAAGCGATTCGAAAACATATCGAAAAGGGGACTCGAATCATCTCTGATGGATGGCGTGCATACCAAGGGCTTCTCACTGACCCAAATTACGATTTTGCATGGGTCAACCACTCGACAAATTTTGTTTTGCCGGCAGATCCGACCGTGCACACGCAAACAATCGAGCGAATGTGGAAACCGGTTAAAGACATGAACAGACGTCGACACGGCACCCACGGCACCATGGTGGATTCGTATATCGCTGAGGGATTGTGGCATCGCAATTTGCCTGCCGGAGTAAATGCATTCGAGTCGATCATGGAGGACATCGTCGATTTTTGGCCCGCAGGGGCGGAAATGAATACAATCCCTTTTTACAGTTAATTTGTGATTGCTAGAAAGGTTTTGTTTTGGTTACTTTTGTTTTATTTTGGTTACTTTTCTTTTTGTTTTGGTTACTTCGCTTACATTTCTTTCGTTGTTATGATCAATTATACTATTAATGAATAAATTTTTAGGTAGCCATTTGTTCGTTCGGGATTGTGGAGCGTTCGGCAAAAAGAGAAGGCGGCCGATAGGGAAGGTAGAGGTATGTTTGGTGTTAGATATTTAAGTCACTTTTGTGATCTAATATAAAGGTTGTGAGAATAGCGGGTAATTCGCGGATTTTATGGCAGTACTTTGGATAATATAGGACATATGTAGCGCTGCCAAAAAATTAAAAAAAAACGTTGCAGTTAAAATAAAAGTCCCAGAAATGCATTTTTCGAGGGGGCAAAATTTGCTCCCCCGATTTTCCTTTCGCTCCCCCGATTTTCCTTCCGCTCCCCCGATAATCGGACCGCTCCCCCGATATTGGAAAAGAACCGCCCTTCGATTCAGGAATCAGGTTAGCCTAGGAGCCACGTGGTTCTAGGGTGCAGAGTCATAGCCCAGGAAAATATCGGGGCCACGTTGTTATTAATAAAGTTTTTGAAATTTTTCACGGCTAAAACAATTTTCATTCGATTCAACGTGTTTGAAAACCTAGAGAAGGTTTGCTAGAAAGCTTTCTAACCTTTTAACTCAGACTTTTTTAGAAGGGACCCAAGAATCCGCATCAATCGTATACTGCGGTCAGACTTTGCGAAGAAATGACGCAAATAATCAACCGTTTCAAGCTTTCATCGGCTATCAGTCTCACTGTTAGACAAAAATACGCACGGAAGAAAACTGTATTGGCTCGACAAAAGCAACGTTTTACTGCTATTTCTAATGGTCGCTTGCCCGGTTGCGATGTTGTGCAACATCTTTCTCAGCTTTTGACTTATATCAAAAAAATTTGATTTCTATTGTTGTCCTAACTTTCATTGTTATCGGTTGCACTTTTTTGTTAAAGCGATAAAATATTTTACCAATGGCTATTAGCTCCTAGAAAGGACTAATTTAGATAAATATTGGAAGATTTCATAAAAAATAAAAGAAAATTTAAAAAAAACAATAAAAAAAAAGCTCAAAAATGAAAATAATGATTAAAAATCCGAGTGCTTAATACAATGTCAAAGTTGCGCAAATGACCCTTTTTGTGCAAAAAAAAAGTTGCGGAAATTAGCCTACCCCAAAAAAGCTCGAAAAAGCTTAAAAAGCTATTCTAAAACCAATTTCTCTTCCGAAAGTTATTTTTCTGGGTAATTTTAGGGTGTAGAAACCAAATTTTGACATATCATAGCTTGTGGAGGTAAATGGACGGAGTTATACATAGGGAAAAATCGACAATTTTCTCTAATTTAACCTAACCTTTTTATCTTTCAAATTGCTTTCACAAGCGTTGGTATGTGAAACTTTCAATTCTACACCCTAAAATCATCCAGAAAAACAACTTTTGGAATAGAAATTGCGGGAAGTATGGAGTATAAGGGGTTTTTTCCAAAATGAAATTTTTTTTTGTTTGACTTATTTGGCTAAGAAACACCGCAAGGATGCAAGAAAAACAAAAAAAAAATAAATTTCGCTCAGCCATTTTCGGGAAAAAGAGTTAATATTAGCTTCTTAGAGCTTTTTAAAACGCGAAATAAGGTGCGCTAATGGGTTGGGTGCGCAAAAACAAAAAGATCGCATTTGTCCCACTCCCGAAAACCCTAAATTTATCTAAATCTTTAGATTACAACAATTTCGTCAATTGCTCCGTTTACCGTAAACCGAGCCTCGACAAACTACAAGATTTAGGGTTTTTGCATAGAAAGATAAACCTGGATCCTCAAAATTCCCTAGTTTTTAAAACTTTTTCCTTCAAAAACTCTTTCAATAAACTCTTTTCACCAATTTTCATATAAATTGTGTATTTTCCAGAGTTGATGAGGCGTCCACCGCCGTCACTTCGATGTCAACTGCTGTGGAAATGCCAACAACGACTTTTTGCATCAAGTAAGCTAATTAAAAACTAATGTTTTTCAAAGAATAGGGGAGTGGGACAAATGCGACCTTTTTTTTGCGCACCCGGACATTTGCGCACCTTTTTTTCCCCCACTTTGCCGATTAGCGCACCTTTTTTCGCGTTTTAAAAAGCTCTAAAAGCTAATATTAACCAATTTCTCTTCCAAAAGTTGTTTTTCTGGGTAATTTTAGGGTGTAGAAACCAAATTTTGGCATATCAGAGCTTGTGGAAGTAAATGGACGGAGTTATACAAAAAGAAAAATCAACAATTTTCTGTAATTTGACCTAGCCGTTTTGTCTTTCAAATTGGTTCCACACGCTCTGTTATGTCAAAATTTCGATTCTACGCCCTAAAATTACCCAGAAAAATAACTTTTGGAAGAGAAATTGGTTAATATTAGCTTTTTTAAAACGCGAAAAACGGTGCGCTAATGGGCTAAGTGCGGAAAAAAAAGGTCGCATTTGTCCCACTCCCAAGAATAGCTTCTTTTCCTGGCTTATAAACCCGATTTTTGTAATCTACATAGTCAATAAATGACATAAAACATTTGGGACTTGAGTCAAAAGTTCTTGTTTTTCAGAGTCTGGGGGCCCTTTAGGCTCAACATTGATACTTGTATCTAATTTTTTTTTTCAGTAACCGGTCCTGGCCCTTCCACCCCTTCAACAACGTCAATTGCGTCAAATCTTCGCGCTCGCGGCGATCCGACACTCGTTTTAGACGTCGGCGCCTACACGCCGGATCGAATTCGCAATTTTGGGTAAGCTTTTTAGCTTAAAGTTCTTGTATATTTTCTGAGAACTACTATTGGAACCGTATTGGAACTGTATTAGAACTGTATTAGAACTGTATTAGAACTGTATTAGATCAAAATAGGAACCGTATTGGAACTGTATTGGAACTGTATTGGAACTGTATTGGAACTGTATTAGATCAAAATAGGAACCGTATTGGAACTTTATTAGATCAAAATAGGTCAAATCTAACTTGTCCGAAATCTTTACGATCTCGAAAAACTATATTGTTATTTTAGCATCGTTGCCCACGTCGATCACGGGAAGAGCACACTCGCCGATAGATTGCTCGAGCTTTCGGGTAAGGGTTTTTGATGAGAATGGTTTTTCTCTTGATTGTTAAAATTCTCGACATTTTAGGCCTCGTGAAGCCGGGTGAACGCGAATCACAGATGCTCGACCGGCTACAAGTGGAAAGAGATCGGGGGATCACTGTCAAGGCGCAAACCGTGGCCTTACCGTATAAAGGTGAGCTTTAGATATGGATAACAAGTCAGATCCATGTTTAGAAAACAAAACCGGTTTAAAATACAAAAAACGACTCGTTGCATGTGTAAAATGAGCTTCTTAAGAAGCTTAAGCCTCGGACCTTTAATCATTTTCTTTTGTTCCAGGCTATCTACTCAATTTGATCGACACGCCCGGACACGCCGACTTTTCTGCAGAGGTTGGGATGTTTTTAAATTCTCTTTAAACTGTTTTGTCTAGGTCTCTCGCTCTCTAATGGTCTGTGACGGGATTCTTCTGTTAATAGCTGCGAATCAAGGTGTTCAAGTGGGACAAGATGTTTCTTTTTCTTATTTTCTCTTTTCCAGGCTCAAACCATAGCCAATTTTTGGCTTGCCTTTGATCGAAGTGTGCAAATCATCCCGGTGATCAACAAAATCGATCTGAAAGGAGTCAACGTGGAAAAGGTGAACTCGGGCTTAGTTTATTTGACTAATTTCATATGGTTAGCATATATGATAGGTTTCACTGAGAATTCAGCCTAGAATTCGACTAGTTTACTCATTTTTTTTTCAATTTCTCTAGTTTATACGACTGATTTTATACAAAAAGCTTGAAAATTTTCTCTATTTTACAATTTTCAGGTGGAAAATCAACTCAAATCGCTTTTCGACTTCAATCCTGACGAAATACAAAGGTAATTTTTGCTATCATTTTCTATAATTCTCATTTTTCAGGATCTCTGCAAAAACCGGTCTCAACGTGGCGCCGATTCTCGACGAAATCATTGCCAAATGTCCGCCACCAGAAGCCGATCCAAAAAAGCCGCTAAAAGTTCGTTTTTAACAATGATTACACTTTGCTGAATGTGGTCTGTTTTAAAGCTTTTAAACCTTTAATCTTTTTAAGTTTGTCTAATTCCAGGCGATCATCTTCGACTCACTTTTCGAGCACTACCGCGGCGCTGTTGCTTTCGTTTTGGTGCGTGAGGGGTCGATCCGGCGAGGGCAACGAATACGAACATACCACGGGGAAAAGGAGTACGATGTTGTTGAGGTTTAACATAACGATTACATTATCATTTTGTACTTTTAGGTGGGTATCATGCGACCGGACATGACCCCCGTTTCAGCGCTAAACGCCGGTCAAGTCGGCTACGTGATTTGCAATATGAAGACGACGAAAGAGGTAAGAATTTTGATAGACAACAATCTTAAGTCTTAAAGCTGACATTGAGATTTAATGAGCTATGGTACATTTTGTAAATCTCACTCTTAGGCGACAGTCGGCGAGATTCTGCACGCGGTGACAACGGACAAAAGCTTGATTCAACCCTTCGTCGGCTTCAAACCCCATAAGCCGACCGTTTACGCCGGGTTGTTCCCTGTGGACACAAGTGATTATGAAGGCAAGGTTTCAACTTTGGTGTTAAATGTTATGACTGCCAATTTGACGATTGTGAAGGTTTAAAACCTTATAGTTGAATGTTGTTTCATCTTGATCAACTTGTTTTTGTTTTAGATTTGAAACAAGCTGTCGAACGTCTCTCCTTAAACGATCCATCCGTCGAGATCATCCCCGACAGCAGTCCAGCGCTTGGTAACAACTTTTTGTAGTTTGTCTATCCGATTTTTCAATCAGGACTTGGCTGGCGTGTCGGCTTTCTCGGCGTCTTGCATATGGAGGTTTTCTCGACTCGTTTGGAGCAAGAGTACGATGCGCAAGTTATCCTCACGCAACCATCCGTCGAATATCGGTAGAGATAGCTTTTAGGTGCTCATATTTTCTATTTCTAGGGCTCATATCAAGGACAACGAAACGATTCGCAAGAAACGCTACAATGGCAAAGGGGAGATTCGCATCTTCAACGCTTCCTCGTTTCCAAGTGATGAGTCGGATATCGAGAAATTCCTTGAACCCATGGTTAAGGTAAGGAAACTCGTTTTTATAAATCAAATTGATATACGTCAAGTTTGTATTGAGCTTAATAAACTTGATTTCAATCATTCTCTAGGTTCGCTTGGTTGTGCCAGCGGAGATGATGGGCTTGGTGAACGGGTTGTGCTCGGAGGCGAGGGGAGAACGCGGAGAGATCACGAGTATCGACGAGGAGAGGATGTTGATCATATGGAGGTAAGCTATCCTTATTTTATTAACTCATTCTCATCTTTCTCTTCCAGATTACCGCTAGCCGAGGTGGTCGTCGATTTCTTCGAGGTAATATAGATAAATTCCTTTATGAGACTCGAATATGCACACTTGTTCTTTGTTTTTCTGTTTTTTACTAAAAGATAAAATTTAGCGCTTGAAAAAGATGACTTCCGGTTATGCGTCGTTCGACTATGAGCCAGATGGGTGGAAAGAATCGCGACTAATTCGACTGAATATCATGATAAATGGGAAAGAGGTGCGAATTTATTTATTGTCTATTGATAAATTTTGGATTTACTCATGTTAATGCCATTGTTTAGGTACCGGAGTTCTCGCAAATAGTCCCAGGGGTCATGGCGATGGCGAGAGCGAAATTGTTAGTGAGTCGACTGAAACGCGAGATACCACGGCAACAGTTTGAGGTTTGTTTTAGGGTTCAGCAAGTTCGGCTTATTGTGATTGGGTCAAGAAAAAGAATGATTTGTAGTATCTAAATTGCTTATCAGATCAATTTTTCGCGATTCCAGGTCCAAATCAAGGCCACCGCCGGGACATCGACGAAAGCTCTCTCGCAAACGATCATCCCGCCGTGGAAGAAAGATTTCTTGCAGCTATTGAAAGGTTGGTTTTAAGCATAATTCTAGGTACTTTGAATTTTGAACGTACATATGGCCTTAGTGCGGTACCAAAAGGAAGCAGTAGTGGTTTCTAAAGCCGTGTCTGACTACCAGAAGCCTGGTTTCTGGCAAAAATCATCAGACAGACAAGTCAACTTAGTCTGGTTTTGTCTAGCCAAAACTTTCATAAAACCCAGCTACTTTTTTTCCTTTAGGCAACATAGGCAAGGGTGGAATGGAACGGCTAAACAAGAAGTTGTCACATCAGAAGAAAGGAAAAGCGAAGATGAAAATGCTGGGAAATGTGCAAATACCGAAAGAAGCGTTTTATAATGTTTTGAAAAATTAGGATTGATAGCGTTAGGGACATTTTAGAATTTTGTGATTGTAGAAATTCTATTGTTTTCTTTTTGTTTATGTTTTTGTGTGAATTTTGATACGGGTTTCCTTGTTTTTTTTGTGAAAATAACAAATTTTATGAGAATTTCTAGACAGCGATGAAATCAAGGGAAGTAGAGAAAATGAAACAATTTTTGAGGAAGAAATCAAGTTGAATGCTAAGGATTACGGTGGGATCAGGTCATGTTATAGCAATCGCACCACGGTAACACTTACGGATCATTGTTGGAATTGCAAGGGTGACTCGATGGATAAGAACGATGAGAAATCTAGATGAACCAAGGTAAAATAAGGAGATTAAAAAGGATTAGGGAATTTTTGAGGAGATCAAGTTCTAGAGATATGTTTATGTAGATAGAAGAGCTGAAATAAGAAATTCGTTGGAAATTGGAAAAATTGATCAAATTTTTGGATAAACATGTGAATGAAAACATATATGAAAATAAGAGAGATCAAGTTGGAGCGCACATAATCGATTGAGGTTTACAATTTTGAGATTAGGGAAAGATATATATAGGACTAGAAAAGCTTGACTCACTCAAGACTCTAGCTAAAGCCTGTTTCCTAAAGCGCATCTTTTTTCTCGACTAGTCTCTAGTTGTATTCTTTATGAATCCGCTTTATAATTTGAATAGATACGATAAATAGAATAGAATGAATAGAATAGAGACGATAAAACTGAAGACTAGATTACGATAGTTTTAAGAAAAAAGACGTTTTTTCATGAAACGGATCACTCATTGAGTTTGCTTAAATGGTAAATGCTGCGAATTGGAGAGCAAATCGGGGAATTGCTTCCGGATTTGAGTCGATTGGAGTCTTTGGTGCAGGTGGATCGATCGGTGACGAGGGAAGCGAGTGGAACACGGTCACGTCCGCCTCATGATCGTTTTGAGTGACGTGGCTAGAAGTTTAAAGGAAATAATTTAACTCCGCAATTGACTCAATTGTCACTGTAATTCGAGTTGTTTACAGACGCAAAGATTTAGAATTTTTTAGCCTAAAAAAGCTCACCGAGTTGGACTCAACAACGAGATATACGTGGGCATTGATGGCTGCAGATTGGGAACCGGTGATAGTAAAGGAGTTGAGGGGAGACGCCGTCTTGCTGAGGATTGAGCGACACAGTCGACACGATGTGGAGTCATCTCGTAGCCTGGAATCGGATTTGATTCGATGGGATAAACGTTTTGTGTCGGAGCTTTGAGCTCTGAGCTTTGAGCTTCGAGCTTTGAGCTTTGAGCTTTGAGCTTTAAAATTGCCTTCAATAAGCCACTCACCGTCTCCTTTCCTTGCTCGATCCTCTCTTCTTTTCGCCACATCTTTTGATAGCGGAGTGTAGGGGATTTGAATTGATGCAGAGGCGTTTAAGGATCGATTCAGACTCAACGGTAAATTATGCTAAATTTATTCATCTTTTAAAACTCTTCACACTCAAATGACCTCTTTCTGAATTGCGCGAAACACGGCGCACAATCGGCTCTCATCCGGACACCCGAAATAAAGAGACGAGCCATTTTGCGTCACCATTGACACCAATCCGCTTGAGCACGTGATACGCTGGAAATCAAGATCAGCTACTGTTTTTTTGGTGATTAGGCTATGAATGATGGCTCAGAAGTGATGAGTTTAAAAATTTTTGCGTCTCTCACTCACTTGTACATCGTACAAACTCCCAGTCACCACCAGATCCCGCATTTCCCACGAAATAATCCCAAATGAGAGGCTTTTCACAAATAAAACATGATTCAATTGTTTTCCACTTCGTTTCTCTAATTTCTTCAAACTCTTCTCGTAATCGACGAGAAAACCGGCGCCTGAAATGATTTTTTACAGAAATTTTTGTTCTGAAATTCTTAACTGGATATCAGTAGACACTTTCATTCAAATAGAATTTCATTTTAAGCACTCTAGTACTTGGGTAAGTAAACGGGTAAGTAAGTAACTTGGGTAAGTAAACGGGTAAGTAAGTAACTTGGGTAGGTAAACGGGTAAGTAAGTAACTTGGGTAAGTAAACGGGTAACTAGGTAACTTGGGTAAGTAAACGAAAAATTTCCTCTGTTCGTGATTCTGGATGTCACCGAATACTTTCATTTAATCAGAGTTTAATCTTTCAAACTTTTCTCACCATTTCCATAGGTTCTCGTCAACACTTTCACCCAGGCATCCAGAATTTTGAGGCTCCCAAAAGCGACAGTGATTGTCCCAGTGCTGAAAGCCACGGTCAATGTGGGACGCATGGCTTTTTTCGATTCGCCTGTAAATTGATCAAATAGAACTTTTAAGCTCTTCAGAATTTGTAGCTGTGTTATGAAATGGGTTTTTAAAAAGTAGGAAAGTCGAGGATGAACTGGCTTAAAATATTTCATTCACTTGAAAGCTTTGAAATCAGGAAAAGCCTAAAGTTAAAGCCTGGGCATCAGCAGATGTCTTAGCACAGTCATTTTTACCAAATCAATTCCTCTAACCACATTTCCCTCACCTGCAATATGGCCAATGTAATGCAAAATGTTGTGATCGACGAGTGTCGTTGTTTGCGGAGGATCGAAGGATTTCCAACGGCGCTCGCTTTTCTTCTCCAACTGAAAACCTCTAGTGATATCCAGCTCAATCCTTTTTGTAATTAAGTCTATCGTAAGCCTTTCTCCTCTTTTTAAAAATCTCACCCACCTTTTTCTCGACTTTCATTCTAACCATTTCCCCGCCATTCACTCGTTCCATTGTCACCTGACCGGCAATCCACTGAAACAATAAAAAAAAATCATTACCGTATTTCTTCGAATAGAAGACCGGGTAAAGAGTATGATCGCGTACTCCTGCGTAGCATCGCGTACTCCTGCGTAGCAGCCCTTTTTAAAATTTCTTTTCTGCATAAAAGCTTACAATGAAGTGCTATAGGGCTGGAAAATGGCTTAAAAATGGCTCAAAAATCGGTTAGCTCATGTGGTATTTTTGAGTCATTTTCCAGCCCTATAACACTTCATTGAAAGCTTTTATGCAGAAAAGAGATTTTAAAAAGGGCTCCTACGCAGGAGTACGCGATGCTACGCAGTACGCAGTACGCGATCATACTCTTTACCCGGTCTTCTATTCGAACAAATACGGTATCCTACTTTTTTTCTATAAAATTATTGCCAAAAATCGTTTTTAAAGGGTTAAATTTTGTTTATTTAACCTTGCTCTAAAAGATTTTCTTCTTAGAAAATCGCTTGCTTTAAATTGCTAAACGATTTGGCCATTCTGGAAGTCACCGATTAACTTTAGCGTTAAAATTGACTTTTGTGTTAAATTTTAGAAAAAAAAAACTCACTATTCAACTGATAATTGACTATGGTAAGTAAAAATATATAAAATTTCATCCAAAAAAAAAAAACAAAACATTCACCTTTTTCTTTTTCTTCAAAAACAAGCACTCCGAGCGAAGGATTGCGGCCGATTGGATCATCGTGGCGGCGTTGAAACAACTAGAATTTGAAGATTTGAAGGTTTGAAGATTTGAAGATTTACCCTTTCAAATTCAACTATTTATACTTTAAACTCACTAACATGCAATTAAAAACAAAAACTTCCTCTAATTTACCCAAATTCTCGACAATTCCGCGCACCTGTCCAACGGCCTCACCTCAAAAGACGGGAAATTATTCGATTTCTGTCAAAATTCCCCTTTTGTGCGCTCCAGCTCGCAAGAAATTACAGAAATTACAGAAATTCTCCGCTTTTTGTGCGCTGTTCAGCTCGCCAATGAACGACAGAAATTCTCCGCTTTTTTTAATGACAATTTTGCGAAGAAAGCAAGCCGATTCGGGTGAAATGGCAAAAAGTGACAAAAATACAAAACTGGAATCGATTGATTGGATATTGATTGTTTTCCCCTTTAAAAATCTTAGAAATAGGTTCATTGCATGGTTTAAACTGACGATGATGATGATGATGATGACATCGTAATGATGATGATGACATCGTAATGATGATGACATCGTAATGATGATGATGACATCGCAATGATGATGATGATATCGCAATGATGATGATGACATCGTGATGATGATGATGACATCGTAAACAATCGTAAACAAATGAATGACAAAATGAATTATATTCATCGGTAGTGTAAGATAGGAATGCGGTGAGAATTTCGTTTCTAAAGACAGAAGATCGAATCGAATCGAATCAAAATTGATAAATGATAAATGGTGATGAATGGTGATAAATGATATGGTAAAAATCATGAAAAAAACATCCAAATTTCGCGATCGCAAAAAAAATCATTATTCACACCATACCGACTACCTTGAGCCACCAGAAAATATTATTAAAATTTGGAACGAATTGGATTTTTTTGCTTTGGAACACCGTGTAGTGTCGTTTCATGAGTTTTTTGCTGCCCCTGCGGACCGAAATCCTTGGGATGAATCCAAAAATTCACAGCGGCTCCCTTCAGCGCCCTTTTACAGGCACTTGGGATCCCATTTCGACCGGCGGAGAACCCACCATTGTGGTCAAAATGAGCCGGAATTGGGTTTGCCAATTCTACAGCCGTGGTTAAGTTTTGAGAAGCGGTGACCACATGGGGCAGACAACGGATTGGCTACCGGATGACCCAAAATGGACGCTTCCGATTGAACGAGTGAAAAGGGAACTATATGTGGAAACCTTTTATGCCAGATCGAGTGCGATTGTGCTCGCGCACAGTGAACACAACGATCCTCTTTTTTTGCATTTTTCCAACATTAATGTTATTTTTTTAGTTGTTTAATGTTTTATGTTTTGTTGGTTTTAATGTTTTTAAACATTAAAACTAACACTTTCGCGCACTAAAATGCACTAAATACCGTGATCCACTTTTTTTGCGCAAAATCATTCTTTTTTGCAACAAAATTCTCATGGTTGTGGCTCATATGGTGGTGGTGAGCATGGTGGTGGCTCAGATGGTGGTGGCGATCATGATGGTGGCTCAGATGGTGGTGGTGAGCATGGTGGTGGCTCAGATGGTGGTGGTGAGCATGGTGGTGGCTCAGATGGTGGTGGCGATCATGATGGTGGCTCAGATGGTGGTGGTGAGCATGGTGGTGGCTCAGATGGTGGTGGTGAGCATGGTGGTGGCTCAGATGGTGGTGGTGAGCATGGTGGTGGCTCAGATGGTGGTGGGTGAGCATGGTGGTGGCTCAGATGGTGGTGGTGAGCATGGTGGTGGCTCAGATGGTGGTGGTGAGCATGGTGGTGGCTCAGATGGTGGTGGTGAGCATGGTGGTGGCTCAGATGGTGGTGGTGAGCATGGTGGTGGCTCAGATGGTGGTGGCGATCATGATGGTGGCTCAGATGGTGGTGGCGATCATGATGGTGGCTCAGATGGTGGTGGTGACCATGGTGGCTCAGAAATTTCCATGGAAGTCATGAAATCGGGAAAAAGTCACAAAATATCAACCTTTTTTTTACCTTGATACCTTGATTACCTTGATACCTTGAAGAATACCTTGATTCTATTTTTTTGTTCTCTTTATTCTATTGATAAATGAAGTTGAATTCTATAGTGAAACACTAATTGCTTTAAAAACAATGTAGGAAGCAAAACTACGAGTAGAAATTGCGCAAAAGTAAGAAAAAAAATAGCTAAAGTTGCAAAAGAAATGCGCAAAATGTGCAAAAAGGCGGATTAGCTCAATTTGAGCAAAGCAAGAGCTCAATCTGAGCAAAGCAAGAGCTCAATCTGAGCAAAGCAAGAGCTCAGTCTGAGCAAAGCAAGATTTGACTTTCTTTCTGGCGCCTAGCTTTCTTTCACCTGATCACGGCAAGGTTTGGACTTTCAAAATTAAACTAAACTTTCTCAATCTTTCAGAAAGCTCTTTCAGAGCACTCTTTCAGAGCGCTCTTTCAGAACTTTCTCATAAAACTCGATCAAATCTTTTCCCTCAACTTTACGAGTTTTGATCAATTCATTTCATAAAAGAAGTCGTTTCAACAAAATAAAAAACAAAAACTTTTCATTGATTAAAGTTTCCCCGTGCAAACACTCTATCCACATGTCTCACAAAAGTCAAAATCAATTCACAGCACTTGTTTTTATCGTTAAACTTCATTTGAACATAAATTTAACCATTTTGAGGTTAAATATTTACAGAAACATTCATCAAAGAGTTTTAATGCCATTCACAGCTCAGCTCTCCAAGCTCCAAGCCAAACAGCTCTCCAAGCACAGATTTTCCACATTCCAACATTCCACACAGTTCGTTGCTTCTAAATTGGAAGCAATTTTCAAAAGACTTCTACATTTCTATAAGTTTCAACTCTAGCTTCATAGTACCTCAGCCCTCAGCCAAATTATGAGCCGAATTGCCCAACGACCGGAACAATCTTCTTAATTATTATAAGAGAGAGAATGTTTGTGTATGTCTGTCTGTATGTCTGTCTGTATGTCTGTCTGTATGTATGTCTGTCTGTATGTCTGTCTGTATGTCTGTCTGTACGGAAGTCATGAAATCGGGGAAAACTGAAAACTATCTAAAATTTGCTGAACTGACTTTTTTTTGGAACAGCCTGTAATATTATGTTGAAGAAACTGCATGAAAAATGTGAAAGGAAGAGCCAAAAGAAAACTATTATCGTAATTTACTTTTTAAATTTTTTTTACTATAAAAATATGTTGTTTTCGCTTTATCTTTTGGTACACGTACAGCTGATTTCTTGATAATTAGGGAAATGGCTGACCTGCGAATGAAGTGCTTCAACCGTAACAGTTCCAGTTCTTTGAGTTAATCCAACGAGCTGCTGAGATAAAGATGAGCGAAACAGTAGGTCTCGTTGTCGAAGTGAACCTCGAGAGCAATCGTCAACGTCAAAAGCAATCCACTGACCTTTTGCTGGCTTGAACACGAACTGCGGAGACATTCTAAATATAATGCTATGCTGTGGAAAATTCTTTGACCAAAAACTAGATTTGATGCTCGTTTAAGTAAATTGGCAACTCTAGGCGGCAAAAAAAACAGCTTTGATGTTTTGGTTGCCAAATTATTTAAATACTACAAATAAGGAGAGGAAAAGTCTTTACGTTTTTTACTGGGTTAAAACACGCGAGAACAGAACCAAACAAAACCCACACAATTCTTGCCGGCATCCCAACTTCAAAAGTTGTTTGTTATTAGAGCCACTTTTTTTACAGCCATAACTTGTCATGCAAACAAAAAATTTCATAAGCTAATTTTTTGGAAAAGTTCTCAAATGCTATTGGCTCAAACCTTTTGCATTTTTAGCGGTCGGTTGTTCTCTCGCAAAGAGAGGCTCTGGACTCGTTTGCTAGTCTTTCACTCCAAGCATATTGTTCAGCCAAAGATTTATAATCCGACCCATCAAGAACCGAAAAACACTAGACAAAAATTTTCCGTGCCGTACCGTGCCGGCAGAACAGGTATCAGACCTTAATTTTCCAAACCGAATCAGGTCGTAAAAATTTGGCATTGTGCATTTTACGGTCATAAACTTACATTAGTTTTGGCTCTTTTGTAATAGAGGCATCCAGCTCATTTGCCGGCATCGACTTATCCGATTGGTCGGTCTCGTCGCTCTCGCTTGACGAAGGGAATATTTTTTCGCCAAATTGAAGTCTCATTTGATAAAAAGTCGGCTTCATCTATAGTTTCGAGCCCCCCCCCCCCATTTTTACCCCTTGAGCACGGTAAGGAGTACTCCTTTCTCAGATGGGATGTTTCAAGTTGTAATTATTTGTGGAAATGTAAAGTCGCAGAAAGGGTATCCCTTACTGTACTTAAGAGGTAAAAAAGGAGGGGGTGATTCAAAAAGTATAGCTTTTTGTGATTTTCTTGAAAAGAAAAATATTCCAGTTGGTTGAGCGTCAATGCGTTTCCGATGCCATCGAGTGTTCGTAAATCATTTTGTTTCTTAGTTTGCTTAGTGCTATGTAAAATAAGATGTTACAAATAACGATAGTTAACAATCGGAACTTAGCGATGATCCTTAATTTTGTTGATTCCAGACATACAAGCAGGTATCAACATAGCGGCGCTGCATCTCCCTACCACTCACAATTTATTACCACACAATGAAGCAATAATACAAACCTCAATATCGATAGGATAAAATAATCACAATTAGGCCACTTGTTGAGCCAACAATAGTACACTAAATACAAAGGAACACAAGTACGGAAAGTGACCTCAAAAATCACAACTGGTACCCAAAAAGAAATAAATAGCTGAAACCAACCATAGATTAGTGACGCAGAAAGCCCGTTATTAGAAAAAGAGAAACAAAAAAAGCGGCCCAGAAACGGAAATAAAAGCAAACTAATATGCAATTGTTGGGGGTACAAACAGCGACAAGCTCAAAAATACGGGTCATTAGAAAATTTAATTTAGAGATTAGAGAACATTAGAGAATGAAATGGCCTACTTTCACAAATGCTGTTAATTAGTGAATTTCAGCTCAAAATTTAGCCTAATTTTTCCCAGTTCTCTTCATATCAGGGATAAGAAATACATTTGTTCGAGCATACCAAGCAAAGTTATCTTTTGATTGACGAGAAGAGGCGATTCGCATTTGATGTGCTCAATCGGTAAAAATCTCGCGCCAAACCCACTTCTGATTAGCGTTATCCTTATCACACCTAAAAAGAAAAGCAATTAAGTTCGTCTATAAGGAATAACTTAGTAAATTCCAATTAACTTTTAGCTTTCATAGCTCTATCTTGGCATTATTCCCGTCAAATTAAAATGAATACCTCTTCAGGAGCAACTCCGACGATCCTTGACTTGAGTCGGCCGTCAGACACGTGCTTCCCCTCTTGTACGTAATCATTTGAGTCTCCTGAAGAATTAGATTAGATTAGATAGAAAAGATTAGGTGTTTTGAGTTGATTGATTGGGGTGTTTAAATTATTCTCAAACTTTAACAAACCTTGTCATAATCGAACGGCCCATTTGCCGTTCCCTTTTGGCAGTGTCCTGTTTTAATCGACGATCCTTGTGGCGTGATGCACCATTCACCTTGACACATTTGTCCTTGTTCGTTAAGGCGGATCAACTAAATCAAAAATATTAAAATGCTTTCAATGTTTTTAGTATTAAGGAATGCAGGAAATAAACGAAAAGATTCCACAAGGTTGTCCCGGGGTTTCTAAAGCTCGAAATACCACGAAAATTTCACAATCACCTTATTCTAAATTGTGATTAGTTAGATTTATGCAAATTCCCCAAATATCACCTGGTTTCCTCCGTAACCGTGACATGGTGTGGCGCCAACTGTTCCAGGAATCGCTCGGCCCATCGTGTCGAGACACTTGCCTAAAGATGAGTTTTTTTGTTAGTCATCCGTTAAGCATTTTGTGTAGTTAAAGATACCGTCAAATAAAGTATACCTGTCGCTAGATTCTTGGCCTCGCCCCAGACTTTGTTCTTCGGCAGAATGGGGTAGGAAGCTGGCACGTCATAGGCTACGTTCTTCATGAACCTAACAACACAATGATATATTCTCAGTCGTAAATATCGTGTCTATCTAAATTCCAAAACCCACCAATCAAACGATTTGCACTGCAAGCTCTTCCGCAACTCTAATTGTTCGCTGATGTCCCCAGGGGTTCGGTGTTGAGCTGACGGTTCACGAATGAAGTACAAATCCCCATACTCGTCCATCCACGTGCGAATGACACGAAGCATATTCTAAATGATAAGTCCAGTACAAAAGGAAAGATTTCGACTCACCGTTGAGATCACCGGTTTTCCACTCAATTTACCAAATCCATATGGCATGTGGTTGCGATAAACGTGGCCAACATGGGAGCACGGGACGAAGAGAATTCCGCCGCCGCATTGCCAAATCTAAAAGAAAGATCATTATTCCGCTTCAATAAAGTATAAACCTTGAATGACAACTCGTACTGTTCTCCTCCCCAAATTTGTAGGCCGGGATCGTAGTACCCAAGTTCTTTGAACCACTCGCGATTGATTGCGAAAAGGCCTCCGGCATGTGTTGGTGATCTAAACAGGGTTAATATAGGATGGCTTGCCCCTTGCCGTTTACCTGAAAGGCTGACTGTCGTGTGTTCGATCGGCTCGTTCTTGTGCAGGGATCTCCGTCTCTTTGTACAACAAACCCCACTCAAAGATTCCTCTGAAGTTATTGCATTTGAATCCATTACACTGTCATAGGGTGTACACTGATCGCTTAATATTGATAACAAACCTGAAATGGCGATCCGGACTTCCGTACACGCTGCGATACTCCCACGTGTTCATGTCGATTCCATCAATCACCGGCACAGTCATCACGCGTCTTTAATATTTTAAAATTTTTCATTGAAAGCCTAAAACGTACTTGTTGTATTTGATTGGAGCGAGCAAAGGAGGCAACCAGTTGACGTTCACTTCACAATGCGCATCCAAAAAGAGAACCACATCAGCAGTTGCATGTTGAGCACCAATCGTTCTTGCTCTAAAGTCAGCAAGTTAATAAAATTATTCGTTAGTATATATCGCCTAATTAATCCTTCACGCTCCTTGTTTCGCACGAGCGTCACTTCAACTTTGTTCTTGAATCCCCGCTCGAGATAGTCCTCCAATTTCTTGCCCAGATGTTCTAAAAGGATTTATCAGCCAAAGTTTAAACATTCAAAACCTTTATCCGAGAAATCATCCACCATCACAACTTGTTTGAGCAGATGTCGGGGTGAGCGAAGCACAACCGAGTGAACCGTTCGAAGGAGAGGTGACCAACCTAAAAAGACTTTCTTTTAAACAAAAATTAAAAAAATCACACCTTCATTGTGAAAGACGATGACCACGGAAACTGTCGGCAAGTCTTCAGGGTAGTTCCAGTACTTGCATCTGAAATCAGAAATAAAGTCAGTATTATTAAATAGGGATATTAAACCCTTAACTCTCAACTAACTCACTCGGCAGGGCGAATGTCTGGGATTGTTCTCTCCATCCGAATCGCATCCGAGATCACCGTGTTGAAACCGAACTCGCGCATAGCCTAACTTGATATGTAACTTTTAAAAGTCTCGTCTTACATGCTGTGATTGTTGCTTTTCTTCCTCATCTTTGGGAAAGGCTGCTTCTCCACGTTCACCTAAAAGAAGAGTTGCGTCAAAAACCGAATACCAAATTAACCTCGATCATTTGTGACCTTTTCTGGTTCTTTTGGCTCGTAGTTGCCCGGTTTGCTGTTGTCGAATCGCGTGTTTGGATCGGGAGCGCCGGGAAGTGGAGTTGGTGCCTAAAAAGAAATTTATTAATGGTTGACTGTGATAAAGTTTGATTTTGCAATCTTTCAAGACAAAGAAACTCCACTTCGACAAGTTGATTCGCATTTAGACCGTGCGGAAGTTCCACGTCATGAGACTAAATCAATAAATTGCAGACACAAAAGCAACACATCGCTACCTGTTTCTCATCTGATCCCGATGATAAATAGCAAAACAAGACGAAGATGCCTGCGACGACCAGGAACGAAACCAACGGACTAAAAGCGAAAAGTTTGTACCATTAGAATTTTAAGACATAAACTTGGACACATTTTTCAAGTTTCCACGCCTAAGTTTCTATCAAGCACAAGCTAAATCTACTTAAGAATCAATGATATTTATACCATAAAGGATATGACTCTTACAATGCAATCAGTGATTTACTGAACTATTTCTATGTAGCTATTCACAATTCAAGTAGCAATCAATAATCCCATGAGGACCAAACGCTTACTTTCTTTTTACGGCATGTTTTGCTGTGAAACAGAAGCGTCTCACAACCACTGGTCTCAAGGCCATAAGGTACCCTTAAATGGAATGTCATCAAGGTTTTACACAACTCCACGTTTCATGTATCATTCGAGGCTTTTACCATGTATTTTCTCTTGAAGCAGAACAACGAAAAACAATTTATTACAAAACCCAACGAGAAACAATAAATCGCACATTTACTTCTTCTTGCCAGCAGGAGCCCCAGCCTTTTGCGCAGCCTTGGTGACTTTTCCAGCTCCCTCAGATTTGTCGACGCCCTTGATGACGCCCACAGCAACAGTTTGTCTCATGTCACGGACGGCGAATCGTCCAAGTGGTGGGTAGTCCGTGAAAGCTTCAACGCAGAGGGGCTTGGTTGGGATGAGCTCGACAATTCCGGCATCTCCGTTCTTCAGGGCCTTTGGGTTGTCCTCAACCTAAAGTACAAAGATAAGTTTAGCTCAAAATGTTTATTGAAATTAATGTGTATAACAAAAAGCTACCTTCTTGCCCGTACGGCGATCGACTTTCTCCTTGAGCTCTGCAAACTTGCAGGCAATGTGGGCTGTGTGACAGTCAAGCACTGGACAGTATCCGGCAGCAATTTGTCCAGGGTGGTTCATGACGATCACCTATACATTAAAAGATAAAACCACTCTTGAACAAAATCAGTTACCTGAGCGGTGAAAGAGCGGGCCTCCTTGGCTGGGTCGTTCTTGGAGTCAGAGCAGACGGATCCTCGTCGAATATCCTTGACTGAGACGTTCTTGATGTTGAAACCAACGTTGTCTCCGGGGACGGCCTCTGGAAGGGACTCGTGGTGCATCTCAACGGATTTCACCTGAATTGAACCATTATGAAGTGCTAGATGAAAAACACAATACCTCAGTGGTGACGTTCTGTGGAGCAAAGGTGACGACCATTCCTGGCTTGATGAGTCCAGTCTCGACACGTCCGACGGGCACAGTTCCAATACCGCCGATCTTGTACACGTCTTGGAGTGGGAGTCTGAGTGGCTTGTCAGTTGGGCGTGAAGGTGCGATAATCGCGTCCAAAGCATCGAGGAGGGTCTTTCCAGCAGCGTTTCCTTCTTTGCGAGTGACTTCCCATCCCTTGAACCACGGCATATTGGGGGAGGACTCGAGCATGTTGTCTCCGTTGAACCCAGAAATTGGCACGAATGGCACGGCGTCGGGGTTGTATCCGATCTTCTTGATGAAGTTGGAAACCTAATGATTAAATACATTAGATACAGCAAAGGCAACAATTACCTCTGTCTTGATCTCAGTGAAGCGGGACTCAGAGAATGGTGGCTCGGTAGAGTCCATCTTGTTGCAGGCGACGATGAGCTGCTTCACTCCAAGGGTTTGGGCGAGAAGAGCGTGCTCGCGAGTTTGTCCGTTCTTTGAGATTCCGGCCTCGAACTCTCCAGTACCACAGGCTACGACCAACACGGCGCAATCAGCTTGGGATGTTCCTAAAAACAATGTTGGTTAGAAAGTTGAACATTATTGTCAGCTGCTAGCCAAACTTTTCGGCCTAAGATAGTTTTACTTAACCAACTTAATAGGCTTGGGATGTTCTACTAATGATCTCATAAACCTGGTCTTGAATCTTTAGAATAACAAGGTTAGTGTTTTACCTGTGATCATGTTCTTGATAAAGTCACGATGTCCGGGGGCGTCGATGATGGTGACGTAGTACTTGGCGGTCTCGAACTTCCACAAGGCGATGTCGATGGTGATTCCACGCTCGCGCTCGGCCTTCAGTTTGTCCAACACCCAGGCGTACTTGAACGATCCCTTGCCCATCTCTTGCGCTTCCTTCTCGAACTTCTCGATGGTACGCTTGTCAATTCCTCCACATTTGTAGATGAGATGTCCGGTGGTGGTGGATTTGCCGGAGTCGACGTGTCCGATGACGACGATGTTGATGTGAACCTTTTCTTTGCCCATGGTAGCAAGTGTTTTACCTGGAAAAAGAAAAATTAGATGAGCGAAAAACTAAAATATTGAAAAAGAAGCATAGCAAGTCAGGGTTGCTATTTCAAAAAAAAAAGTTCTTCGGACGTAAGAAGTTGAGCTTTGTGCGTTAGCAGACTTCATGAGCACCTCACGGATTTAAAATTGAAAAGGGTCAGAACAAAATTTTGACAAAAATTAAAGTTACAGGAGAAAAAAGGTGAGGAAGCTTGTGAAATAAATTTTTCTCGCAAATGAAATTCTCGCCACCACACCTCGGGCGGCAGTTCGTCATTTGTAGTTGCGTAATTTGGTGTGTCGTGTATTTGTCGGTTTTTCCCTATTTTATTGAAAGTATTCAATTAAACCATGGAAATGTTGTTACAAATAAAAACTTTCGGCAAACTTTTTCAATTTTTTGTCTTGTCTTTTTTTTTCAATTTACACGAGCTGCTCCATTTTGGCACCCTTCTATCGAATTCTTGAGTTGGCCCCAAAGTATGCCCGATTTTGTTTTCAAACGTTTTTGTTTTTTGCCAAAATCTTAGGAATTGAACTTTTCACACACCTTGGTGCTCCAAAATTTGTCCCACTAGAAGCAACTTTGCGCAATTTTTTATTTTGGCTCCCTACTTCTTGGCTTTGAGGTTGTAGACCAGTTAAGCTCTTTAAACACTCCCGTTGAGCCAAATTTCACACATTCGAACCTTTTTCAGAGGTATAAAATTTTGATTGGTCTTTTTTTTTGTCTTTTCTCTCGGATCCTGACTTTTTGTTTACGTTTCTTTTCAACTTTAGATACTTGGAACATGCCTCCAGCACGCAAAGGAAAGGTCAAGGAGGAAGCGCCGGTCGTCTCGCTCGGGCCACAAGCACGTGAGGGAGAAAAGGTCTTCGGTGTCGCTCATATCTTCGCCTCGTTCAACGACACCTTCGTTCATGTTACCGATTTATCAGGTATAGCTTATTAAATATCACTTATTAATCCTCATCTAATGATGAGTGAATTTAAGTAGAATTGCAAATTGAAAGGTTTTTGAGAATTTAGCAATTTGCAGGTGCAAAGTAGCGAGAAAAAAGTTGCTGGTACTAGCCTATTCATGGTGATGGGAGGGATACACATTTTTCCTATAGTCAATTTAAGTTAGAAAATGAATATTTAGTGGTTAAAAATGGTTTTGGGTCTAGTTTTGACCTTGAAAAGTGCCTCAATAGTCGATAGCTTGGGCTCCATATAGTGAAGTACATTATAGAAGCGCGCACTTTGGAACCCCGAAACTGCTTAAAACGAATTTCTTCAAGCTCTCGTTGGGTTTTTCGAAATTTACGCGTAAAACTACCCCAGAAAAAGTGATTTTGGAGAGAAAAATAGTGCCCCTCCTCAACTAGGCTAGTACCAAGTTGCTTATTAAGCTAATCTTCAGATCAACTTGATTTTGATTTATGGCAAGACATTAATCTTGAGAAGACAAAAAAAAAAACATTAATCGTAGCTGAATATAACCAAGTGCCGATACAATTCTTTTTGTTTAGGCCGAGAAACTATTTGCCGCATCACCGGAGGAATGAAAGTAAAAGCGGATCGTGACGAGTCATCCCCATACGCGGCCATGCTTGCTGCTCAAGATGTGGCCGAACGTTGCAAACAGGTATGGATTTTATCAAACTTTCATTGGCACCCGAATTCCAGTTGATGGCTATTAAAGAAACTTAATATTCTACTTAAAATGGCAAAAATCAGTTATCTAGGTTTTAAGCAGTGTCACCAGGAGAATCATGAAAATTTTATCTCACTTCGCTAATATCTTTATTTTTAGCTTGGAATCAACGCTCTTCACGTGAAACTTCGTGCCACAGGAGGAACACGCACAAAGACTCCTGGGCCTGGCGCTCAATCGGCTCTTCGCGCACTCGCCCGAAGTGGAATCAAGATTGGACGAATCGAAGATGTGACGCCAATTCCATCGGACAGCACTCGAAGAAAGGGAGGACACAGAGGACGTCGACTTTAATTTCATCACCATTGTTTGTTCTTTATTGTTATACCGTTGATAAATATATCAGTAAACTTTTTATCAGGGGATAATAAGAAAAGAGGTGCTACTACACTACACAATTTGCATTCAAGAAAGCCAAAAATTAGAAAAGCTTTATTTTTTCTGTTTTGGAAAAATCTCAACAAATTTGACTCATCTTTCGCTCAAGAACTTGTCGACTATGAAACTTATTCGTGCCTTAGTTTTGTTAGGTTAGGTGTTACTTGTTTGTTATGTTATCTTTGTTTAATTTTGTCAAATTAGAACATGGTCAATGGGGTAAAGAAAGAAGTCTACACCAACGGAAGTTGAATATTAATTGCAAATTACCACATACCGTATTCTCTAATAGTACTATTTTTTTCAACCCCCTTCTGGACCGCAATACTATTAGGTAGTGCACGACTATTAAAGAGTTTTATCATTTTCCAAAAAAAAACAAAATCTACAACAGAATCATCATCATCCTTATTCAGTTCAATATTTTTGAGTTGATCCTTTACTCCGTTGATCGATTGTTCGAGACGAGCATTGGCGAGAAGTGTTGCGCTTTCAGAAACCGGTCCTTCTTTTTTGTAGCAATGAATGATACCATCTTCAGCGCCATCAGTAGCTGTGGTAATTGCACAACTCTTGAACAAGCTTACGATGAGCTTTTTTGGGAGTTCTTTCCAAGCATTCCAAACCCATTCAAGGTAATTTTCCATCGGTGGAGGAGCCGGGTTTCCATTTTCCTTCCAGAAATCGGTCCTTTTCCAAAGGTTTTAGTCCATCCATCATCCATCCCTCATATTGTGCTTGAATCCTAGTCTTAAATGGTGCATTCCACATGACATCGGGAGCTTCTATGTACTCAGTGCATCCTCCGGGCAGAAGAATCGAATCAATTTGCGAATACTTTAAACTTTTTTTGGTGGTTCCGCTTTTATGGGCAGAAAAGTTGTCCCAGGCGATTAATCGTTTTCCGAATAGTGGAGCACTAAGAACCCTTCGAAAGTAGGACTCAATTGAAGTATCATTCGTCCATGTAGACCCATCCCAGTGTAGCTCTAGCTTGTTGTGGAACTTTGTAATTACTTTAGGATCCGGTCTAACTCTATTCAGCAACACAAAGGGCCTACACTCGAAGCCATCATCACGGGCTGCTAGCATCACGGTGATTCGCATCTTATCGTGACCTGTTGAAAGAATCGCCACCTCTTTGAATCGAGATTGAAGTTTCGAATCCATCAAACGAGTTCCCATCGAGATCCATATCTAGAGAAAAAGATTATTTAGACAATAGCAAAGGTGACCAACAAGAATTATATAATATGAGAATCGAACATGATGGATTACTTTCTAAGATTGAGCTTTGATAACAATAAAGTTCAACGCCGCTAAAGTTAAAACAGTTCTCAAAAAGGTTTAAATGAAAAAGAAGCACTAAAAATGCAAATTTTCAAGGGTGCACTACTTTTTTTTCAAACCCCTCCCGGACCGCAATACTACTAGAGAGAATACGGTATATATCCTAATTTCCTAGTGATCCCACCGTAGTGTAGTAGCACCAGGAAAGATTTCAAAGAGCATACGATTAAAAAAGTTTCAAAATTGATAAATAGTAAAACAGGCAATAAATCAAGCAAAATCCTTATAAAATGTCTTGATTGCTGTCAACATTGAAAATCGCCTATCTGCGATTTTTTTCCCAATAAATACCCCGCAGTATGAGTTTTTTTTTCATTGGTTATGAGCCTATGAGCTTGCTGTAACCGAAATCCGAAATCTGATGCTAGAATAGAGTCGGTGTTTCTTCACTAAACTCGTCTGTTTTATCGTTTTCTTTGATAATCCTCTTTGTCTCTTTAGCTGTTGCGTGTACTGGGTTTCCCGATCTCTATTCAGTGCAAAACTTTGTGGGGTATTGCAAGGCTGGCAATCCCTAATTCGAAAACAGCGAACCGATTCCAAAAATTCTCTGGGGATTCGAGCAAAAAGGTGATTCTGGGGAGATTTTCGGCTCGCTTGCAGAAGCTTCAACGATTCTTCGACATCCGTTCGCATTTCTTTGAGTTGCAACAGAAGTTTGGTGGTAGGAAAGGTCATTTTGTCAGGGTAGATCCTCGATTTTTGTGGCAATGTCTGGTAAGTTGGGAATGGCATACCGAGATTGCTCAGCTTTATAAAACGTCAATTTTCTCGGCTATCGTAATCTTTCCTCTAATAAAAAGAAAGGCAAATCTTTATTCATTCGTTTCTGCAGAAACGACCCGCAATGTAAAAATCGGACGACGAGTAAGACAAGGGAAGTGAAGCAAGTACAATGTAAAGATAAAAAGGAGACAAACAATCACAAAAGCAATGGAAAAACGAATTCTTTTTAAGATGCATCGTAATTTCCTTCTAGGCGCTCTGGTGAGCAATCGTTTGCTCGGCGGGACGGATTTGGGACTCGAGAAGGGCGAACATGATCTGAAATTTAGCAATTCATTAATCATGGCTATCATACGGCAAAACCATAAGCTTACAAGTGCTAAGTACCCACTAGGATCTTTTTTTTATAGCAACTATAGCTAAAAATATTACCTGCACGGTTGAATCAAGATCGAAATCGTTATGCCATCCCCAATCGCGTCGTGCATTTTCATCGGCGAGTGCTTTCGGCCACGAGTTGGCTAAAGAATAAAAATGAGAACTGCTAATTCTAAAAAGCTCACCAATCTTTTGTCGAATCGGACAAATGTTCTCGTAGGTGATCTTGAAGTCGGGCATCACCTGGAAATTGTTATTATCAGCTTAATGCTTAACAAATCAGTTATACCTTTCGAATGGCTGTCGCAATCTCGTCGGGAGTAAAGGAGAACCCGGTCACATTGTAGGTCCGCATTGATAGTTGCTCTTGTTGAGCGGCGAGGAACTAAAACCAAAAATTCATTATAATAAATGTAATCGTTCCAAGAGCAGCTTCATTTCTTTTTCAGATTGATCCTGAGTCAGAAAAAAAAATAACTCACAAAAACAATGGCGGCCATGCAATCCGTGTCGTACATCATCGGCAAGCGGGTGTTCGGCTCGAGGTAGCACCTGAACGGAAAATAATAGATCTATCATCGCGCTACCAGTCTTAAAAAATTGTATACGCTCCAGAATGATCAAAAACTAATTGTAAAAAGCAACTCACTTATGGTGTCCATGTAAAATCGCGTCGTAGAAGATTTGAATGGCGTAATCTGAATAAAAAATGATCTTATTCTTTTTAAACTTTCTATCAGATTTAAAACTTGTTAGTCTCCTTTTAACATTTAAAAAAAACGAACCAGTTGTGCCACCACCGGGTTTCGTCGCCGAGATGATCCCCGGGAAGCGGAGACAACGGAAATCGACGCCAAAACGCTCGGCGTAGTACTCGCCCAGCAGCTCGTTGTACACCTAAACGTGGAACATTAGAATTGGAACATAAAAAAAATCAACTCAGCACCCGACAATTGGTCGACAATCAACCAATCCAAGATCCATTTTAAAAAAGATCCGACTAACCTTTGTCACTCCATAAATGGTTCTCGGTCGTTGAATCGTTAAATCGGGTGTCATCTCGAGTGGGGTCGTCGGCCCGAAAGCGCCGATTGTCGACGGGATGAACACCTTCAGGCGGTGTTTCCTGGAAAAGCATAACAGTAACGAATTATCACTAAAATGTGAATACCTGGCCACTTCGAGGATTTTGTTCGACGCGTTTGCATTCACCTCGATCGCCAATGGCACATTTTGCTCACCCACCGCCGAAAGCAAGGCCGAGAAATGAACCTGGAATGTAAAAAGTAAAAAAATTAGATAAAACCTTTAAAATGTGAAAAGTTTAGAATAAAATTGTGTCACCAACAAAAAAATGTCGACGATTATCGACAAATTAAAATAATTTAGATATGAAAACGTTGGCAAACGTATTTTCTGCAGCTTTTTATTGGGTTAAAAGATTCTCTACAGAAATTTCGAAAAATTTCTCACCAGTGTGTCGATGTTGTTGTTGACAACGGCCTCCTCGATTGCCCGCTCGTTGGTGACGTCGAGGAACGAGTAGTTGACTGAAATAAAGAAAAATTAGAAAGACTGGTCAAGTTTCGGCATCGAGACTTGTTCTGTTTTAAAGTTTAACTCAACTTCTGCCTCTTCTGGAACGCAATTTAGCCTTTGACAACGAAAAGCAAATCACTAACCAACATCGGGCGCGTTTGGGTCACACTTAACGATATCCGTCATCACCACCGATTCCTCGCCGTACATAAATCTGAAAAAAGGTGAAATGGGTAAAAATATGTCAGCTTACAATCACTGGACACGAAATTTTGAACCTGAGCATCGTTCCTAATCCTCTTCCCAATTGTCCCAACGAACCGGTGATGAGTGTTTTCGGTTTGATAACCGTCGACTCGGCCAACGCACGAAAACGAGTCAATGGGTCCTGAAATGAGATAGTGAACTTGTAAAATGACAATGAGGCTTTAGACACTCTTAATAGTTAATTTGTAACCCTTACCGTTCTCATCATGTGTTGTCCGCGTCGCTCGATTCCTCGACGAATCGCCTGTGAGGGGAAGAGGAGACCGCGTCTGGCGTTCATCTGACACGAGAATTTTTATGATTTTAAGGGAACAAGCAAACAAAAGGAAACAAGTTCACATGCAAATTTCAACACAAATTTGATGTTAGAATCATATGGAAATTTGGTCAACTCTTATCTGAAGCTTAAATACCCTAGAAATCTAAAATGTTCAACCTGTCCACTCCAGCTTGAACGTGAATGAGAAAATGGAACCGCGCACTCCCAGAGATCAAACGTGATTTATTAGAGAACCACTCTGCTGATCAAATCCAAGACAAAAACAAAAAAGGTTACCCAGCAGGTTTTATGTTTATGACATTTCGAAAATGAACTCATATCATTTGGATATAGAAAAGAATAGAATTCAAAGAGTTTTAATATGAAACTGCAAGACAGGCATTATTTCAAAACTCAAGCCCCATACTGCTATCCAGGATGGGAGAGAAATCAAAAAACTAGAACGACTCGAGCAAAATGGGCTGGGATATGGGTGCGGATCTTTTCTATGGGTTTTGTCTCGCCACAGTCTCATCCTTCAACCCCTCCCCTCGCCAATCTCACCCCACGTGCACTCATCCCACATTCGCTGATCGAATTTGTGTCTGTGCTTGGTGATGTGATTAGGAAATTGGTGAGAATCGCTCAACTTGGCGAGCATTTTGAAATAGCCTAGGTATTGCGGAAGTGTCAGAGTTGATTTTTGACCAAGATTGGATTTTTTTAAAAAAAAAACCTGCTTGAATCTGTCTAACGATTGTCAAATGATCACCCAAGAATGGGAAGATTCGTTGAAAGCATCGAAAAACTCTCCCCACTAGCCCAATAAACACAAAAACCGCACAAAAAAGATTGATGACTTGTGAGAGTTGATATCCATACACTAATATCCCATTTACTGTCCCCTGGAATGGCAAAGAAATTTGAGAAAGGAATGCGCTCTCCCTGGGTTCATTCAGACCGCCAATCACCCCACGTGGAAGATCAAACCCTTCCCACAAAAAGCAGTTATCAAATTTCAACGTCAACTAATCTCTTGTCGATTTTGGATGTCACATGAGAAAATAAAAGCATTGAAATCAAGATATCGAAAAGTTGGAACTAGACCAAGTCTTGCCTAACAAGTGGTGTAACTCAAAATGTTCAAAGCAACAAAAACCCGTCTCGGATGCATTCTTTAGGCTATGTGCGTTCCAGAATCAAGGAAAAACCATTCCTCCACTAGAGTGTCGGCAACGAAACCAACCCCACGTGGCCAGCCCTGAACTCACCCCATCTTTCTTGCACTCCTTCCAATCTCTCTCTCCTCTTCACGTTTTTTTTAAAAATTTTACCTTTCCCCAATCTGTCACATTGTCAAATTCCCATGTCGGAAACGAAGTTTTCGCGGATTTCCCCCCCTCTTTGCCCCGCCAATCACCGTCGCACAAATTTATCACTGTCTTTCGTCTTTGCACCCAATTTCTTCAAAAACCTCTCAATTATGGCATGCACTGGTGATGGAAATTTGTGGGGAAAGCGGCGTTTTTCCATTTCCCTTTTTCTTTTTTTGTTAGGTGAAATCTCGGTACTTTTTCGGTTGGTTGAGAAAGTGCTGTGCACAGAGCCGATAATCAAATCAAATCAAATCACCAAATCAATTTGAAGAAAGAAATTAGCCCTTAATTTTGCGGGAAACTTTTCAAATTTCGGGTACTTTCAGCGACAAAGAGTTTTTGTTTTGTTTTCATGGGGCAAACTCGAGTTTTGTGTGTGTATTTCTGCAAGAAGTATTAATTTTCGCCAAATACTCAATACCCAAAATGACTCATTTTTGAGTAGTGCAAAGTCTACAGATGATTCAAATCAAAAATCTATTTTTATATTCAACAAAAATGATTACCTAAACTCGAGGAATGCTTCTTATTTTTGCTTTTTTTTTAAATTTTACTGAAATTTATGATTAGCTTGCGAAACAACCATAAAACTGTCAAAAAGGAGAGTGGAAATTTTTCTTTTTTTTCAATTAAAAACCCCAAAATTGTGTTCCAGAAATTTGTGAAAATTAAAATTTTGTAAAATTGGTGTAAAATTTGAGAAAAGCTAGGCTTATCGACTTTTGGGATTTAATCAGTGAAGATTTTATCATTGAATCTGAAGTTGATTTAGTTTTAGGAATGATTAAATTCAAGGATTCAAGGATTCAGCGAATGCAAATGATGATGGCAAGCAATTTTAACTCAACTTCTTGACACTGAAGAGATATTGATATTGAATATTCAAACATTTCTACTTTGGCTACCAAGCTTGAGTTTCAGGCGTGAACTTGTGAACTTGCTTGTGTGATTGTGGATTTGAAGATTCAATGTTTGAAAGAACCGCTTTCTTTATATTGTACTCAATGAATCAATGAATTGGAAAGCACTTAAATGAAAGTAAATCAAAGTTTTAAAAAAAAAGATTTATTTCCCCATTTCAGTGATCATTTGTTTAGTGATCCGCCTCGATTTTTGATAAATTCCCCTCAACTTTCAATAGTTCTAATGATGCAGGCAAGTTCAACAATGTCCAACAACTGCCTCAACAGCCTCAAACGGGGATTTTACCTGGAATTTGTCCTTAAATCATTCACATATCATTTCCGAATTGAGTGCCAGCTCTTGAATGCCCAGAAAATGAACTTGCACCGTACTGCAGCCGATCATTTCAGCTGCTGCGCAGTACTCGGGCAAATCATCGAGAAATAGCACCTCTTCGGGTTCGCCAATACCCAAATCGCCCAATCTGGAGTGCATGAGCTGAAAATTTCTTGGAATTTTATGTACGAATTAAAGATTAAAGCAAGTTAATAAGCATCTGACTCTAGAAAGTCTCATGGTAGTGGTGCTATTTTCTTGCTTCTAAAATCATTTAAACGCTTGCTGATTTTTTCTTTATCTAAGTTTAATTGTGAAATTATTATAGTGGATGTTTTCTTGCCAAAAAGACCCGCTTTTTCATTATTTATCGAGGGGGGGGGGAGCAATGCAACCTTTTTTTGCGCAACCGGTCAAGTCGTCAAGAAAGAGGAGCTCTTTGGCCTGTTAACGACCACTCACCAACGACTTGGGCACGCCGGACGAGATATAATGTAGCATGGACTACGAGACTATCATGGGATCTCAAAAGAAGTAATCGAAATTTTTGTCAAGTTGTGCCCAGAATGCGATCTCAAAAAAGGAACACCGAAGAAAGGAATAGTCGTGAAGCCAATTGTTACAAAGGATTTCAATGAGAGATGCCAGGTGGATTTAATCGGTCTTCAATCCGTTCCCGATGGAGAATTCAAGTTTTTGATGGTCTACCAGGATCTTCGTCGTTTTGCGGGCATTGCAGAGGAAAACACAATTTGAAGTTGTCGATCATCTAATGGAAATATTCGAAACGTTTGGAGCCCCAAAAATTCTTCAGTCCGACAACGGAAAGGAGTTCGCCAACAGATTCGTAAGCTTTTACTTTTGTGTCCTATCGAATTTCTTTATGACGCTTTATTTTGTTTGCTTTTAGGTCAAAGAACTCGTGAGCCGGTGGCCAAGCTGTCGAATAGTGTCGTCCTCGACACTCGCAGAGTCAAGGATCTGTAGAAAGAGCAAACCAGGATGTTGAGGTAAACTTTTAATAACATTAATTTTTTTGATATTTTTGGTTTAGAAAATTCTATTGACGCAATTGACGAAGCAACAATCAACAAGATGGGCTCGAATTCTTCCGATTGTCCGATCAATGAAGAATCAACGTTATCACCGCGGCATTGGGCGATCACCTTACGAAGCAATGGTTGGCTTTTTGGTATTATTGTTTATTTTTGTTGTTTAGTTTGGTCGAAAAATGCAAGTTGGGTTTCTTGATACAATTGCACTATCGAATGCCGAGCGAAGCATCGACGACAACGAAGAAGATGTACGTTTTCTATTTCTTTTTTTAATTAGGGCTTAGGTTCCTGATCAAGAAGATGTGAAAATCATCGATTGGAGTGAAACGATTCGGGGCGCAATCACAGACAATCCAATATTTTTTCCGGAGACAGATGACGAAGAAGATGCTATTGCGAAAGAAAAAGAAGGAGGTATTTTAAAAGTTTTTATTTCTTAATTAACTTTTAATTATTTTAGATTTTGTTCAACGGGACAAAGAAATTTAGCATCATCGCAATGGAGCGGCTCTTAAACAACAGAAGCAGGCCGAAAAGATGCTCGAAAAATCTAAAAAGAGGTTGGTTCGATACTTATTTTAGTTTTGGGTTTATTAATTTTTAAGCTAGTGTTTAGATTTGGTGCTGTTGATGTCGAACAAACGGTTCGTTTGCCAATCGATGCAGTGGATCGTCCGAAAATCGGCCATTCAACGCTCTTCGGTATCGTCATGGAAGAAAACCAGGGATTCTATCAAATCGGCACCGCCAACGGTATTCTACGTTATTCTAATTAATTTTTCAAAGATTAGATTGACAAGGAATCAATTTGAGCCCGCCAATAAGAACTTCCTTTCGTTTGAAGAAGTGCCACAAGTTGAATCAACTTTTCGAGCCGCCGTAGGATCACAATCGCTGACTGGGACTCAAGGTAAACTTTTAAATAGTCCTGTTTTAAGTTTCTTTCAGGTTACAAGCATTGCAAATGTGTGAACGGGCGATGCGCCTGGTGGAAAGCCAACCTGCAATGCAACAACCGATGCCACAAGAGCAACACCTGCAAGAATAAGTAAATTTCAGTTTATTTTGGTATTTTAATGTTTGTTTACTTAATAAAATTTGAAATTTAAAGCCTCAAAAGGCAAAAAAACATTCAGAGGTGATGAATGCAAAAATAGATCAAAACTAGTAATACTTGCAACTTTGCATAGAGCAAGTGTAACTCAAGCTTTCTTTTTTGAGACTTCATCGGTTAAATTTATGTTATTATTTGTCGGTAGGTTGAGAGTTTTATCGATATTTTGATCCTTTTTCATTGAATTTATTATGCATTTTTATAAATTTGGTCATTTGGTCATTTGGTCATTTGGTCATTTGGTCATTTGGTCATTTGGTCATCACGTCATTTTTAAAGAACTTGTCTGTGAATTAATCATGAATGTATTTATTAATCATGAATGTATTTACAGAGAAAACGATAAATCAGGCGTTTCTTTTTCTTTTGCATACATAATATGGAGTGGCGCTTTTGTCTTTCACGAAATTGTAGTCGAGACCCCATGTCTTTGGCAGGCACTCTGTTTGACCTCTTGATTCTGTATTGACGATCTGAACATTTTCCTTTTCGATCAATGACAAAACATTGATCACTTACATAAAGGATCCCCTCATCAGCATGATCCCAAGGCTCTCCGCCACACCATTCGTGCTTGAAATCGAAAGCACTTCCATCAAGCCATTTCAGTGTGCCGTTTTGCTAGAATCAGTAGGGTTAAAGTGGATCTTGTGAACAGTAAAAGCTTACAATTGCTTACAAAAGCTTACAATTGCGAATTTTTAAAAGGTGATTATGAAAATATTGTTCTAGCTTTAACCCATTCGAAACCGCAGCGTTTTTTCTTTTTTTTTCGTCTACGGACCAAGCCCTTTTTTGACATTTTTGACTCCGAAGCAGTTTATTTATGGTTGGAAAGATGTAAGAGAGTCTCCTACATCATTTATTTTTGATGAAGAACGATTTGGATTTGACTTCAGTACTTTTCAAGATCCTATCGATTATTGTTCTTATTTTATCGACGACAATATTTTAGTAGGCGAATCTAATAAACATGGAAAAAGGAAAACAAACTGGCAGGATTTCGATGCAAAATCTTTCAAGCTCTTCCTGGCTTCAAATGGGAATCGTCAAATTACCGAGAATTCGTGACTACTGGAGTAGCAGGCCTGGATTAGGAGGATTTTCCCACATGTCCCACATTATGTCAAGTGCAAAATTTGAATCTATTCTTCGCAACCTGCGTTTTTGTGATAATGAACTGGATCCTGCAGGAGATCGGCTTTATAAGATTAGAGCTATTATGGAACATTTCAATGCAAAACCAGAGACTGCATTGATTCCGGGTAAATATGAAACATTTTTTTTGCCCACGTAATTTGTAGATCTGCTACAATTGGAATATACATGTAATGCTGAAAAACAGCAAAAAAAAGCAATTAATTGAATGAAAATAGCTCAATTAGCGCTGCAGCGAATAATCGCTGCAGCGGTCCGTTCCTGAGTTTTTGCTGCAGCGGTCCGTTCCTGAGTTTTTGCTGCAGCGATTATTCGCTGCAGAAGTTTCGAATGGGTTAAATTTCCTACAAAATGACACCTGAAAGATAAAAATCGGTTCACTGGGGGCTGAGATCGGAGGTTATCTTACCAAACATGTAATGGTGCAAGTAAGAGTCACCGAAAAACTCACTTGAACGCCGCCAGTTATGTAGAACCCGGCATCCAAATAGTGATCACTTGATACGCAGCACAAACCTGTAACTTATGTCTCATAGCTATCACTGGTTGAATGCATTGAAAATGACTCTTTTTGAAACGATTTTTCCTTTAAAAATGTTCATAATTTCTCTACAAAATAATTCTACAAAAGCTTCAAAAAACCCCCAATAATTCCAAAAATTGTTTGCTCTGCTCATTGAAAAACGAACCGGCAACGAAATCGTTCTCGGCCTCGCTGTGAATAGAGACCAAGTGAGCTCCCTGACTCACACAATAAGTCTCTGTATCGTCATAAAAGCTGTCGGAAAACACCTAAAGTTCTCTCATATTATGAAAAGATTTCATGAAAATCAACCAAATATTCGTATCCAAGTTCGGGCGCATATTGCCATCCTTCTTTGCAATTAAACGGTGGTTGTTTGTGTGCTAAACAAGGGGCTTTTTGAAAGCGAAAGATCCCTCTAGTTGGTGACTGAGGCTTGGACTCGAACTCGTGATCTTTTATTGAACGATTGCTTTACCAAATGAACCAACTGGCATCAATCCTGCTAGGTCTTATGGGAATCGCTTTGTGAAACAACCTGGATAGCAACCGAATGAATCCGTTGTCACCGATGGATCGCGGGTTGTTGTTGTCGGGATGAACGGTGGTGCAACGCAGATGAAGCTGTTGTAAGTGGACGAATCGACAGGTTTCCACAAAAGATCCGTTGCATCCAACAGAGCTCCATCGCAAACAAAGCATCCACTCGAGTCTAAAGTTCAATTTTCATTTATTGCTTAATTCAATAATCAATTTCACAACTCACTTTTTTTGTCGAATCGTTGATAGTCGAATGGTGACTTATCAATCCACGACCATTGCCCATCATATTTCTCTGCTCCAAGCCATGACTGTGTTTTCCCGGTCAGATCTTTAAGTTTGATGTGATGTGGAGGGAAAAGAGAGAAAACTTACTAAATTGAAGCTCAGCGATTAGACTATTCTGAAAGGCGTTGTGAATTGATGGGAGATTCCCGCCCTCTCGTTGACAATACAGAAATGCCCATGCCCAGCTCTCTGCAAAGAAAATTTGCAAATTGCAGATCTCTCAGTCATGGAAACTCACCAAAATAACGAGTGTTGAGTATGCAAAGATTCAGAGCACTTGAGTAGAAATATCGCTCATCGTGGCAAGTTGTGTCAATGCGAATTGGAGCGATCGAGGAAGTAATTACAGTCAAAGAGATAAGTAAAGCAAATAGACAAAGCATTGTATTCATTTTGTTATGTTAATTCATGAAAGTGAGATGAGAAAATGGTATTTATACTAGCTGGTGATTTCACTCTGAATATCTACATTGAACGGCTTATCAAATAGAAAAAAAAGGAGACAAAGAACCCTCTGATCTTTTCTGCTTTTTGTGTGCCCGACCCTTCACGTAAAGACTACGATTAGCAAAATGTTTCTATTTTTTGTATATTCTTTGTAAGCTTATGCGATTGTGCCCAATATTCGACACCAAATTTAAATTTGGGATTTAAACAATCAATTATGTTTTGTATTGCCAATTTTCGTGTAGAGCATTTAGCTCGTTTACTGAATATCTTTAACCTTTTTTTGCTTTATTTAAGTGTTTGTTGCATCTAGATTGATTGAATATTTTCATCCTGGGGCATAATATTACCCCAAAAAAAAAAATCACAGTAATTCAACAAGCGATCAGTAGAAAATGGGATTTAATTGTGAGCGTTCTGCATGTTGAAAACTGAACAGCCACAGGCACATGTGCAGTTTCAGTTTAAGCTTTCAGTTACAATCAATTTGGATTTAAACAATCGATTACCTTTTGTATTGCCAATTTTCGTGTAGATCATTTAAGCCGTTTACTGAATAGAATATCTTTAACGTTGGTTTGCTTTATTTAAGAGTTTGTTGCGCATCTTCGTGTCTTTTTTCATTCATATGAAGGAAATAAACTTCTTTTAAATCGAATAAAACTATTGTTTTCAAGTTGATTGATTTGCACGTCAAATTTGGGAAAAAGTTTGTTGATTGTCGATCAGATATCACGATCACGATCATTAAGGAGAAAGCATCTCCGCCTGGATAAAAGATTCTAGAGGAAACCAGTTCTTCTACCGGCTTTCTTCAAATTGTTTACACATTGGTTCTTAAGTTGCTAATTCAAGCTTTGGTAATCATCCCAATGTAAATGCCAATTGTTCTCTTACTAGCAAGTGCCAGCATTAGTCAATCCATCTAATGACAGCGGCTAAAAATAAACTCGTAAAATCTTAACCTCATCAAATTTTAAATCCAATTGTCTCCAACATTTCGACTTTTGTGGCTAGTCTATGTGATCAATTCGTTTGGATTGATAATAAACAGAGAGAACGATGGAATGCTTCTCCATTTGATTACACAGACATCAACATTCATGCTACTTGGTTTTAAACAGTTTAGCTTTTTAAATGAATTAGCAATTGATGATGAAGTTGATGATGAAACGGATGAGCAGCGATCAATCGTCTGGCACGAAAGCATGAATGTGCTTCTGTTCTACATGAACATGAATGTGGTATTTGAAGGTATTTGAAGGTATTTGGATGTATTTGAAGGTATTTGAATGTATTTGAATATATTTGAATGTATTTTAATGTATTTGAATGTATTTGAATGTATTCGAATGTATTTGAATGTATTTGAATGTATTTGAAGGTATTTGAATGTATTTGAAGGTATTTGAATGTATTTGAATGTATTTGAATGTATTTTTATTTTCAAATGATGTCAATGTAAAGCTTGTAAGCTTTACTTTATTAAATTTTACAAAACTATGCTAAAATTTTCTTCAAATTTTTGTACAAATGTTCATTTTAGTCGTCGCGATTGTTCGAAAGGCCGTTGTAGCGACTGAAATTGGGAAATCGAATGGGGGTTTTATTGATTTTATTGTAAAATTTTGACAAGTAACCTACCGTAAATACTGTAATAGTACCCTGCCCCCATAATGACGGTGCGGAGTGTTGCGTAGTCTAGCTTTGAACGAGATTTTTCTCGACACTGGTTTATGCTACTGTTTCGCGTTCTTCGGCTTCTCTCACGGGTGCTTCGCGTTCTTCGCGTCTCGCACTAGCCTCGAAATGCCTCGATTGGCCGGAGGTCCACTCAGTTGTTGTGCATGCATAGCTCGCCTCTTTCATCATATCGCTGTTTCAAAGTCGCGTCCTTGCAACCGGATGCTTTAAGCTCGGATCAACCAGATATGAAAACGCATGATAGCTCCGTATAGCTCAATGATCCTTCCAGATAGCTAGCTCGGGTTAAAGACTAAGCCATGCTTATCTTAGTTCAGCTATCTGGTTGATCCTACCAAGTGGTCACCGCAGGCGGAAAGACTAAGCCATGCTTATCTTAGTTCACCTATCTGGTTGATCCTACCAAGTGGTCACCGCAGGCGGAAAGGTGTGCGCGTTTAGGTATCAAAAAATAGCCGAAATTCAGGGCTATTTTTTGATACCAAAGACGCATTTTTTGAAAGTACGGGTGCTTTGAAAAAAATGATACTAAAAAATACTAAAAAACTTTTGCGACTACGCGACTGTACGAGGGGGATGGAGTACTATTACAGTATTTACGGTAAGTGTTTTTGAACACAAAGACGACCGCGCTTTTTTTAAGCCGAACTACCGTTTCGGATCGAGATTCAAAATCACCATCTAGAACCCAAAAAAACAAACAAACTTGTCAAACAGTCAAAGGTGTCAAAAAAATGATCAGAAATTCAAAGTTGATCTTTGATTTTTGAGTTTTCACCAAAAATCTAGGATTTAAAAATGAATTTTACAACTTTATAAGCAAATTTTATCTCTTAAAATGCTGATAAATTGAGAAAAGCTTTTGAAATCATTTGAAAGCTTTAAAAATTTCCGATTATTAAATCAATAAAAAGAAAAATTACCGAAATTTAAATAATTCTATTTTCATTAAATTTAAATAAAAAAAATAAAATTTTTTTAATAAAAATTCGATTTTCTTTATAAAGCTCCGATTTTTTCGCTTTTTATCAAAAACCACACAATTTCCTAGGAAAATTAATGCCGGATTCGAAAAGAGGACCCAGAATTACATGTCTTGATAAATTTTCAGCTCATTTGGTCCAGCCATTCACAAGAAATTCGGAACAGCCGTGACTCGGCATCAAGTCATGGCTGTTTCACGGGTCACGAGCTGCCAAGCGTGACTCGGCACCAAGTCATGGCTGTTTCACGGGTCACGAGCTGCCAAGCGTGACTCGGCATCAAGTCATGGCTGTTTCACGGGTCACTAGTTGTCAAGCATGACTCGGCATCAAGTCATGGCTGTTTCACGGGTCACTAGTTGTCAAGCATGACTCGGCATCAAGTCATGGCTGTTTCACGGGTCACTAGTTGTCAAGCATGACTCGGCATCAAGTCATGGCTGTTTCACGGGTCACTAGTTGTAGCTGTCAAGCGTAACTCAGTCCCGTCAAGTCAAGCTCAAGTCACGCGGTCGTTTATGTGTTAACAAGTTTTCTTAAAATGACAGTTTGTAAGGAATTTTTTGAAAATGAATCAAAACTTTGTCTTCTCACCTTCCATATCGACCGTTTGAGTAGTCTTGATTGTAGGGATAACGATTGTTATAGTTGTTTGAATAGGGATAGCGATTGTTATAGTTATTTGAATAGGGATAACGATTGTTGTACAATGATGAGGAAGATGGGTAGTTACTGTTTGACGAATAGATGCTGCCTTTGTCGTACTCTTTTGACTGATCTTTTGATGTCGCTAAAATTGATAGATTTAAAGAAAAACGGTCTAATAAGCTTCTAGATAAGGCGAATTTTTCAGAATCAAGACAAAGCGAAGATCTTAGACAAAAGTCTAAGATCTTCACCTTAGACTTTTGACTGTTAATGAAAGCCAACTCACCAAGTGCAACCAGCAAGACGAAGATGAGAAAGCCAAGGAGTTTCATTTTTGTGAAATAACGCTTGAAATGAAAATCTGATTTTTCTTATATACTCTTTCTTATTTGAGGAATTTCTAAAGATTTGTCTATTTATTTGTTCTTGTTGTGACTGTTGTGACTGTCGTTTCTTTGAAAGGTTAAATGTAAATAAAAGTTTACTCAAATAGGATCACCAGAAATGTCTAGACACTTGTTTCTTTTAAAAGAAAATACTGTAAATCTCAAGTATTTTTGTTTATTTTATTTACTTAATCAAATAAACACGATTTTTTCACCGTTTTTCATACTGAAAGTTTATAATTCTATTGTATTTCAAAAGTTTTACATAGTTTTTAAAGCTATGCAAAGCTTTATAAGAAAAGCTTTATAAGAAAAGCTTTAGAAGAAAAGCTTTAGAAGAAAAGCTTTAGAAGAAAAGCTTTATAAGAAAAGCTTTATAAGAAAAGCTTTAGAAGAAAAGCTTTATAAAAAAAGCTTTATAAGATAAAATTCCATTGGTTTTCATTGAGCTGGCTAGCTGGCTGGCTGGCTGAAGTAAAAATCAATAAAGATGTTTATCGAAAGGAAATTCTTGGACATCTCATTCTTCCCTAGGTTCAACAGCTTCAGAAATCAACTTTGAACTTTTCAACAGGATTCCTCACCTTTCCATAAAGCAACAAGGGTTTTACAACGATAAGCTTTATAAAAAAAGCTTTACAAGAAAAGCTTTATAAGAAAAGCTTTAGAGAATAAGCTTTATAAGAAAAGGTTTACAAGAAAAGCTTCATAAGAAAAGCTTTACAATCTAAGCTTTATAAGATAAGCTTTACAACATAAGCTTTAACACTTTACAAATATATTAGTTTTATCTAAACTTTCTATTAATAGCTTTGCATTTGTTTTTGTTAAACTTTTTGATATAAAAATTGTTTATTAAAGAGACATTTAACGCTAAACAATCACATTAACTGTAAAATGATAAAGAAATTTTATTGAATAAAATACTGGCAAATAAGCTGAGAATAAAAAAGAATAAGAAAATATAAAAGCAAAGAAAGATTCATTTCCCTATTTCAGTGATCGTTTTTTTCATTTCTAACTCGATTTTTCCTAGATTCTTCTCAACTTTTAATAGTTCTGACGTAGGCAAGTTCAACAATTCCCGAACTTTCTCTACAGCTTCAGATGGGGATTTTACCTGGAATTTGCCTTTAAATCATTCACATATCATTTCCGAATTGAGTGCCAGCTCTTGAATGTCGGGAAAACGAACTTGCACCGTATTCCAGCCGATCATTTCAGCTGCCGCGCAGTACTCGGGTAAATCATCGAGAAATAGCACCTCATCAGGTTCGCCAATACCCAAATCGCCCAATCTGGAGTGCATGAGCTGAAAATTTCTGGGAATTAAAGCTATAGTTTGAAGCTAGTTTGAAGCTAGTTTGAAGCTATAGTTTTGAAGCTATAGTTTGAAGCTAATTTGAGGCTATAGTTTGAAGCTATAGCTTTCAAGCTATAGTTTGAAGCTATAGTTTTGAAGCTATAGTTTGAAGCTAGTTTGAAGCTATAGTTTTGAAGCTATAGTTTGAAGCTAGTTTGAAGCTAGTTGAAGCTAGTTTGAAGCTAGTTTCAAGCTATAGTTTGTAGCTATAGTTTGTAGCTATAGTTGAAGCTATAGTTGAAGCTATAGTCTTCAAGCTATAGCTTAAAAACTATAGTTTTGAAGCTTCAAGTTTTTAAGCTAAAGTTTGGACCTCTAGCTTGAAAACTATAGCTTCAAACTAGCTTCTAGCTATAGTTTCTTACCTCGAAAATATCTCGATTCGGTTTGTGAGTTCCAACTTGACAGCTCTCAATGACAGTATCGAAATAGAGAGCTGAAATCGAGGATTGATCAGCTTTATATTCTTGCAAGACTTACAGTAATCAATCGGCAGAATCGGTTCCACACTTCGCGCATTCATGAAAAAGCAATTCGACAGGAGAGCCGTTTTGTAGCCATTTTTACGAAGATCTCTCAACAAAAGAAGCATGCATTCGTTCTGAAAGTTGAGTTCCAACTTGACAGCTCTCAATGACAATATTAGTTAAATCTTGAGTTTATCTTGCTTTGCTTTTTTGCTTTTTTGCTTTTACAACCAACCAAGACACCCTGCTGTTTCTCTTTCACTGTCAACCATCGAATCGGCTCTGTCACTTGGATTCCGTACTGAAAAAATTGGATTGGATTGACTGGTTGGATTGACTGATTGGATTGACGATTTTGCATCATATCCAATTTAAAATAAGACGGAATTCTTCTTCTTTTTCTTCTGTTTTTACTGTAATTTCAATTCTCGTACCACTTGACTGATGGCCTGAATCCAAATTGTTTCCTCGAACTCTTTTGCGGTGATCTCACCGCTCATCAACTCAAAACACTTCTCAAAGCGAGTCCATAACTGAATTTTAGAGAGAATTCTAGATTCTAGAAAGATTTCTAAATTAAATCTCGACTCAAAATCTCTTTGTCTTCCAATAAAACTCTGTTTTCGATCGATCTTTGATCTATTTTTATCGATTTTTAACGATTTTATCGATTTTTATCGTTTTTTGATCGATTTATCGTTTTTTCCTAGCTTCTTCTCAACTTTCAATAGTTCTGGGCAAGTTTAACAATGTACAAACTGTCTCTACAGCTTTAGATGGAGATTTCTCGACTATTTAAATCTCGACGATTTAAATCTCTTTTCAAAATCCCTTTTCCTTTCAATAAACCTGTGTTTTTGATCGATTTTGTATCGATTTTTTATCGTTTTTATCGATTTTTTATCGATTTTTCCTAGATTCTTCTCAACTTTCAATAGTTCAGATGCAGGCAAGTTTAACAGTGTTCTAACTGTTTCTACAGCTTCTACAGCTTCAGAAAGAGATCTCTATTTAAATCTCGACTCAAAATCTCTTTTCCTTTCAATAAACCTGTGTTTTTGATCGATTTTGTATCGATTTTTTATCGTTTTTATCGATTTTTTATCGATTTTCCTAGATTCTTCTCAGCTTTCAACAGTTCTGACGCAGGCACAATGTACAAATTTAACATTTAACAATGCTAACAACACAATTTAACAATGTATGAACTGTTTCTACAGCTTCAGAAAGAGATCTCTATTTAAATCTCTTCTCAAAATCCCTTTTCCTTTCAATAAACCTGTGTTTTCCCCTCTAAAAACTTCTCGATTGGTATGCCGATTTTCATTGACATTTCCTCGATCATTCGACTCACTAATCTGAAAAATAAACTATTATTTAGTAATTTAGAAAAAGAAATTCTAGATTATCTATTTAAATAAATAACTTTTAAATGAGAAACTCGACTTATTAGAGTGAAAAAAACTTACGAATATGACATGATAACTCCACCGAAATCGAAAACAACAGCTCGAATTTTCGAAAGCGATTTCTCACTCATCCCAACACTAGTTTTAGTTCTCAATTTTACAAATTTATAAACAAAATTAATAGTAAAAGGTTTTGTAAGTTTAAAAAAAGGCACAAAAAAAAGAAAAACAAAAGAAAATAAAAGAAAACAAAGAAAAACAAAAGAAAACAATGAAAAACAAAAGAAACAAAAGAAAACAATCAAAAACAAAAAAAAACAAAAGTAAAACAAAAGAAAACAAAAGGAAAACAAAAAAAAAACACGGCACGGCAAACGCATTATTGCTGTTTATGGCGGCAAACGCATTATTGCTGTTTATGGCGGCAAACGCTGTTTGTACACGGCGCTTTTTTTGATTAGCTCCCATTTTCTGCGGTTTAGTTGAAAGAGAATTGGTTAAATTAAGTTTCAAAAGACATTAAAACTACAAAAAGACAAAACGCTTTGAAGAAAATGAAGTAGAAGGGAGTCGAAAGTCGAAGAAACGAAAAAAAAACCATTTTAGAAAATGAAAATGAGCTGAATAATATAATGGGAAGGGGAAGATAACCTTAAAACGCGCTAGAAAAGGGAAAATAGATCTTAGAGAAGAAGAAAAATTATGCAAACAACAACAACAAAAAACTAAAAAACTAAAAAACTAAAAAACTAAAAAAGAAGAACAAAAGAAAAAAAGAAAATAATAAAAAACAATAAAAAACAATCAAAAACAATAAAAAACAATGAAAAACTGCAAAATAAATCTTTTAAAACAACTCAAAAGTCACTGAAAACGAAAGGAAATCAATAATTTAACATCAATGAATGCACTTTTTGCCCTTTTTTGCCCTTTTTTGCCCGCACAACCCTCAAAAAGTGATAGTTTTCATCGTTTTTCTTTTTTTCTTTTCTTTTTCCCTCTCATTGCAACGATTTCTAAAGAGAAGCCGGTAAAACGTCAAAAAAAAACACGTAAACAATTGTTTATTTTTAAAGTTTTCTCACTGCTGGAATGCATGCTTTTAAGTGGATTTCAATTTTTGCACAAAAAAAAAAATTTTTTTAATTTTAAAAATCGAATTTTTGAAAATGAAAATAAGCAGAAAAAAGTGGGAATTTTTTATAAAATTAAGAAAATTTCTTTAAAAATTGAATTAAAATCTTTTGTGATATCCAGAATGAGTTAAAGTTTAATTTTTAACAAAAATCGATTGCAAAGCTTTCTCAAAAAGAACATAAAAGCAAACACAAAAGCACACAAAACCATAAAACCAGTTTTCCTCGAATTTCCTTGAGCCTTTACCCCCTTCCTCCCCCCCGCCTCCTTTTCTACTGAAAGCTCATGAATTCTATTGAATATTTTGAAGAAAAGAAAGTGACTGGCGAAGGAGAATCCGGGTGCCTAGAGAACAATAACAACACTAACAATATCCTCAATTACCTTTCATTCGAATTTCGACTCAGAACTCAGAATTCTTTCCAATTCTTTCCAACCCGATTTAATCCATTTTATTAATTGAAAATGAATCTTGTCATTTGTAAAGCTGGAAGGCAAAACAGAGTTTGAATGGATTCGGACAGTCGTACCGTCGGACAGTCGTACCGTCGGACAGTCGTACCGTCGGACAGTCGTACCGTCGGACAGTCGTACCGTCGGACAGTCGTACCGTCGGACAGTCGTACCGTCGGACAGTCGTACCGTCGGACAGTCGTACCGTCGGGCAGTCGTACCGTCGGACAGTCGTACCGTCGGGCAGTCGTACCGTCGGACAGTCGTACCGTCGGGCAGTCGTACCGTCGGACAGTCGTACCATCGGACAGTCGTACCGTCGGGCAGTCGTACCGTCGGACAGTCGTACCGTCGGACAGTCGTACCGTCGGACAGTCGTACCGTCGGACAGTCGTACCGTCGGACAGTCGTACCGTCGGACAGTCGTACCGTCGGGCAGTCGTACCGTCGGACAGTCGTACCGTCGGGCAGTCGTACCGTCGGACAGTCGTACCATCGGACAGTCGTACCATCGGACAAAAATCGATTCACTTACCCTAATCGATTACTCTCGATTTCACCGCATTCATCACTCGAATAAGTTCACTTTTTGATGAAAAGCTTATCCTGGAACGCACACTAATCTTTTATAACTTTATCTTATTGATATTACTCATTTTGGATCTTAACGGTGAGCGGTAGCGATTATTGGCGGAGACCAATTTTTTGGCCAACTTGCACCTCATTTTTAAGCTTCTTAAACTTGTCACATCAGGAAGTTTTAATAAGATTTAAATAGCTTAGAACGTCAGCTTTCAGAAAGTATTTGTTTGATCAAAAATTGTCAAGAAAAACTTATAGAAAATTGAGCTGCAAGTTGGTCGAATTTTGTCGAATCTAAAAATAAAATTCAAAGATTCGGGCTCCGCCAATAATCGCTACCCCCGCCGTTGACCGTAAAGGTTCACCATTTTCATTTTGGTTCAATTGCCCAACTTCAAAAATGATCGAGTTTTAGGAAAACTTCCAGTTTTCTTGAAAACCAAGTAAACAAACGTGATTTTGGAAATGAAAATTTTAGTGGAAAGGTTTTTTCTCACCAAAATTTTACTCATCTTTCTCTCAAGCCTTTCATTTCCACTTTCTCTATTTTCTCTTTCATTTTTCTCTTTCCATAAACCTTTCCTTTAATTTCCCCATTGAAAAATTCGTTTTCCGTTTTGTTTTGTCGAGTTTGAATCGATTTTGGCAAATCATATGATCTAAGCTCGAAATCAGTAACAATAGTAACAATACTTTTAACAAAATCAATTCTATTTTGAATCCTGGCATGCACAAAGCCGATTAAATATTTCTTAACATGACATTGTGTAAAGAATTTTTTTTGAAAATGAATAAAAACTTTGTCTTTGAGTCTCCATATCGACCATTTGAGTAGTCTTGATTGTAGGGATAACGATTGTTGTAGTTATTTGAATAGGGATAACGATTGTTATAGTTATTTGAATAGGGATAACGATTATTATAGTTATTTGAATAGGGATAGCGATTGTTGTAGTTATTTGAATAGGGATAGCGATTGTTGTACAATGATGAGGAAGATGGGTAGTTACTGTTTGACGAATAGATGCTGCCTCTATCGTACTCTTTTGATTGATCTTTTGATGTCACTAAAATTGATGGATTTAAAGAAAAACGGTCTAATAGATATTAGGTTGATGCAAAAGTCTTTTTCATTTTTTTCGTACTTCCGTTAAAAAGTAACAAATGCACCAATTGAACAACGGTTTATTGCATTCGAAAGGCCAATTATTTTTCTGCAAAATGACATTAAAACGAGTTTAAAATGTCTTATGTCTAGATTTTTTTGAGAGCCTAAAGTCGGGTAGTCAAAAAAGGCGACGGCTCGATGATGCATTTTAGACGCTTTAGCTAAGGAAACCAATCTTGATGTTAATAAATAAAAGATAGAGCACAAAAAGTTAGATATTTTTTCAGATTTTCAGAGAAATTGATTCAGCCAATTTCTTTATAGAGGTTTTTATAGATTTTTATGAAAAACCCGTTTTCACTCTCGAATTTTTCTTGAAAGTGAACCCAAATTGACTTAAAAAGATGGGAAATTGAACAATAAACACTTTTCATTTAGAGCAAACCATAGGTTAATTGATGACTTTGTTATTTTTCAAAAGAAGTACGAAAAAAATGAAAAAGACTTTTGCATCAACCTAATATTTTATTCAATATTTTCTTATTCTTTTTTATTCTTAGCTTATTTGTCAGTGTTTATTTTATTCAATAAAATTTCTTTATCATTTTACAGTTAATGTGATTGTTTAGCGTTAAATGTTTCTTTAATAAACAATTTTTATATCAAAAATTTTAACAAAAACAAATGGAAAGCTATTAATAGAAAGTTTAGATAAAACTAACATATTTGTAAAGTGTTAAAGCTTATGTTGTAAAGCTTTTCTTAAAGCTTTTCTTATAAAGCTTTTCTTCTAAAGCTTATCTTGTAAAGCTGATCTTATAAAGCTTATCTTCTAAAGCTTTTCTTGTAAAGCTTTTCTTCTAAAGCTTTTCTTATAAAGCTTATCTTGTAAAGCTTATCTTATAAAGCTTATCTTGTAAAACTTATCGTTGTAAAACCCTTGTTGCTTTATGGAAAGGTGAGGAATCCTGTTGAAAAGTTCAAAGTTGATTTCAAACCATAGGTTAATTGATGACTTTGTTATTTTTCAAAAGAAGTACGAAAAAAATGAAAAAGACTTTTGCATCAACCTAATAGCTAATAGATAGCTTCTAGATAAGGCGAATTTTTAGAATCAAGACATCGCGAAGATCTTAGATTTTCACTTTCTCTATTTTCTCTTTCATTTTTCTATTTCCATAAACCTTTCCTTTAATTTCCCCATTGAAAAATTCGTTTTCCGTTTTGTTTTATCGAGTTTGAATCGATTTTGGTAAATCATATGATCTAAGCTCGAAATCAATAACAATAGTAACAATACTTTCAACAAAATCAATTCTATTTTGAATCCTGGCATGCACAAAGCCGATTAAATATTAAAAATATTCTTTTCGTTCTTTAAAACCTAACTTTCTAATCAAGATTTACACAAAACAGTACTCATTCTCAAAAATCTTTCCAAACCTTTCCAAACCCACTAAAACCTTTCGAACTCGTCCGCCTGCCATCCAGAAAAGCCATTGCTGTCGTTTTCTCCTGCAAGTGATATCAGGCTGTGGATCTATTCTGCCAGTCCTGTATCCACTGCCATTCTCCCCTCCCCCCAAGGCTGTATCTTTTCACTGATTGACTAAAAACCGGTCTACCACCCGTTTCTTTTCTTTTTCATTTCCAAATCGTTGACTTTTTCACAGATTTTTGGATCACAGAAGAAACTTTTCATCGTTTTTTCGTCTTTTCTCTGGGGATTTTCAGCTCTGTTGTTGTTCGTCACCAGATTATAGAGTTACCGAACCGCAATTTTAACAATTTCATTATTTTGGTAAATCCTGGAACGCACAACAACTCTTTTCAATGTCATTTTTGAATTTTGAACAATTTCTGATGGATGGATAGACGATCGATTCTTACCCCAGCAATTTCTTCCTCAAAATCTTTCAATCCAAAAATATTCTCGATTTTTTTTTCGTTCCTGGATAGCATTCTTTTCAAATTTATGAAATTCAACAATTTTTAGATTAAAATGCGAAATCTCATCGGTGTTGAGCCATTTGATGCAGAGATCTTGCGAAAAGCAGAGAAGCTAAGGTCAATGATTTCAAAAAAATCAATCCTGGTTGTCACTTGAAAGATTGGTAACGTAGAAAATATTCAGACAACAAATAAGCGTACCCGTCGAGTTGGACTCTCCATTTTTTCTGGCTCGTTTCCTGCGCGGGAATCGAGGCGACGAGGAGTTGACTGCGAAAAGATTAATGGGTAAATCTTGCTCGTATTCTCTAAGCTAACAGAGCTAACAGACAGAGCTGACAGACAGACAAACAGGCAGATGAACAGAAAGACAAACAGGCAGATGAACAGACAGACAAACAGACAGATGAGCAGACAGACAAACAGACAGACAGACAAACAGACAGACAGACAAACAGACATACAGACAAACAGACAAACAAACAGCCAGACAAACAGACAGATAAACAGCCAGACAAACAGACAAACAAATAGACAGAGAGACAGACAGATAGACAGACAGACAAACAGACAGATAAACAGACAGACAAACCGACGCAAATCAAGCCGAAACTGGTTCACAATCGTTGCTCAGCTTTTGCCGGCTTTTGATTTTCAAATTCAGACTATTTCACGCATCGTCGGCTACTCGGCTATGACAAATTGGATGATATGCAAGTTTTGCGAAAACATCCAATCACAAAGGCCACATTCGAGCGCTTCTCAATATCGAAAATGGAGCCGAGTCTTCGATCGAATAACTGTCATGTACTCATCCAGAAAATGGAGGGATCCGATGTGAAAGAGGTTTCTTTTTAAATAAATGAAATCGACTTTCTCGACTCGTGCGCCAATCAAAAACATTTTTTGTTTTCAGATTATCAAAGTGATTCCCTTATCCTATGTGCTTCATAGCTATTTCGCTTTGCAGGAAATGTTCTGTCGATGTATAGCGAAAACTGAGAATGAGACAGGTGAAGAGATTAGGAGACTAGAATCAAATCAAATCAAATCAAATCAAATTTTATCTTTAAAACGTATTACAGACGTTCTAACACTTATTTTATCACTTTGTTTTTACAAGTTTTCTTATTTAGAAAACTTAAATTAATCGATAAGAATGGTAGAAATAAAGTTTATTCAATCAAAAATCGAATCCAAATCGAATCCGAATCCAAATCTCCCAGGTCGACCCTCAGCCGTCGTTTGTGTACTCGACTTGAAAGGTCTAGCTCTTGCTGATTTTGCGAATCCCCTTGGTGGACCAGCAAAGCTAGCACGTCTTGTTGTGAAAATCTGGTCCGACTACTTCTCAGAAAATGTAAGTAACCAATGGAAAACTTATGGAAAAGCAAAAGCATTTCTTCTCCTTCCAGATGATCAAATTGGTGTTGATCAACCCGCCTGGCTTAGTCTCACTTCTTTTCAAAATCACCCGCTTGTTGATGGACGAGGCAACTGTGCAAAGGCTGTCCATTTTGCAATCATTAGACGATTTACATGCTCTACTCGAGCCACAGGTTGGATTTGGCAATGAATTATGGAAAAAAAATCTCTTAGGTGATCCCTCTAGTCTATGGTGGGCAATGGGTTGATCGATCGGGATTCGCGGATCCACCCGAAACTTGTGTCAATCAACTCTTGCCCGTTCTTCAATCAGAGCACCGAAAAGCTGAAGAGATTTGGGCTGAAGAGGGCTACATTTCTCCGCCACAATCGAAAACTTTCACTGTCAAGGGCAGACATAAACACGATGTACACAAGTTCGTTTTTCAACAGTCAATAGCCTTTTTGCTTGTTGGCTTTGATTTTATCGGATTTCGACACAATCTAATCCTCTATTTGACCTCTTCTATATAAAAGATTAAGAATTATCTCTAGAGAAAGTTATAGGCTTTCAAATGATTGCCTCATTCAGCCAAAAGCCGACTTTCAAGCCTAGTCTTTTCGTTTTCTTAAATTGAATCTAGTTCTACCTACCATTCATCCAAGATCCGGCTTTCAAGATAAATCTTTCCGCTTCCCCGAATTTGAATCTAACTCTGCCCGCCATTCCGCCAAGAGTCGACTTTCAAGCCTAGTCTTTTCGCTTTCTTAAATTGAATCTTGTTCTACCTACCATTCAGCCAAGACCCGACTTTCAAGCCTAGTTTTTCCGTTTTCTTAAATTGAATCTAGCTCTACCCGCCATTCAGCCAAAAGCCGACTTTCAAGACAAATCTTTCAGCTTCCCCAAATTTGAATCTAGTTCTACCTACCATTCATCCAAGAGCCTTTCAAGCCAAACCTTTCCATTATTCCAAATTTGAATCTAGCTCTACCTGCTCTGTCGTATAATCGTTCGTTAACTACTATATATAAAGCAGAAGAGACGTCTGTCCGTCTGTACGTAGCCATTGGCAAAAAGGGGCGGGGCTTAGATTGCGTGGAAAATGCGAAGGTTAGTGAGCGTTTTCCGCTGGTTTTACTGATAATTTGGTAAACATTCAAAGAGAAACTAAACTATTATAGCTCATTCGATAGCCCTGAATCGCTTGAAAACTATTAATAGAATAAAGTTATCAAGAGCTTTCTGCGAAAACAAATAGCAAAAGTCCTTAAATCGTCATCGTACGGTCAACCGGGGCCGGATTGTCGTGCGGATTAAATCAAATCTCAAATTAGTTCCTATTTAGTTCCTTTATAGTTCCTATTTAGTTCCTTTGTAGTTCCTTTATAGTTCCTTCATAGTTCCTATTTAGCTCCTTTATAGTTCCTATTTAGTTCCTTTATAGTTCCTTTATAGTTCCTTTATAGTTCCTTTATAGTTCCTTCATAGTTCCTTTGTAGTTCCTTTATAGTTCCTTCATAGTTCCTTTGTAGTTCCTTTATAGTTCCTTCATAGTTCCTATTTAGCTCCTTTATAGTTCCTATTTAGTTCCTTTATAGTTCCTTTATAGTTCCTTTATAGTTCCTTTATAGTTCCTTCATAGTTCCTTTGTAGTTCCTTTATAGTTCCTTCATAGTTCCTATTTAGTTCCTTTATAGTTCCTTTATAGTTCCTTTATAGTTCCTTTATAGTTCCTTCATAGTTCCTTTGTAGTTCCTTTATAGTTCCTTCATAGTTCCTATTTAGTTCCTTTATAGTTCCTTTATAGTTCCTTTATAGTTCCTTTATAGTTCCTTCATAGTTCCTTTGTAGTTCCTTTATAGTTCCTTCATAGTTCCTTTGTAGTTCCTTTATAGTTCCTTTATAGTTCCTATTTAGTTCCTTTATAGTTCCTTTATAGTTCCTTCATAGTTCCTTTGTAGTTCCTTTATAGTTCCTTCATAGTTCCTATTTAGTTCCTTTATAGTTCCTATTTAGTTCCTTTATAGTTCCTATTTAGTTCCTTTATAGTTCCTTTATAGTTCCTTCATAGTTCCTATTTAGTTCCTTTATAGTTCCTTCATAGTTCCTATTTAGTTCCTTTATAGTTCCTATTTAGTTCCTTTATAGTTCCTATTTAGTTCCTTTATAGTTCCTATTTAGTTCCTTTATAGTTCCTATTTAGTTCCTTTATAGTTCCTATTTAGTTCCTTTATAGTTCCTATTTAGTTCCTTTATAGTTCCTATTTAGTTCCTTTATAGTTCCTATTTAGTTCCTTTATAGTTCCTATTTAGTTCCTTTATAGTTCCTATTTAGTTCCTTTATAGTTCCTATTTAGTTCCTTTATAGTTCCTATTTAGTTCCTTTATAGTTCCTATTTAGTTCCTTTATAGTTCCTATTTAGTTCCTTTATAGTTCCTATTTAGTTCCTTTATAGTTCCTATTTAGTTCCTTTATAGTTCCTTTATAGTTCCTAATCAAATTGCCAATCCGAATCTAGAGTCTTTTCCCTAGAATCTGTTTATCTCAAACATATTTTAAATTAAAAAAACAAAAGAAGAAGATTGGATGGGTAGACGGGCGAAAATTTGCTTAATTAGAATTCTAGTAGAATTTAAGAAAAAAGAAATCATGCAGCAATCATCAGCAGCAATTACAGAAAATGCACCCGTGAGGGAGAGCGATTGATTTGGCAATTTGATGCCTCAGCCGATATCGATTTCGAGATTCTTCGACTTGAGCCAAAAAGCGAAAATGAGAAAAACGTTTGGCCACGATTAACGCTAACATCGCTAAAAGTTGGTTCAAAAAAAATGAGATTTTTCAAAATTTTAAACTATTCTACAAAAATTCTACGAAAATCCTACAAAATTCTACAAAAATCCACCCTTTCAGGTCGCGGAGTTTGGAGCGCTCGAGTGCGGTGAGGCGGGCGATTACGTTCTCCGCTTCTCCAATCCATCCGCCACCTGGTTTCCCGTCAAGATCACTTTACTCGCTGAAATCAAATGAAATCAAATGAAACTAAAAGAATTTTTCGATAAAATCTTTAATTCTGGAATACACAACAGCTAATGGAAAGAAAAGATTTTCGATTTTTGAAATTTAAAAAATTTTTAAAATTTTTGAAATTTCGATTTTTTTTTTCTATTTTTGGGTTTTTAGTGTTTTTCTCAAAATTTCGATTTTCGTTTTTTTAACTCAAAAATCGTAAAGCGTGCATTCCAGCTTAGCGTTTGCCAAAATTTCAAAACGTTTTCGCAAAATTTAGGCAAAGAAAATGCGTTGTAATCCGTTGGCTTTGTTGCCTTATCAATGGGGGTCGTTTTGGAATGTTTTCGAATCACAATCATCCATCCATAAACACTGCACATAATCCGAAATGTCAAGAAAGTCTTTGCGAATCAGACAGACAAACAGAAAAACCACTTTCAGACGTGTTAAGCCGATAGGGAAAAGATTTGACACAGAGAAAGTTGACGAAATTTGGGAAGCTTTCTCCGATACTTCTTTTTCGAGCATGGAAGAAATGGCGGAACTTGCAGCTACAGTAACCCACCTAGAATATCCCATTTAACAGCTACGGTACAGTACAGAATGACAATAAATAACAGACTTTTTCTATCACCTACTTTTTTATAAGTATTTTAATTTTAATTTTTTCGAAAAATAAGTTATTTATATTTATTCTTATTATTTTTTTTTCTTAAATTTTTATCTAAAACATTAAATTGTTATATTTTTAAGTTAAACAAGTACTATTTGAGATCTACATCAATTTGATCGTTCGTTTGATCGTTCGTTCAATCGTTCATCTGTTACTTGCACTCTGTCAAACCATTTCAAAAGCGATCAAACAATTTGTGTAGCTTGGACACAATGAAGATCGAGAAGAAAGAAGAAGGAAGAAGAAGAAAGAAGAAAGAAGAAGAAAGAAGAAAGAAGAAGAAAGAAGGAAGAAGAAGGAAGAAGAAGGAAGAAGAAAGAAGAAGAAGGAAGAAGAAAGAAGAAGAAGGAACTTTGAACTTTTCAACAGGATTCGTCACCTTTCCATAAAGCAACAGGGGTTTTACAACGATAAGTTTTACAAGATAAGCTTTAGAAAATAAGCTTTAGAAGATAAGTTTTAGAAGATAAGCTTTACAATCTAAGCTTTACAATCTAAGCTTTACAAGATAAGCTTTACAATCTAAGCTTTACAAGATAAGCTTTACAATCTAAGCTTTACAAGATAAGCTTTACAATCTAAGCTTTACAATCTAAGCATTACAAGATAAGCTTTACAATCTAAGCTACATCAGTCCTGCACACGCAGGACTGGTGTAAAGCTAATCTTTTGGACTTTATCTTGACTCATGATCTCTATTTATGTGATCTCAGCCCGTTGGATTACAGTCAATGACCTATTTTAGAGTCTTTGCTAAACCTAATAAAAGTTTGAACTCTTTGAATTGTTTGTCAAGCCGAGAAATGGTCAAAATCAGCAGCTAATTGTTAAAAATTTTACAAAGCGTCTCAAGCTTTTCATTCAGGAAAAAAATAAGTGAACAAACGATCAAAAATAAATCTTATTTATCTTTTCATTAATATTTTTAAGCTAAAAAGTTAGTCTTCGTTATTTATTGTGATTCTGTAAAACTACAGTTACAGTACAATGTCTACAAGTACTGTAACTGTAGCTACACCAGTCCTGCACACACAGGACTTGTCTACAACTACTGTAACTGTAGCTTTACTTGTCTACAATGTCTACAATTTCAGATTTGACACCTTTCAAAACCATTCTGCACTTTAGGAAAGTAATTAACGAGAAGAATTCAAAAAAAAGAAACGAGAAGAATTGTTCGTCCGTCGAGAAATCGGCGCTATATTTTGCCGGGAAAGTCATCGATGACTCGACCGCCGCTCCACCAAACAACCAAACACGGGAATGTCCCTCGATTTTGCTTTTCCTTTCCACCAAACTGTTTATATCATTCTCCCCAATTTCTCCACACTTTTGTCCCTTTGACTAAACATGGACGATATTTCAATCCTTGCTATCAAATTCTCAAATGATTCTTTAGATATTCGATAGCTCTAATCTTAAGACTATAGTACTGCATTGTAGCTAGAGACCTTACAATTCTGATTTCAAAAGAGATTAGTTTATTTATTAGTTTGACACTGATTTGGTGATCTGAGTTCTTATTGGTGATCTTATTGGTGATCTTATTGATGATCTTATTGGTGATCTTATTGGTGATCTTATTGGTGATCTTATTGATGATCTTATTGGTGATCTTATTGGTGATCTTATTGATGATCTTATTGGTGATCTTATTGATGATCTTATTGATGATCTTATTGGTGATCTTATTGGTGATCTTATTGGTGATCTGAGTTCTGAGTATCTGACTTAATAAAATGAAAATGTAAATCCTACTTTATTTAACTCGTTGACTTTCATTCTTGATTAATTTTAGTTATTTAATTGTTTTAGTTTATCCTTTTCCGTTTCTCGAATTGATTTGAAATATTCATTTTATTAAGTCAGATACTCAGAACTCAGATCACCAATAAGATCATCAATAAGATCACCAATAAGATCATCAATAACCAATAAGATCACCAATAAGATCACCAATAAGATCATCAATAAGATCATCAATAAGATCACCAATAAGATCATCAATAAGAACTCAGATTACCAAATCAGAGTCAAACTAATAAATAAACCAATCTCTTTTGAAATCAGAATTCTAAGATCACTAGCTACAATCCAGTACTATAGTCTTAAGATCTAAATGCAGAAAGTTTTCGGCTTCGTTTTCGAACACCCATGGCTTGTATGCCGATCGAAGGTGAATCGAAGGGAAAAAAGAGAAAAAGAGAATGGCGATCGTTTACGATTGTTTGCCTGTATTTGAGCCGATCCTCTTTTCTCTCTCCTTTCCCCTAATCCCCGCATAAGAAGGCCTTATGTGGCTGTCCTGTTTGTGTGTGCTATGTATGGGCATCTCTTCTCTTTTCCTTAGATCTCTGCCTGTATTTGGTGTTTGCCTGGGCGATTACGTGGCCAATCGAAGGGGGGTGGGGCTGGGCAAGGGTACAGCTCTCAGCAGTGTTTGGGCATTCACACCTTTGCCCTCATTGTCAAGCTTTTGCTTGCCGCTAGATTCAGCTACATTCTGGAGTACTCTGACTTAGGCTGGCTGGCTAGCAGGCTGGCTAGCAGGCTGGCTGACTGGCTGACTGGCTAGCAGGCTGACTGGCTAGCAGGCTGGCTGGCTAGCAGGCTGACTGGCTAGCTGGCTGGCAGACTGGCTGGCTGGCTAGCAGGCTAGCTTAGTCACCTAACCTACTGCTACTGCCGAATCAAAAGCCAGATTTGAGAATGGCTTGTCCTTGCCTCCAGCTGATAACTCTTTTCATCAAATTCTTATTCCAAAGCAACTTCCTTTCTTATAGTTGATCAATAATCAATTCCTTTTCCAAAAAATCCTTCCCTTTCCTGCTGTTCATAAGCCCATTAGTCTGCCTAATCACCAAAATTCCTGAAAATTCTCAAACTTTCCCTCAAAGTTTCCCTCATAGACAAAACTTGAATGTAATTGGATGTTCTTTCGATTCATTTATGGGATTTTCGTTTATTTACTCTATAATGAGCATCGCAAATGATTTTTAATCGAAGAATGGCCGAAGAAAGATTTTTAATCGTTTCTAAACCATTGTCGAAATCATTTTTTCATTTTCCTATTTGATAAACAATGTAAATCCTTACAAAACCCTAATTTACTCGCATTTTTCATGTTATTGTTGGCTTTTATTTGATTGATTTCTCGCTGAAAATGATTTCCCCCCTCAGTCTTGTCTCTCCTCTAATCTCATCCGGTGAGAAGTGCCTATATAAGGTTAGCACCTCAAACCGTGTGGGGTTGAAGGGTATTCAATGATCAATCATCAAAGAATCAGTTATCTATTCAATTTCTATTCTCTCTATTCTGTCTCTATTCAATCTTTATTCTATCTCTATTCTCTCTCTATTCTGTCTCTATTCAATCTTTATTCTATCTCTATTCTATCTCTATTCTATCTCTATTCAATCTTTATTCTATCTCTATTCTATCTCTATTCTCTCTCTATTCTATCTCTATTCTATCTCTATTCTCTCTCTATTCTATCTCTATTCTATCTCTATTCTATCCCTATTCTCTCTCTATTCTATCTCTATTCTATCTCTATTCTCTCTCTATTCTATCTCTATTCTATCTCTATTCTATCTCTATTCTATCTCTATTCTATCTCTATTCTATCCCTATTCTCTCTCTATTCAATTTTTCTCTTTAAAAATAAATTTAGAATACTTTCAAACAGTTTACAAACAAATTTTGCACAAATATTATCGATTTTTTAAAGAATAATTTGAATTTTCACTAATTTTCATGAATTTTCATTAATTTTCATCAATTTTCATTAATTTTCATTAATTTAATTGCATTTTTTTTTGTTTAATTATCTTTAAAAACAAAAGATTTATTTGAAATAGTGAGCAATAATTGGTATTAAGTATCGTATCTGATCTGATTTTCTCTTTTTCTTTTACGAGCAAATTCTCATTTCTATTTGGTCGTTTTTTTAAAATTTTAAATAAGCGACAAAAAGTTTGGTTCAAAAAACGAAAGAAAAGTTACGAAATAACAAAAAAAAGAAGAAAAAGAACTACATTAAAAGATATGACAAAATTGGAAATGATTCGAGATTGATTAGATTTTTTTTATTCCTTTTTCTTATCCATTTCCCCACTCAAAGAACCCTCTTCCCTGGCTCGTATTCTAGCCCTGGATCGAATTGCTCGAGCACGTAGACCTGCAATTGAAAAAAAGGACATTGAAATCAGTTTTAAAGTTGTTTCTGGAGTGCACACTTTGTTTTCAAAGTGCTGACACACTTCTTTGCTGTCATGGAATGTCTTCATGTCATGACAAAGCAATTTTTGTCATGACAAAGCAATTCTCTAGTTAAAGAACTTTAACTAGAGAACTGTTACCCTTTAAAATCGATTTACGAAACGGCATCAAACTACAAAATGGCTCCATAGAATTCTAAGAAACATGTCTTTTTTATTTTTTGCTTATGGCCTCTGGTCTTTGAGATACAGTCGAACCTTTCTATAACGAACCTCGATATAACGTAAACCTCTATATAACGTAAACTATAGCCGGTCCCGTGAGTTACGTTGTAGAGAGGTTCGGCTGTATAAGCATGCAAAGTGTTTGGTTAATTTTCGCCAAACCAAGCAATAACTCGATATAAGAGGATGGCAAGCGAGCAGGAGCGAATAGCAGCGATAGTCTAGGGGTTAGTGCACTAGGCTATAAAGCGACTGCGATGATTGTTGGCGGGTTCGATTACGCTCGTCGGCCAAGATTTTGGCTTTTTTCTGAAACATTCAAAAATGTTTCTGTAAATATTTAAGTGTTTTAAAGCTTTAATAATTGTTATAAAGCTTTCTGGGAAGGCGTTTTTTAGCTAGATTACGAAGGAGGAGCTAGATTACGAAGAAGACGCTAGATTACGAGCTAGATTTGGTTTCGTAAAACGACTGTAAGTTGAAACAGTTCTCTAGTTTAGTTTCAAATTTCGACACTCGATCCTCAAGAGCTGAAGAGGTTAAAGAAGTGATTGCACTTGTCATTGCACTTGCTATTGTCTCAAATCTTTACACCAACCATATCAGTTTGTCGAATGCGTAACTCAGCCGGCGGATTTGTGATCACATATCGTTTCACCGAGTCCGCATTGTCTTGATCATGTAAACGATAAAGCCCAATGCAAAGTTGACCATATTTCTTGAGTGCTGTCGAGAACATTTGGCCGTATGTCGAGTTGTGCTGAAACGCTGATTGCTGATTGCTGATTTCAATGCATTTCTTTTTATATGAAAATTACTGTAAACAAAAAAAACTCTTCAGACGATCATTAGGGTTTATGAAAGCATTCCACTTTATATTTCTCATCTTAAACCCATCTCTAAAACTTTAGCTTAACAAAAAGATGTCTTAAAGTGAATATTTTGAGGAAACAGGAGAGTGACAATTTATGAAAGTTTTTAGCGATAAACTTTAACATCATCATCGATTTAAGTATGGGTTTTTTGTCCTAATTCAAGCTAAATTCAAGTTAGAATGAATCTAAAGCTAAAAAGAAATCATTTCTACCATTCTCCTTTCTTTACCAAAAGTACTCAGATTTGTTTTGAATTGAAATTTCTTTCTAAAATCCCCAAGTTTACCCCAATTCCCTTTCTAAAAACCCCAAGCTTACCCCAATTCCCTCGTAGGGCCCATCGGAAAGCGAAATCTGGGACCAAAAGTACTCAGTTTTGTTTTGAATTAAAATTTCTCTCTAAAAACCCCAAGCTTACCCCAATTCCCTCGTAGGGTCCATCGGAAAGCGAAATCTGTGCAATGCGACAACGATCTCGATTTGATAAAGTCTCCGCAGTGCTGAAATGGTTTGTTATAAATTCGAATTTCTAACTAAAGTCTTTCTCCTTTCAAGCTTTCAAGCTTTCAATCGAAACTTAGAAGGAAATTATTGTAGTTATTGTAGTTATTGTAGTCGGTGGCTCACCTGTAACCACCGCGAAGTCCAGCTCCTTCGGCTAGAATCAACTCTAACTCTGGTGTCGCCCCTCCAGTCACCAATGTTCGAATCAAAGTCAAAGCCGAATCATTAAAGTAGGTCTGAAAAAGAAAATTGAAGGAAATTGAAGGAAATTGAAGGAAATTGAAGAAAATAGAAGAAAATAGAAGAAAAGAAATTGAATACTTCCATATTTCCACTTACTGTGCTCATTAGTGAGTCTAAGACAGAGATTGCGAAAGCTGTGCCGCAAGCGAACGGCTGAGTAAGATACAATTCAGTGTCCGGATCGTCATCATCATCTTGATCAAGAAATTGCACATTGCTATCATTCACTGAAATCAGGAATAAGAAGAAAATCATTTTGAATCAAATCAATGAATCAAATCAATCAAATCAATGAATCAAATCAATCAAATCAATCAAATCAATGAATAAAATCATTGACAAACCAAGCTCAGTGATCATTGGGACATTTGTGCCGAAGCGTGCGCCCTTTTTATGCATTGATAGAGGACTGCCGAGTGGTGATCGATCTCCGCCACGAATCGGGAAAAAGCCGAGAGTGTCATCGAATTGCATAGCTGAATTGCATTTTGTTGAAATCGCATTTCACATTTTACTGCTTTACCTTTAATGTTCAATGATGCCAGAATCGCCTCCTTGTCCGCTAGTGTGGTATCCTCTGTATTCGGGACTCGAGCCGAGATGATCACGCACATGTCACAAAGATTGATGTTCACCGCACGCAAATCGGCTCGACTCAATGGGGAACCCTAAAATCGATGCTATTTTTTCGAAAAACTGGATAGCACAGCAACTTTCTAGCTGGTCATCGGTTGATTTAGTGCTAAATAAAAATCACGAGCAGGTTACCGTAGTCTATTCTTTGTCACTAGCTACCGTAATCTAATTTTGAGCTATAGCTAAGTTAGCTATGTTAGCTAAGTTAACTATGTTAGCTATGTTAGCTAAGTTAACTATGTTAGCTATGTTAGCTAAGTTAACTATGTTAGCTATGTTAGCTAAGTTAACTATGTTAGCTATGTTAGCTAAGTTTACTCATTTAGCTATGTTAGCTAAGTTTACTCGTTTAGCTAAATTAACCAATTCGAATTCAAAAATTCAAATCTTACATTTAAAATAGAGATCTTTGGGAGATTGTATAGGGTTTTCCATTCTTTTCTCAAGTAATCGAGATCACCGACGATCACTACGTGTTTCAGCTCATGATAATGGAAATTCGATGCGCGTAGAGGCATAATGAAATTACGAAGTCCTGAAATCCACGAGTAAAAAGATCACTTCACAATTTTCCTTTACCAATTAATGGTGAATCTCGATCAGCGAAAAGACAAACGACAACGTGACCATTCAAAACGGTCATCGCTGCTTGGTGACGTTCCTAGAAATTGTTAATAATAATTGTTAATGTGAAAAGCTCTATACTAACATTAAACAAGTAAAATAGTCAATTTCAGAGATCTCAAATTCTTCCGAGTATTCAAACCAATACAAAACACTGACTTCTTTAGTGTTTTGTATTGATGAGATCAATTGACATCAATTGATCTATTCACTAACTTCTTTAGCCTTTAATTCATTAAATTGTTAATTAATTGATTGTTCAATTAATGAATGAATTTCATTGATTGAGCAATCAATTAATGAATTTCATTTAATTTTTTAGCGTTTTAAGCAATTCATTTAGGCTCTATTAGATCAAAGTTTACCTTAAAAACTAGCAAACAAAACAAAATCAGAGCTCAAAGTACAGCTAGCTATAATCAAATTGATAAGATTTTTGAATAAAAGCTTCCTGAAATCATATTGTTATCGAAAAATGAGTGTTTTGTTCAGTCTGGATCAGTTTCATTGATCGAGTCTTGTTTAGCCTAGAGAGAACTAGAACCTAGATAGAACTAGAACCTAGATAGAACTAGAACCTAGATAGAACAGCTTCCAGCAATGAAGCTTGAAGCTATAAAGCTTGAAGCTTGAAGCAAGCCATCAAGCTTGAAGCAATCAAGCTTCAAACAATAAAGCTCTTGGTGTAGATGATCGACTTTAATTCGCTCACCAGCACACACTCATCGAGATTCCTCGCCGGACACCAATGGAACATGCCAGTCGAATCGTATTTCATATCTTGTTGCTCGAATTCTTTACATAAATCAACGCCTCTACCATCTGGTGGAATCGAGAGAGAACTTCGACGACCTGTTGATGGCCTAAAGATTACTTAATTCTCAATAACTATTTTCTAAAGTTTTTCTAAAAATCAATTCAAAGCTAAGTGCTTTCTAAAGGAAAGTCGGGTTTGAATGGAAAAATTGGTGATTTCAAAGGTTAGAGTTGATTGGGAAGTGGGAAGGGAAGGGAAGGGAAGGGAAGGGAAGGGAAGGGAAGGGAAGGGAAGGGAAGGGAAGGGAGGGGAAGGGAAGGGAGGGGAATCGGGGAATTGTTGACGATCTGCTGTAATGTGTAGTCTCACGTAAACGCACACCTTTTGGCACATTTTTACAGCTACGTTTTCAGGATTTTTAAGTCTTAAAAGTATGCCAGATGTCGATATCCCAGAAAGCGTGCGTTTTCGTTTCTCAGACAACAATTCAATTCAAAATCCTTTCCTTGGATGGAAACATTCATCAACTGGCACAGAAAAGAGTTTCTGATTCACCAAATCAGAAATCAGAAATTCTTTTCTGTGCCAGTTGACGAATGTTTCCATCGCAAGTACAGGGTTTTGTGTTGTCTGAGAAACGAAAACGCACGCTTTCTGGGATATCGGCTTTCTGGCATACTTTTAAGACTTAAAAATCCTGAAAACGTAGCTGTTTCAAATTTCAAATTTCAAATTTCAAAAATTTTTAGCATCTCGTCAAACAAAAATCCCCAAAAATAATAAAGAAAAAAAAATAAAATTTCGAGTTTTAAATTGGATTGGAAATGTTCTTTGGTGCTTAATTTCTTATTTTTTTTACATAAGTTTCTTGATCTCGTAAGCGACTCGCATCGATTTCCCCATCAAATGATGATCTGATTGTGAGCTGAAAGTGAGTCAGCACTAATCGTTTTTTAGAGTTACGACTTTTCAACTTACAGCTTTTCAAGTTACAGGTTTTTAGCTTTCACCTTTCAACTTACAGCTAGCAGCTAGCAGCTAACAGCTAGCAGCTTTCAGTTTTCAGCTTTCAACTTTAGCTTTCAGCCTTTCAACTTACACCTTTCAGCTTTAGCTTTCAGTTTTCAGCTTTCAGCCTTTCAACTTTCATCTTTCATCTTTCAACTTTCAACTTACACCTTTTCTTTCAACACGATTCTCTTCTGTGACTTCCAGAATGAGCTATGAAATCGTTTAAAGCTTGTCTTTACCTCACGTCGTTCAATTGAAAGTTGAAAGTTGAAGTTGAAAAGCTGAAAGCTAAAGTTGAAAGCTGAAAGCTGAAAGTTTCAGCTTTTCAACTTTCAACTTTCCTCTTTCAACTTTCAACTTTAGCTTTCAGCCTTTCATCTTTCATCTTTCATCTTTCAACTTTCAACTTACACCTTTTCTTTCAACACGATTCTCTTCTGTGACTTCCAGAATGAGCTATGAAATCGTTTCAAACTTGTCTTTACCTCACGTCGTTCACCATTCTCAGCTGAACTTGCGATCCGATTGGATTCCCTTGTTGCCCACTTGTCGCATTCGTGTCAATGTTTTGACGAGCTGTAAATTTTGAGAATTTCATTTTTGATGACACTTTTATAAAGGTGTAATTTGAAAAGATTTGAGCAATGATCTTTTTTTTTAAAATGAACTTTTTTACTCTGTGCTCTTACAAACAAACGTTTTCTGAGTTTCACACTTTTCCTTTACTTTTCCTAAGAGCACAAAGCGTTATCACAAGAGAAACGAAGCTTTCTGGTGCACCAGAAAGGGTATGTTTCGACGCGACGAAGTACACTAGACACGCGTCTAAACATTCGCCATCTGGTACGCCGATTTTCAGCTTGAAAAATCGATCAAAAGTTCCTGTGACTTCCAGGAAAATGATTATTGCTCAAATCTACTTAAGAAATCAATTTCATTTTGATTTTCATGCAGCGACAGTGCATTGGAGAGAAAATTTGTGACTAAAAGGGATTTTCTCGAAAAGAATTCATCTAAAAACAGCACAACGAAAGCGGAAAAGAAAGAAAAGCTGTCAAAGAAATGAACTAAAAGGGAAAAGGCGGTAAAAGGGATTGGAAAGGGTTTGGAAAGGGATTTCATTTGAAATAACTTTAGTCTGAAAGAGGGGATGGGTACAGTTTGTGTACTTTGCGAGCTGATAAACGCATCTCTTCTGGCATACCAGTGTGTCAGAGAGGAGAGCACAAAGTACACAAAGGATGGTGTACTTTGTGAGCTGATAAACGCATCTCTTCTGGCATACCAGTTAACAGTGTGCCGGAGACTGTGTGTTAAGGGGAGAGCACAAAGTACACGAACTTTGGGATCGTGTACTTTGTGCTGTACTGTGCTTATCCTCTGGCGCAAAGAGTCGTTTGCCAGAGAACAGAGTACACAAACTGTTTGTTTCTTTTTTTTTTTTTTGTGGAAATTCTGGATTGTTTTTTGCCTTTTTCATACCGTAGCTCTTGTCAAAGAGAACATCGAAATCGTTGTTGAAGTCTGTAACTAATGAAAAACGATGAAAAACGATGAAAAACGACGAAAAACGAATGCAAAACGGTAAATTTCCTCCTTTCTATTGTCAAAATTCGTCAACACACCCTTTCTGGCATTTCCTGACCAGAAAACGGATCGTTTAAATCAGAAATTTATAGACCTCAAGCCTACACCTACCGTAAATACTGTAATACAGTGCGGAGCAAAACCATACGCCACCCCCTAAATTTCTATTTTCTCCGGCTTCCGTGCCAGTGACAAAAAAACTGAAAACGTAGTTAGATTCAGGACCAAAAATAACCCTTAAACCCCAAAAATCGTCGACATAGCATGAATAGGGAAAATGTAACAGCCAAAAAACGAAAATTCACCCGGTGCAAAACCATACGCCACCCCCCAAATTTTGGTGTCGTTGTTGCATTTTTGTTCAATTTTTATGATAACAAGGTTTATTTATAACAATAACAGTCTAATATTTTGTTGCTTGTGCCTGGCGACTGATCACGTCAAATATTCGACTAGGCATGCTGTCAACTAGCTTCTTGATGGTGCTTCTTGGAATAGCATTCCACTCGCGGATAATGGCATCTTTGAGTGCTTGAACATTTGCGTATTGTGTGGAATTGTGATAAACTCGACGAGCAAGCATTCCCCACAGATTCTCAATGGGGTTGAGATCGGGGGAGCACGCAGGCCAATCCAGAAGAGGCACTTGTTTTGACTGAAGCCATGACTTGGTTGCTCGGCTGACGTGGATGCTGGCGTTGTCTTGCTGTAGGGTGAGTTGATGTTGTGGAAGACTTTGCAGATATGGAAGAAGGTTGACCTCGAGCACATCGATGTAATCTAGTGAGTTCATCTTGGACGTGACAAAGACGATTTCCAGTTTTCCATGAGATGAGAAGGCGCCCCAACACATCACCGAACCCCCGCCGAAGTTTCGCTTTGAGAACAGTAATGGATTCTTGCGCAAGTCACGCCAATAAGAGTGTCCACCATCAGGCCCATCCAGGTTAAACTTTTTCTCGTCTGTGTAGATGATCTGAAACCAATAAAATTTGTTTTCTAAGTTTAAATACCTGATTCCAGTCAGTTGCCATGTTTGCGCGAGCAAAGAGCAACCTGTTCTGTTTGTGGATGACAGTTAAGCGAGGTGCTGGCTTCATCACCTGACGTGTGAGATGTGGCGAAGAGTTGATGGTTCTCTGAACAGTCCACTTTGACACTGGAAGTTGCAAATCACGCTTGATTTCATTTGCCGATCTCGTAGAGTTTGAGGCTTTGCTTCTGATATGGCGTTCGGCCCGTTTGGAGAGCTTCTTGTGACGACCATGCGCATTTGAAGTACCATATTTGAGTGGAGCTTTGAGGTAACGGTTGATGCAGTCTCTTGAGCGATTGGTTCGATGACTCATCTCGGAAATTGACAATCCAAGTTGCTGCATGAGATCGAGTTGAGCCTGCTCCCCGTCAGAGAGTTGAGTTGCTTTCGGCATTGTGTTTTTGAAGTTGAAGTAAGACAAAGTAAGCTCTTTAAGCCTCCTTATAAGGAATCTGAAGTGAAAGGGCGGGACTTATGTTTGCCAGAGGCAGATTTAGCTTTTAAACTAGAAAAAGAGTATGAAATGACACCAAAATTTGGGGGGTGGCGTATGGTTTTGCACCGGGTGAATTTTCGTTTTTTGGCCGTTACATTTTCCCTATTCATGCTATGTCGAAGATTTTTGGGGTTTAAGGGTTATTTTTGGTCCTGAATCTAACTACGTTTTCAGTTTTTTTGTCACTGGCACGGAAGCCGCAGAAAATTGAAATTTAGGGGGTGGCGTATGGTTTTGCTCCACACTGTAGTACCCCATCCTCATAATGACGGTGCAGAGTGTTGTGCGTAGTCTAGCTTTGAACGAGTTCTTCTCGACACTGGTTTATGCTACAATATGCGCTTAGGTATCAAAAAATAGCCCTGAATTTCAGCTATTTTTTGATACCAAAGACGCATTTTTTGAAAGTACGGGCGCCTTGAAAGAAATGAAATACTAAAAAACTTTTGCGACTACGTGACTTTACGAGGGGAGTGAGGTACTATTACAGTCTTTACGGTACCCATTTTTCTGCAAACCTTCTATTTTTTTGACATATCCAAATAAGAATCAAGGCCAATCCAAACTTTTGCGACTACGCGACTGTACGAGGGCGGTGGGGTACTATTACAGTATTTATGGTAGCTATCATCAAATTGATAAGATTTTTTGAATAAAAACTTCCCCAAAATCATATTGTTATCGAAAAATGAGTGTTTTGTTAAGAAAACAAAACAAAAATCATAAAACCCAATCTTTCATGCTTTTGTTTAAAAGTCTTTTACACCTTTTTTTTTTGTTTGTTTTGAATGATGACTTTGATACTCACCGGCTTTTACGTTGATCGCTTTGGTTGAACGACGAAACAGATTCACTAAAGGATAATCTACAAGGGGAAAAAAAAACACAGCAATTCAAAAAGAAACTCTCAAAAGAATCTATAGGTTTGATTTAACGCAAAAATAAATGTTCGAAAATGGTCAAAAATTATCTAGAAATGGTCAAAAATGGTCAAAAATGGTCAAAAATGGTCAAAAATCATTTAGAAATGGTCAAAAACATCTAGAAATCGTCTAGAAATGGTCAAACTTCTAAAAACCTTCAGCTTAAACTTGAAAATCTTCACTATAAGCTTTAGCTAGTAAACAAGATCTAGCTATTTACAGAAGAATGCTTTGATATGAAATAGATTATTTGATATTAAAGGATTAGATCGAATTAGGTTGCTAATAGATCCGCCCAACTATTTACCTTGCTTAAGTCATTTTGTTTCTACAGTTTCCTTCAAAATTTCCCCTAAACAAGTCAAATCCCATCAAAAAACACTCACAATTCTTGCATTTACACTTCTTGATAAGTGTCACGTCGCGAATATCCTCGTGACATTGTTTACACCAGAAAAACGCTCTGAAAATGAATGAAATGTTTAAATGAATGAATATTGATCAAAATTGGATATCACGTAATAGTTTAAACGAAAAACTTTCCGTTAAAAAGCTTTTTTAAAATTTTTTTTTTTTTGACGAACCTCTTCACTTCATCAGCACTCTGAGCGATGAAGAAACCTTGAGTTTGCGGTTGAATTGTGATGTGTGGACCTGCAAATACAATAGGCTAAGGTTTTGATTAGTTTTCGAATCCCTAATCCTGTTAACTCTTACCAGGATTGATCGCAATATTACACTCTTTGTTCTCTTCATCTTTTAATTCAATCGCTAACAAAAGGAGACCAAGTCGAGTGAAGAGTAAACTGTAAATGATCAGAAAATAGATAAGAAGGATAACGAATTTCGATTAGAATTGGGTCAGACTTTGGCTTAGACTTGGCTTAGACTTTGCCTTAGACTTTGGCTTAGACTTTGCCTTAGACTTTGCCTTAGACTTTGGCTTAGACTTTGGTTTAGACTTTGCCTTAGACTTTGGCTTAGACTTGGCTTAGACTTTGGCTTAGACTTTGGCTTAGACTTTGCCTTAGACTTTGGCTTAGACTTGGCTTAGACTTTGCCTTTGACTTTGGCTTAAACTGGTGACAACTACAAAGCACAACACCAACTCGGAAGCCTCCGGGAATGTCATTCCAACAAAGCCGTGACTCAATGTATCCGTGTACATCTCCATTCCCGCACCACAGAGATAAAGATTCAACCAATCCGGTGTTTCGCGTGACTGAAATATTGAAACTTGAAAGAAACCACCACTAGCACAACCACCACAACAATGAGACTCATTGGAATTGGAAAATAACGATGTACATGCTGTCCTCAAGACTTCAAGGGAAGACAAGACTTCAAGGGAAGACAAGACTTCAAGATAAGACAAGTAAAATGTCTTGTTAAGATCTTGGAGTAGATTTAAACGTGCTTATTCCTTTAGATTTCTTAAAGATCTTTACAAGAACTTTAAAACTATTGGAACAACATGCAAGACTTTACTTTACAGAACATTTTACAAAACTTTACTTTACAGAACTTTACTTGACAGAGCTTTACTTTATAGAACTTTACTTTACAAAACTACTTTATTGAACTCTACTTTACAGAACTTTAATTGACAGAGCTTTACTTTATAGAACTTTACTTGACAGAACTACTTTATTGAACTCTACTTTACAGAACTTTACTTGACAGAACTTTACTTGACAAAACTTTAACATAAAGCTCCTCCATTGCCGACGAAACAATTGTACATTCACAACAATTGCAGACAACAACAGAAATTGGGTTTACAAATTTTGAATAATAAAAATGAAAACAAATTGTAATTGAAAACAAATTCCCGCATTTGAACTCACTCGGCGGCTTGTGGGAAAGTCATTGCGTTGAATGCTGGTGATAGCTTCTCTGTATACATCTCCATTCCAGCACCTCGCAAATAGTCATTCAACCAGGCTGGTGTGTGTGGAGACTTTAAGTTTTTTTTTTTGTAAGTTTATGGTTTTATACATTTAGTTAAGTGGAAAAACTATTAGTTCACAAAGTTTGAGCTCAAAATGAAACCTAGAGCTAAAGCAAAGAGCTAGAGCTTCTAGAGCTTCTAGAGCTTCTAGAGCTTCTAGAGCTTCTAGAGCTTCTAGAGCTTCTAGAGCTAAGCATTTAGCTGTGAGCACGGCTCTGAGCACAAGAAAGTTAAGGGAAAAATTACCCATCTTCAAAACAGCAATCAACAAAAGTTAGGTAAAGAGAAAAGAAAGATTTTGTTGTTTTGAAATTGAATTTTGAATTGAAACGAACTGTTTTAAAGCTACGCATTGCGAAGAGATTCGCCATCATTGTCGAGAAACCGGGCGCCAAACACGATTGCGCAATGAAACCAAGCTTTAACTCAGCCAAACAAATCACATCGTCACCCCTTCGCCAATCCCATGATGGGATATTCAAGAGATATGCCTGAATTGATTGCCTGATTGCTTTAGAGCCTTCCAATTCAGTTCCATTCATATCAAAGTATTGACTTTCATATCAAAGGATTAACTAAATTTACCTTATTATGATATTGCATGAGTTGCACGATCACTCGAATGTCACTTGAATAATTCTTGATTGAGATCACTCGCATGATATTTGCTGCGTCTTCTGCGTCCGGATTTGTTGAGTATTTGTTGGCTAACACAAGGCAAGCATCCGCGTCACCTACCTAGAAAGATTCTCGAGCTTGATCTTGATCTTGAACTTGATCTTGATCTTGACCTTGATCTCGAGCTTGATCTTGATCTCGATCTTAAACTTGAACTTGATCTCGATCTTGATCTTGAACTTGATCTTAATCTCGATCTTGATCTGGATCGTGCTTAATCCTATCTAGCAATCTAAATCTAATCTAAATCTAATCCAAATCTAATCTAAATCTAATCTAAATCTAATCTAAATCTTCAAAACTATGCTATTTTTTTGATTTCTCAAATAAATCCTTAAAGAAATCATCCGAATTTTCAAATTAAATAACTAAATAAGCAAATTGAATGTCACAATAGGTAGATAAAAGATTTCTACAGCAACTCTGTACTCCAGAAAGTTTTACTAATCAATTACTGAAACAGTAAGCATTTAGAGAACTCGAGGAGTTTACACCAACCTTTACTCTCGATAAATCTAATGAATCCATAACGGTGCCGGTGAAGAATTCGACTTTTGTGAAGTGTCGCTTGAATAAACCTTCTAACTCCAAGTCGGGCACTACTCTAGAATGATTGCTTTATTGTCATGGGCTTTCATTGAAGTCTTTTCTAGTCTCAAGTACGGCAAAAGACTATCCCAAGTCTTTCTTCAAAGTCTTTCTTCAAAAACTCGACTCTAAAGATGGCTCAACATTGGAAATACTTTCCAATGTTGAGCCATCTTTACTCTTTACTTGGTTTACTCTTTATCTTAAATCCCAGCTCGAAAACAAGCTCAATGAAAACAAGCTTTTGATTTGTTTTCCCTGTTTTCCCTGACTTATTCTTTTCCTTACCAACCCTAAGCTTTTCTCTTTTGGGCTAGCTAAATTCTGGATTGAATTACATATGGATTCCGCAAATTCCCCAAACATAATCAACCTCCTCTCCCCCTTTCTTTCTTGGGTTTCTTCTTCTAAAACTTGTTCTCGATTTTCCCGTAAAAGAAAAGAATTTGTGTTACTCAAAAGTAGCTACAGCTTCAGCTACAGCTTCAGCTTTAGCTTCAGCTACAGCTTCAGCTACAGCTTCAGCTACAGCTTCAGCTTTAGCTTCAGCTACAGCTTCAGCTACAGCTTCAGCTACAGCTTCAGCTACAGCTTCAGCTACAGCTTCAGCTACAGCTTCAGCTCCAGCTTCAGCTCCAGCTTCAGCTCCAGCTTCAGCTACAGCTTCAGCTACAGCTTCAGCTACAGCTTCAGCTACAGCTTCAGCTACAGCTTCAGCTACAGCTTCAGCTACAGCTTCAGCTACAGCTACAGCTTCAGCTACAGCTTCAGCTACAGCTTCAGCTACAGCTTCAGCTACAGCTTCAGCTACAGCTTCAGCTACAGCTTCAGCTCCAGCTTCAGCTCCAGCTTCAGCTACAGCTTCAGCTACAGCTTCAGCTACAGCTTCAGCTACAGCTTCAGCTACAGCTTCAGCTACAGCTTCAGCTACAGCTACAGCTTGAATGTATTTTTTTGCTAAGAAGGCTAGAACTTTGCTAAGAATATAAAAACATTAATTGTAAATCAATCGTTAAGTTTGATAGTTTGATAGTTTGATAGTTCAAAACCTGTGCAAGAAGACCACTTCCACATCGACGTCGTCACGGTCCTCGTGGAGAAAATCCTGGAAAAAATCTCCTTATCCATGAACTTCATAATGCCATTTTTGTTGCTTCTTGCTTAACAATTATGTAAAAAAAAGCCTATCTGACCATCGGAAAGCCGAACTAGTACACCAAAAGGATGTGTTTACAAGCAAATTTCAGCTCAAAGTACATTTGGGAACACTTGAACTTGACGCCTTTCTAAACGCGCCCCATTTGGCACACCGATTTCCCAACGGTTTTCTTATTTACCCCACGAAAACCTAAGGAATCTAGTGCACTAGATGGGGTTTGTTTACAAGATGGCAAGTTTCAGCTCATAGCTTTCAGCTCATAGCTTTCATCTCATAGCTTTCAGTTCAAAGCTTTCATCTCATAGCTTTCAGCTCAAAGCTTTCAGCTCACAAACCTGTAGAAAATGTGAAACGGAGTCATATGTAATGTGCCCACAAACGACGATGTGTTTTTTCCCGTGTTCTCCTTTATATTCCCCGCCATACTTTTGACGATTACCGATCAGATCCGCGATTTCGGGAACGTATGAGGCGAACATGGCCTGAAAATTTGACGATATTTATTTAGCTTCTTTTTTTTTCACAAACCAGCCCGCCGAGAATGAAGAATACCATGAAGATTCGACCGCAAAGTGTTGTACAATAAATATCACCGTAGCCTGGAAAAGGGATTTGAGTTTTTGACTAATAAATTGGCTTTGATTCTTAGAAATTAAAGAATTTTTGCAAGAAATTGAAGCTCACAAGCTTTTACAAGCTTTAATAAGCTTTCACAAGGTTCTACAAGCTTTAACAAGCTTCTACAAGCTTTAACAAGCTTTAACAAGCTTCTACAAGGTTCTACAAGCTTTAACAAGCTTCTACAAGCTTTAACAAGCTTCTACAAGCTTTAACAAGCTTCTACAAGCTTCTACAAGCTTTAATAAGCTTCTACAAGCTCAAACTAAGCCCAGAAGTCAGATCAGAACCTGGTTTCTAGCCTGAGAAGTTATTTGGGTTCTAGAATGTTTTAACCGGACCAGGCTAGGCCAAATCACAAAATCCAAGTCTTGCTTTAAGTTAAGCTATAGATCAGATTCAGGTTTCGCTTTGGCTGACTTTGGAACATTCGATGGAAACCGGCGAGCTGATACAGACCTAATTTCAGATCTCGAGGATTTCAGACCAAGACTTGACTTTTGCCTTTCTGACTTAAAGCTTTTAAGGCTTTTAAAACCCATAAGCCACCTAGATTTCAACTTTAATTGATCTTATTTCCCCATGGATTCATTTCCCGACTCACCAACGGTACTCATGGTGACGAGAAGAAAATAGACACAATCAGCATAGGTTATTCGATGCGGATTCACAAAGCCTTTGAAGAAATCACCCGAATTTTCAAACTAAATGCGTAAATTGGATGTCACAATAGGTAAATAAAAGATTTTAACAATTAAACGGCAACAAAAAAAATATGAAAAAATTTTTTTTATATGAAAAATTCACCAAGTGAACTCCGCCAGCGCCAGTGAGACAAACCGAAACGAAAATCGTTACCAATTGAGTCAATCTGCAAATAAGAATTGATTCTTTTAATTGTTTAATCTTTCTTTAAACAAACCTTATAGAAGACGAGGTTTTAAGAATGTTTAAATATTGTAGAATGTCAGGCACTGTCATTAGTCGAAGCGCGCGCAGAAACCGGAACCCTAGAAAGAAAATCAATTGATAATTGACATTGTTTAAAGAAAATAATTGACAATGTTTAAGATATTATCTCAGTTTTTTTATTTAATTACTTTTTTTCACTGTTATTTAACAAAATAAGAAGATTTATATATACTGTATTCTCTCTAATAGTAGTGCACTCGGGCGAGCCGAGTTGATGACTATTTTACGGTTTCCAAGTTCTTCACAGAAGCTCAACACTCTAATCCCCCACTAGAGCTCATCGTCAGCTACATTTTCTGACCCCACATCAATAGGTTGTGATAAGCGGTTCTCGAGATTTTGAGGAATTTAGGGGACGCTCAGGGTGCACCCCAGCGAGCCGAGTTGACGACGATTTTACGGTTTCAAAGCTTTTGCAGAAGCTTAACCCTCGAATCCCCCACTAGATCTCATCGTCAGCTTCATTTTCCGATCCCACATCGATAGGTTCTGATAAGCGGTTCTCGAGATTTCGAGCAATTTAGGTGAAGCTCAGGCTGCACTACTATTAGGAAAACGACGGTACTCATCGTTTTTCAAGTTTCAAACGAATCCTCTCCAAAATGAACGTGAGGTTCTCAGCTGTGGTTGTCTGATTGCTCAGATTGTCTCATTGAAGGGAAATGAAAAGCCAAAATGAGCTAGATAGGGATGAAAAGGATGAAAAAGAGAAGCGGATGGGAGATCTGAAGTCTCTTCTGAAGTGAGAAGTTTTTTCGGGATTGAGGCACTAGGTGAGGGAGGGGAATGGATTGGTGGGGCAGCCGAGTTGACGACGATTTTACGGCTTCAAAGCTTTTGCAGAAGTTCAACCCTCGAATCCCCCACAAGATCTCATCGTCAGCTACATTTTCCGATCCCACATCGATAGGTTCTGATAAGCGGTTCTTGAGATTTCGAGGAATTTAGGTGAAGCTCAGGCTGCACTACTATTAGAGAGAATACAGTATATAAATCCCTTTCTTTTTCAGCAATAGATTTCTTTAAAAAGTCGATTAGTTCAACTTTAAACAAAACTTACTTGTATTTTTTTGTTTTTTTATTCTTTTAAGAATCATTTTAGATGTTATTGATTAATTTTTCTTTTCATTCAACTTACCAAGCCAATTTCTCTGCAAATAAATGGCAACAAATGAGGGTGGAATGGTACAATAGTCGATGAAAGAGTACAGCTCAAGCAGAAACCAAACTTTATCCGAAGCGGCGATAAACTGCAAAAGGATTTCATTAAGTTTTGTTCAGCGTTTTCATTTCTATCAAATAGATATCTAGAGTATAATATCTATTATAGAAAAGAGAAGTGTCTGTCCGTCTGTCTGTCCGTCTGTATGTCTGTCTGTATGTCTGTCTGTCTGTCTGCCCGTCTGTCTGCCTGCCTGCCTGCCTGTCCGTCTGTCCATCTGTCTGTCCGTCTGTCTGTCTGTCCATCTGTCTGTCCGTCTGTCTGTCTGTTTGTCCGTCTCTACGCGCAAGTTCTCGGCTCTCCGTGAGCCCATTTACATGATTTTTAGCTTCTTAGGCTTAGAATTCTATGTAGTTCTGCATCCTATATTTTGTTTTTTAAAAAGCAAATGGCATAAGATAGCCGGGAGTCGAACCCGGCTCGTGAGGACTGTAGACGAGCCCGCTGCCGGCTGCGCAAAGACGACATAAAGTATCCCAGAAAAAAACTCGCTGTTAGGCAGGTTTTTTTGGTTTTTTGAAGGCTAATGGCTGACCAAAACACGATTTTTGTGTTTTAAAACCGAGTTCAGGTTAATCAAAGCTTAAAATTCAAAAAGTAATCTTAAAGACCAAACAAAAATCCCAAAAATCCTAAAGCTCACCCGAATGAAAAAGTAGACCAAGAAAAAGATGTTGAAGCCGAGATCGATCTGCTGTGACGGGCTGTCCTGCCACGGGATGCACGTCTCCACTTGGAAATTTTGACTGAAAGAATATTCAATGTCATAGGCCGATTCTCTAGATTCACGTAGGTAGGTAAAAACTCACAAACTGGCATCATAGAAATAGATGGCCAACGAGCCGAGAGAGAGCACGAAAACGAGCACGACGAGGAAACGACCGGTCAACGATTGACCCGAGATCAACTCGCCGGCCCAATCCTGAAAATATTGACTTGGAAAAAATTGAAAATTGAAAACAGAACAGAAACCAAGTCCTGTCCTGACCTTGCCGGCTTCGCTGACTTGCAGCAAATCCCTGGCTTCTAGCCGTGCCTCGAATTTGCCTAGCCTGCCTTACCAGCTAGACTTGGATCCGACTTTTGCTTTGTCTGGCTTACAAGTCTCTGAAACATCCCATACTATCTTTGATCGATAACCTAAGCCTAACCCAAACCCAAATAGACTCAGTCTTAGTCGAGATTGAGTCCAAGCCTAGCCTCAGCCTCAGCTTAGACCAGTCTAAGCCTAAGCCTAAGCCTAAGCCTAACCTAGGCCAAGCCTAAGCCTAGTCTAAGCCCAGCCTAGCCTAGGCCAAGCCTAAGCCTAGTCTAAGCCCAGCCTAGCCTAAGCTCCAAGAACTGGCTGAGATCCCGAAAATGGGGGTTTAGCCCAAACCCAAATAGACTTAGTGCGAGGCGCTAGCCGCTAGCCTTTGCACTAAGTACAAGCCTAAGTCCAAGCCCAGCCTGAGCCTAAGCCTAACCCTAAGCCTAACCCTGACCCTAACCCATTCCCCACCCACCTTTGCCTCCGTCATCCAGCCGAGATTTCTCTCCTCTTGCTTTAGATTGACTGCCTCTAAATCCGTCTTCGCAACGTGCTTTCCATTCACCTAAACATCATTTTTTTTTTTCTCAAGTAATTCATGAATTCTTTCAGCCATTACAGAAAAAAAAGCAATGAAATAAATGCTGGAGAAAATTAGAATTTTCATTTTTTCTTTTTTTTTCATACTTTGTTTCGATTTCGATTCCCCATTAGAGCCTTTAGCTGTACGGTAAAATTTAAGTAAAAAGAAAATGATTGTCACTAAATGCTTTGGTCACTGTCACTAAATGCAAAACTACCTGCAGTGGGACCGCCTCGGCGACCGGCTCCACCTCGTCCCGATCCCGGCGCTGGCAAAATAGATGCGTCACGATTCGCCACGTCACCACCAGCAACATCGACACGCAAAAGGTGACAATGCTAAAGATGGATGTCACAGTATTGAAATATGCAAGAATTTTTGTTATTTGATGAATTCTAGAAATTTTTTTATAGCTAGAGTCAACTCTGAGTTGATTCTTCTCTTTTAAACTTTGTTTTCTTCTAAACGCTAGCTTCTAGTGCACCGTAAATCTTCTTTTTTACTTACTTTTCACTAAAAAACCTCTTTTTGTCGATTTCTCTTTTCAACAAATCCCATTAATTAGCCCAAAAAATTGTCTTGGAAAAGTTTTAGGCTATTGCTTGGTTTGCTAATTGGTTAGAGTCACGTCAATGTCACCATCTTTTTTACTTTTCAGGCAAAAATGGAATTGAAGCTTAAATTAACAAAAAAGTAACCAAAAAAAGAGTTTAAAGATGATTTATTGAAAAAGAAAAGATGTTAAAAGAAGAAAAATGAATAGAGAAATTGCATGTTTCTTAGCCGTTTTTTTAGCTGTTTTTAAGCGTTTTTTTTCATCCAATGATTAGCGAAATATTCTAAAATTCATGGAAATTTTGAAGACTAACTTTAAAGATACGGTAACAAGCTAAAAACTAAAGCCAAAATCTACCCTTTAATCTTTCTCTAGTCCGAGAGATAAACGAAAAATTCTTGGATTTGACACTTGAACTGTTCCAAACCATTAGTCTAGTTGATTCTTTGTCTCCATCAGCTTCTAATCTTTTATCTAACTTTAGTTGACTCTATACAGCTTCTACTCTTTTATCTAACTTTAGTTGACTCCATCAGCTTCTACTCTTTTATCTAACTTTAGTTGGCTCTATACAGCTTCCTTTTATCTAACTTTAGTAGACTCCATCAGCTTCTAATCTTTTACCTACCTTAGTTGACTCTATACAGCTTCTAATCTTTTATCTAACTTTAGTTGACTCTATACAGCTTCCTTTTATCTAACTTTAGTAGACTCCATCAGCTTCTAATCTTTTACCTACCTTAGTTGACTCTATACAGCTTCTACTCTTTTATCTAACTTTAGTTGTCTCTATACAGCTTCTACTCTTTTATCTAACATTAGTTGTCTCCATCAGCTTCTACTCTTTTACCTAACTTTAGTTGTCTCTATACAGCTTCTACTCTTTTACCTACCTTAATTGACTCTATACAGCTTCTAATCTTTTACCTAACTTTAGTAAACTCCATCAGCTTCTAATCTTTTATCTAACTTTAGACTTTGAACCACCAGGGTTGTTCCAATCGAACTCTAATATATTGTAAAGTTTCTGGTTATAGCCTCGTTATAGCCCGAGTAGCCAGCCCAGAGTCTACCCAGAATCTACATAGCCAGATCTGATCTCTGGCAAACTAGGGACTTTTGGGGGGGTTTAGTGAAGCTGGATGCAGACTTGTTTAGCCTATGTTTAGCCTCTTCCTAATCCTCTTCCTCTTCCTCTAAATTAGGCTACGTCTAGATCTGGAAAAGTTTGTGCCCAAAAGCCAGTCAAAAGAAAACGACTTTGTTCTCTCTCTCTGCTCTCTTTGTATGCATCCTCTTTGACTCTTCGTCTCGTGAATTTTCTTCAAAACGGCTCATGCAGTATTCATCTGGTTTCCCGTCTCCGCTCACCGATTTTCACTTGTTTTTCCCCTTTTTCAAAGCTTTATTGAATCGATTTTGGAGGATTTCTCAAAGTGAAAGTGAAAGAAATTTGTTGAGATTGCAAAAATCAATCTCAATTCCAAGATGGCTGGGTAATTTGTGACATCTGGCTTACACAAAAGTGAAATTTCGTTTTGCATTTAGGAGGACTAGTGTTTTAATCTCTTTCTACTAGATATATAAAGATTTTAAGTTGTTGTTGTTAGATAAATTGTTAGCATATTTTGCTAATAATTATCATATGCTAACAATTATCATTTCAAATTAACTAACTAACTGGCTAACTTAGCCAGCTAGTTAGCCAGTTAGTTAGCCAGGTAGTTAGCCAGTTAGTTAGCCAGCTAGTTAGCCAGTTAGTTCGTTTAGGTAAGAGTTAGCCAGGTCTTCTTTTTCTTTCTTTTATAAAAGAGAGTTAAAAAAGATTGTGTTTTCTTTTGTGTAATGAGATTGGATGTCTTTACAGAGAAAAAAAATGAGTGAGTAAAGTAAAAAAGGAAAGGAAATGAAGGGAAAAATGAAAAATTAGTAAGTAATAAACTTCTGAGATAAGATAAGCTTCTCTACAAAGCTCTGAAGACAAACTTGTCTACAAAGCTCTTAAGACAAACTTGTCTACAAAGCTCTTAAGACAAACTTGTCTACAAAGCTCTTAAGACAAACTTGTCTACAAAGCTCACAAATGAACCCTTCCTAATACAGTGAATCTTCTTTTATTTATGTAAAAGAAACCCTTGTTTAAGAGAAAATAGAAAGATTCTGTTGCACTAGAAGATGCACGTTTACAAGCTTTAAACACAAAGAACTGGCATTCCAAACCTGCTCAGCATAAAGCACCAATATTTCCTCTCCTCTAAACACTTTCGATCCTCTTCACTCATCTCCATAAATGGTCTGGAAAGATTCATTTTTTATAAAAATTCTAATATTAAAAGATTTCTAATAAGTTTCTAATAAGTTTCTTATAAGTTTAATCAATTTTTAACATATTTAAATGAAATCTTTCTTACCTTGTCATATTGCATTGCATCCCGTAAGGATAGCTTTTGCTTTGTTGCGGGAATTGATCGTTCATTTTTCTAAAAAACTTTCAATTTCTCCAAATTATATTTAATTTAACTTAAATTATATTTAATTTAACTTAAATTTTCATAAGCTAACGGATTTCTATCCATTTTTTCAGGACTGGTTCATTATCTAAGCACAAAACAACAATTAAACAATTTTTCAAAAAACAAACTTTTTTCTGGAACGCACTTCAGTGAAATATCAATCTTTTGACGGTGATTTGTTTGAAATTTAGCTTTTTAGAAAGTATTAGATCCTTGTGTGTTTTCTCTGATATTGGAGCGGGCCTCAATGGCCCGGCTCCCCGCGTTGAGCCCCGACCTCACACAAATGTTTGATTTAGGCTGAAATCATTTTGTTAGAATTTGTTAGAAATCATTTTTAAAGTAGAAAAAAAGTGATAAACGATGAAATATTTAATATTGAAATGTTTAATATTGAAAATTGGATAAAGATAACTGGAGAAATGTCTAAAATAAATAGAAATCGCTTTCTAATCGTTTAATCATCGCTTTCTATTCTTTAAATAGAAATTCAAAGAATAGAAAGTGATGGTTAAACGCGTTGAACAGGTGTAAAAAATGTTTTGCTAGAATTTGATTTGAAATTTGATCATTAGAAAGTTTAAAGATTGAACAAAAAGCTGAAATCAATTAGAAAGTTGTTTTTAAGTTTTTCTTCTGAAAAGTAAATGATAAACTGATTGTTTTGCTTATCACCTAAAGCTTAGGTCGATCAGTTTTAGATAGTCAATCAAAATCAGTCAATCAATCAATCAGCAAATCCAAATCAGCCAACCAACATCAACCAACCAAAATCAGCCAACCAAAATCAGCCAACCAAAACCAGCCAACCAAAATCAGTCAATAATAATCAGCCAACCAAAATCAGCCAACCAAAATCAGCTAACCAAGATCATTCTACCAAAATCAGCCAACCAAAACCAGCCAACCAAAATCAGCCAACCAAAATCAGCCAACCAAAATCAGCCAACCAAAATCAGCCAACCAAAATCAGCCAACCAAAATCAGCCAACCAAAATCAGCCAACCAAAATCAGCCAACCAAAATCAGCCAACCAAAATCAGCCAACCAAAATCAGCCAACCAAAATCAGCCAACCAAAATCAGCCAACCAAAATCAGCTAACCAAGATCATTCTACCAAAATCAGCCAACCAAAACCAGCCAACCAAAATCAGCCAACCAAAATCAGCCAACCAAAATCAGCCAACCAAAATCAGCCAACCAAAATCAGCCAACCAAAATCAGCCAACCAAAATCAGCCAACCAAAATCAGCCAACCAAAATCAGCCAACCAAAATCAGCCAACCAAAATCAGCCAACCAAAATCAGCCAACCAAAATCAGCCAACCAAAACCAGCAAATCAAAATCAGCCAATCAAAATCAGTCGATCAAAATCAGCCAACCAAAATCAGCCAACCAAAATCAGCAAATCAAAATCAGCAAATCAAAATCAGTCGATCAAAACCAACCAGCTTATAAAAAGAAGCCAAAAAAGAAAGCTTTCTCTAATCTTTTAAAAGTAGAGAAATAATCAATGATTTGATTGATTTAAAGCAGAAAATTGTTTGAATAAAATAAACATTACTTTTTCTGAATAATGTTAAACAAAAGAAATTATTTATGATTCATTTTGAAATCATAATTCTGTTGGTTTGGTTATGAGATTGGAAAGCTCAAGATCTTCCCCTCCTACCTGGGGAATATCAAAAGATTTAAGCAAAAGAGGAAAGGAAAGGAAAGGAGTGAGAGATGGGAAGGGGAGATCATCGAAGGGGAGAAAGACCACGATGGGATGGGGAAAGGAAGAAAGGGGAAAGGGAAGAAAGGGAAGAGAGGCGAAAGGGACCCATTTGTGTCCCTCTCCGTCCTCTCCTCATCCCTTTAGCTCTCTTTTTTTCCTCTCCCTTTCTAGACCTTTCCCCGATCGATGTCTCACAACCACACGGGTCGGAGCCCCATTGCTTTCCTCTTTCCTTTCCCTCCAGCATTACTTCCAATGCCAGCCTTCTCTTGCTCTCTTGCTGGATAGGGGTGAGCAAGGGTGTAGGGCTTGAAATGGATGGGGTAGGGTAGGGTTGGGTGGGTAGGGTTGGGTGGGTGAGGGTAGAGTTGGGTGGGTGGAGGGAGGAGGAGAGGGGGTCAGCTTGGGACAGGAGTAGGTTGAGGCTTGGGTAGAGCTAGGGATCTCGGGCTCTCTGGGTCTTATCCCCCTTTACCCTTTTTGCATTCCGCCTCATTTCCCATTGAGCCATCTCTTTCAGCCATTCCCCTCATCCTCTCATCCACCTCTTCCGACAATGAAGTGTTCTTCTCGTTCTCTCTTCTCATCTCTACTCAACTCTTCTCACCTCTTCTCATCTCTTCTCATCTCCACTCATCTCTACTCATCTCTTCTCAACTTATCTCCACTTGACGTCACCTTGAAACAAAATTCTGATTTCAGCATATGTCAATCGCTTAAACGGGAAAGGGATGAAGAGATAGCATAACAATAAAAGCAAAAATGTGTGACAGATTCAGAGCAAGTTAATTGTTAATATTTGGTTTTGTTCAGTAAATTGCTAGTACAAATTGAAGTGTTCTTCTCGTTCTCTCTTCCCATCTCTTCTCATCTCTTCCCATCTCTTCTCAACTCATCTTAACTCATCTCAACTCATCTCAACTCATCTCAACTCATCTCATCTCTTCTCAACTCAACTCATCTCATCTCTTCCCATCTCTTCTCAACTCTTCCCATCTCTTCTCAACTCATCTCCACTTGACGTCACCTCGAAAGAAAGTTCCGATCCGATCAGCCTGAGCTTGATCACTCTACTTCTTAACCATATCCAGTGAATTTGAGAAATCTTTTCTGTTCAGAGAAGGTATTTTCCACAAAAGTAAATAGTTTAAATCTAACAAATTGAAATAATTCAATCATTTAAACAATTTCAACAATTCAATTTAAATTTTTATACGAAAAAGCCCGTAAAATGGATATGTTCAAATTATCAAAATCAATGGCACAATGAAATAAATTCAAAAGAAAGAATCAAAAGAATTAAAAGAATCAAAAGAATCAAAAGAATTAAAAGAATCAAAAGAATTAAAAGAATCAAAAGATTTGATCAATATCCTCGTGTTGGATCGTTTCTAAAGCGCTCACTTGCATCCCATGCGTAGAGAAATGTGTTCAATAAAGTTCCGCTCTAAAAATTTTGAGAATTTATAAGAAATCTTCATTCATTTGACAGATTCATAAGAGAATTTGACTAAAGTTTTGCTAATCTTAGCTTTAAAGAAGAAAATTAAACTAGAATTCTTGTTTAGCCTCTTCCTAGAGCCGTAAATTAGGCTACGTCTAGATCTGGAAAGTTTGTGCCCAAAAGTCAGTCAAAGAAAACGATTTTGTTCTCTCTCTGCTCTCTTTGTTTGATTCTCTTCATTCATTTGACAGATTCATAAGAGAATTTGACTAAAGTTTGGCTAATTTTAGCTTTCCAGAAGCTTTCCAGAGCTGCAGAGCTTTCCAGAAGCTTTCCAGAGCTGCAGAGCTTTCCAGAAGCTTTCCTGAGCTGCAGAGCTTTCCAGAGCTTTCCAGAAGCTTTCCAGAGCTTTCCAGAAGCTTTCCAGAGCTTTCCAGAAGCTTTCCAGAAGCTTTCCAGAAGCTTTCCAGAAGCTTTCCAGAGCTTTCCAGAGCTTTCCAGAAGAAAATTCAACTAGAATTCTTCGGAGTAAGTCAGCAGAACGAATGCTTGTTAGCAAAATGCTTTTTAAAATCTTTTTTATAAAATCTAAAAGTTTATTAACATTATCGTAAAGATTTTACGGTAATTTTACAGTTTTAACAATAAAACAAACCGTTGTAAACAACCATTGAGCCACAAAAGTTGATTGGAATAGAGCAACGATGAGAAAAATCAGCGATAAGCCATAGCAAAGAGTGGCTAGAGTAGAGAAAAGACGCTCCTTTAAAGAAAAGAATAAGTTGCTTTTGATAATGATTATAGAATTAGAATCGTTTCATAAAAATAGGATCTGATTGGCTTTTTGGCTTCAGATTGGCTTTTGATTGGCTTTTGATTCTTTTGAACTTTCAAAGCTTCAAGTCAAGCTTCAAGTCAAGCTTCAAGCCAAGCTCTCAAGTCAAGCTTCAAGTCAAGCTCTCAAGCCAAGCTCTCAAGCCAAGCTCTCAAGCCAAGCTCTCAAGCCAAGCTCTCAAGTCAAGCTCTCAAGTCAAGCTCTCAAGTCAAGCTCTCAAGTCAAGCTTCAAGTCAAGCTTCAAGTCAAGCTTCAAGTCAAGCTTCAAGTCAAGCTTCAAGTCAATCTCAAGCTTTGTTTATCTCCTTGAAATCCTTTCTTTAAACTATTTTTGTCTGCTTAAAACAAAAAATCCTTTAAAAATAACAAAACCGCCTCAGTTGAGGCTTTCGAAATTGAATCTAATACTACTATTGCTGGATTTTAAGCTTATCTTTCTATTACTCTTTCAATCACCAACCATCAGATGAAAGTTATACTTATAATACGCTTGTGTAACGCCGAAAAAGTCGAAAATAACCATCACCACCGTGAGCACACAAAAGAAAACGTTCACGCAAACGATCTAATTTTTCTTTTTCTTTCAATTTCTATTAAGTAATTTACCGAAAAGATTTGAGAAAACGAATGAAAATAGCTGGTGCATTCGTGGAAAAGATCGTTCGGGAAACAGTAGGCATTCGAGAGAGCACAGAAGATCCCAACAATCTGGAATTTGAGGCATGCAAATCAAATAGAGGAATGTGGTAAGAGATCAAGAGTCTGTTCAAGAATCAAGACGCAAGAGCTGTTTAGGGTTAGGCCAAGATCCAGCCAGAGCTGTTTAGGATTAGGCTAAGATCCAGCCAGAGCTGTTTAAGGTTAGGCCAAGATCCAGCCAGAGCTGTTTAAGGTTAGGGCAATATCCAGCCTAGGGACTAAACCAGAAATTCCAGAGTTTTGACTTAGCCTAAACCACTCGACTTTAATCAGAGCTAGTGGTATAGCTTCAAGACTTCAATCAGAGCTCCTCGTTGAGGAGTGATCTGTGGAGGCTAGAAAGCTTGACCTGATCAACCTGATGATCCTAAAGCAAGGCAAGTTTAAAGTCAAGTAAAGTAAAGCAAGTCTAAAATCAGCGTCAACATCAAGTCAACGTTGGATCAGAACCAGATAAGCCAAATCCTAGACTTTCTTGATTCGATTTGTTTCATGACTTTTTCAAAAGGTTATTCGATTTGATATTGAGGAAAAGAGTCTTAAAATACTTTATTTTCACTTACAATTTGACACAATCGAAGTACATTTCGTCGCTCTTCGAAAAATCCTCGATTCACCATAAGTGGTGGTCCGGAATGATTGTGATTCATTTTCTGCTTTTATTTTTTCGCCTTTCTAAAATCTCATTCAAAAAATGATTTTAAAAAGAAATTTGAATACTTTTGTTAATAAGAAAGTGAAATTTTATTAAAGATAAAGAAAATGAAAGTAAATGAAAGTAAAATCAATTAAAACCCAATTAAAAAGCAATTGAAATGAATAAAATGAATGAAATGAATGAAATGAAAGAAAAGATCGCGATCAACTAGTCGATATCGTGGATAACTGGTAGATTTGGGGAATTGAGTGCAAAAGAGAACTGGATAGGGGAAAAATTGGAATGATTGAGGATGTGAGTCGACTAGACTCACACTAAACAACACCACTTTCCGAGAAATTCCTTCAAACAAAACATTGAATAGCTTTCAAGAAAAGAAACAAACTATTTGACTATTAGAGTTTTTTTTTCAGAGAAAAATTGAATTCAAATTGAAAAACTAAGCTCTAACCCTACATAGAGAGTAACTATTGAAAAGAAAAGGATAATTGATTCTATCAACAACAACAACAACACTCACACACTTACACACTCCACTTTTTCACAATTGAGGAAAATTCGTCTATGAAATCGCGTGTGAAATAGGAATTATTTGAACTATTTGTAAAGCTGATTTCTTTCTTGAAAAGATTTTGATTTTTAAGTAAATGAAAGTAAATGAAAGTAAATGAAAGTAAATGAAAGTAAATGAAAGTAAATGAAAGTAAATGAGAGTAAATGAAAGTAAATGAAAGTAAATGAGAGTAAATGAAAGTAAATGAAAGTAAATGAAAGTAAATGAAAGTAAATGAAAGTAAATGAAAGTAAATGAAAGTAAATGAAAGTAAATGAGAGTAAATGAGAGTAAATGAAAGTAAATGAAAGTAAATGAAAGTAAAAGCAATTAAAAAGCAATTAAAAAGCAATTGAAATGAATGAAATGAAAGAAATGAAAGAAATGAAAGAAAAGATCGCGATCAACTAGTCGATATCGTGGATAACTGGTAGATTTGGTGAAATTCGTCTATGAAATTGCGTGTGAAATCGGAATTATTTGAACTATATTTGTAAAGCTGATTTCTTTCATGAAAAGATTTTGATTTTTAAGTGTAAGTAACTTGGTTTAAAATTTAGATTTAAAATCGGATAAATCAGAGATTTGTGGAAGGAAGATGTCGACAAAAAAACGCCAAAAAAACGGCTTCTCGTGTTTTCTTTTCTTCCTTTTGGAAAAAAGGCAAGTTGATATGCCCGGGAAATGAGTCAGACCCGATTAGAAAAGAAGAATATTGATTGATCGACGAGAAATATTGATAGTAATATTTAGGACAACGAAGTTCAATGTTTTTTTTTAAATGAAGTCAATAAATTCTGCTCTAATAAAGTATTTTATTCTGTTTCTGGAATAGATTCTTTAGCTCTAGAAATCTTGAAACAGTAATTTTGAATTTAGTAAGCAGTAAAGAAACGGAAAGATCTTGATATTTTGTCAAATTTGGACAATTTTGAGAGCTCAAGACTGACTTTTGAATAAACAAGGGTGATTTTGAAACAAGAACAAGAAAATGAACATGAACAAGAACATGAACATGAACATGAATATGAACAAGAACAAGAACAAGAACAAGGAAATGAACATGAACAAGAACATGAACAAGAACAAGAGCATGAACATGAATATGAACAAGTACAAGAACAAGTACAAGAACAAGAACAAGAACAAGAACAAGAACAAGTACAAGAACAAGAACAAGAACAAGAACAAGTACAAGTACAAGAACATGAACAAGAGCAAGTACAAGAACAAGTACAAGTACAAGTACAAGAACAAGAACATCAACATCAACATCAACATCAACATCAACATCAACATCAACAAGAAACAGAGAAGTCGGATCAAGATTTACAAAAAGCTTGCACGAATCGAATCGCTTTCATCGAAAAGTGCGCATTAATGATTGGCGGCAGGATGAAGCTAATTGAATGTTTCGAGAAAGGGGAAAAGTGGGATGAAGGGAATGAAGGGAATGAAGGGGAGATGTGTGAGAAGATCTCCTCTTCAGCAATCTCTCCGAAAAGAGTTGTCGCTAGCTCTTTCTACCCTTTACAACTCGCTAACATTCCCTGCCCATTTCCCCGGCTACTTTATGCATGACCACACCGGCTACTCCACCCTCCCGTTCTTCTCTTTCTTTCCATCAAATGAGCGCTGCCTTCCAGCATTGCACGAATCACGAATTCTCATCCGTGCAAAATCATTCAGTCATCACTACTATACAACAAGAGTAAGCGAGCATTGTCTCTGGCATTCGAGAACCTTTCGAGAACATTCGAGAAGTAAATCCACAACCTCTAACATACGAAAATGAAAATAGGCTAGAAATAAGCCAGAAATAAGCCAGAAATAGTGTGCTTACGTTTTTAATCATAAAAAGTACACAGTTTTAATCCAAAATCCGGTCAAACAATGGTTTTAGTAAAATAAGAGCCATTGAAATTGGAAATTAACTGATTGTTTTCAATTCTTTTGATTCAATTCGATAAAAGCGGCTCCTTATCAAATTGTGCTTTGAGCTTCAAAGCCAAATTTTCAAAAACATTTCTTTTTTCAGTGAGATTTTCGAATATCTCAAATGTTTATTTAAAAATTATTATTATTTACAATTATTTATATTTAATTATTCAAAAAAAAAACTACAATTCACAGAACAATTCCCCGGGCTTCACGTTTCAAACAATTTTAAAAATAGTAATTGATTCAAATTTTCTCTTTTTTCAAGTCTAGCTTGAGTTTAGCGAAATGTCTGGTTGATCTAGAAGTTGATCTATTCTTCTGGAAACTTTGTAGCAAATAATTTGAGTGAAATTTTGAGGATTACTTTCAAATTCCTCACTCTTTTTAACGCTAAGAGAATTTTTCTTGGTTGTTCTTATAAAATTGCCAGCAGCAGCAACAACAGCAGCAGCAGCAACAGCAACAGCAACAACAACAACAGCAACAACAACAACAACAGCAGCAACAGCAACAACAACAACAACAGCAGCAACAGCAACAGCAGCAACAGCAACAGCAACAGCAGCAACAGCAGCAACAACAACAACAACAACAGCAACAACAACAACAACAGCAGCAACAGCAACAACAACAACAGCAGCAACAGCAACAGCAGCAACAGCAACAGCAACAGCAGCAACAGCAGCAACAACAACAACAACAACAGCAACAACAACAACAACAGCAGCAACAGCAACAGCAACAGCAGCAACAGCAACAGCAGCAACAGCAACAGCAGCAACAGCAGCAACAGCAGCAACAGCAACAGCAACAGCAGCAACAGCAGCAACAGCAGCAACAGCAACAACAGCAACAGCAACAACAGCAACAGCAACAACAGCAACAGCAACAACGACAGCAACAACAACAACAGCAACAACTCACCATCCCATTCATCAACCATTAATCGGCACTCGTGCAAACGAACGGCTGATAGGAATCGGATAAGCTCGCGTAATTATTTGAACGTTGAAGCCAATCTAAAAAGTGGATAACTTTTATTCCACTTCACTCTCGAGTCTCCACCAATCGTCACTGTCCGATCCATCACGTTGTCGGTCACATTTCAGATAAATCGAATTCGAGCAGTTGTTAATCACTTCTACTTTCACAATCATTTTGTTGAGAGCTTTTAAATCGATTCGATGATATCAAGAATTCTATTATAGTATCCGAAGAAGCCGGAGAGCCGTCGAGACAGCCAGAGAAGAAGTAAACTTTGACAAAACATTCTCGAGTTTAACCGTAGTTTTTTATAACTTTCTACTTTGCAAAATTCATAATTGTTTTTGTTTTCTTATCCGAAATTCTTTATACAAAATTGACTTTAACAAATATTCTTCTCTTAGATAAAAACACTGATTTTCACCCTATTTTTTAAAATTATTATTTTAGAATAATTTAAAAAAAAATTGATTGGGAAAGTTGACAAAACCTCTTTTTTTGTTTTTTTTTTTTTTTGTGAGGAGGGGGGGGGGGAAAAAAAAAAAATGAAAAAAAAAAGAAAAAAAAATAATTTTTTTTTTTTAAAAAATAAAAAAAAAAAAGGCTTTAATAAAAGAATTTTTAAATATTTTTTTTTTGAAGAAAATGATTCAATGACTCATAGTGAAGTCAAAATATTCAATTCAAAGTATCCAATTCAAAGTATTCAATTCAAAATATTCAATTCAAAATACTCATCTTCAATGACTCATAGTGAACCGATTCGCGGCTCAGACTGTCTTAGTCATCTTGCTTACTCTTGCTTACTGATAGCGTTTAAAAAAGGGCAGAAAAAGCATTTTTTTTTAAATATTTAAAGAAATTTTAACTTATTGCCTTTAATTTTTTAAATTTCTATTTCTATTTGTGCAAATTTTTTGAGAGCAAAAATGCGAGCTCTTCTTCTTTTCATTGTTTTTCTTGGTGTCTCCCAGGCGGTTACTTGTTGGATTGGATCAACGAATGGAGTCTCGCCACCAGAAAATGTGTGTTAAAAACTTTCTATATATGATTTTCTATATAAAAGTGTTTTATTAACAAGAATGCTATTTTAGAGGAGCAGCATTGAGTGCTCGGGCGATTGTAAATACTGCGCGAAAGGCGTTCTCGTTTTGGCGGTGAGTTTTCGCTAAATTCTTTAAGTCTAGAATTTATTGTTAATTTTTATATAAGTCTAAATTTTTATGTAATTTCTTATTTCTATAAATGTTTATTGTAGAATTCGGTTGGATACGCGACATGGGGTTGTGGTTGTGGTGGTGGAGTAAACGATATTGCTACTGAATTTGGTGCTACATGCACAGTAAGTTTTGTTTTAAAAGCTTTATTATATTATAAAGTTTATTAGAAAGTTTTTATAAAATTTTTTGGGGGTGGGACAAATGCGACCTTTTTTTGCGCACCTGGACATTTGCGCACCTTTTTTTTGCTGAAAAGGCCTTAGGCAAGGTTGTAGCGCTTCAAATATCTTTTCATAGAAGGGAATCGTATGCGTAGATTCCGAATTTCGACAAATCAGACCTCGCTGACACGTCAAATTTGGGCTAAAAGGCAAAACTGCGGAAAAGCGTTAAGTTGCGTAGTTTTTGCCTTTTAGCCCAAATTTGACGTGTCAGCGAGGTCTGATTTGTCGAAATTCGGAATCTACGCATACGATTCCCTTCTATGAAAACGTTTTTGAAGCTCTACGACTTTTCCTAAGGCCTTTTCCAGCAAAAAAAAAGGTGCGCAAATGTCCAGGTGCGCAAAAAAATGTCGCATTCGTCCCACCCCCAGTTTATTATAAAGTTTATTATAAAGTTTATTATAAAGCTTATAAAGTTTATTATAAAGTTTATTATAAAGCTTATAAAGTTTATTATAAAGTTTATTATAAAGCTTATAAAGTTTATTATAAAGTTAAACTCTTCTTTTTTTAACTTCAAAGTATCTGAGTTAAATTTAAACGAAATTCTTCTTTTTTAAGCAGTTTTTATTAGACCCATGCATGCGGATTTTAATTAAAAAAGTTCTAAAATATTTAAAAATTGATTTAAAACTTTAATCCACTTATTATTTATAACTTTAATTGTATGATTTTGCAAGCTAATAATCAATAAAATGTAGAGAGAGAAGGAAACAAATTTAGGGAGGGAAGGGACCAAATTTAGAGAGATAAGGAGCAAAATTTAGAGAGATACAAGTTTTCAAAGCTAATGATCAATAAAATGTAGATCTTCCTCAATTTTTTAACGCAAATCGTCGTCATCAATGAAGTCAACCCCATTTCTCAGTCAACCCCATCCCCACTTCTTATGCCTAATATTTCTATCTCCGCATTGAAAAGAGTGAAGACTTATGCAACCTAAATCAATCGTTATAATTTTCTGCACAAATTATTCAATAAAGATTTGTTTAGAAAAAAGGCAAAACGGAAAGAAGCACTGGAGCGGATGGCAAGGAAACGATGTATTGCTGCAAAGGGGACAAATGTAACTCGGCGAATCAAAAGATTTCCTTCTACACAATCATCACCATTGCTTTTATTGCCTTTCTTTCGTTAGCACCGAATAAAGCACAGATTTCTTAAGCTATGCTCATTAAAGTATGATCAATTTGAAGGTATCTTATGTTTGATACTTTTGTGTTATCTAGGGAAATGCCAAAACTTTTCTGACTTAAAAAAAAACATCTTTTCACCACGCACTCATTTTCACGTCATATTTGCACATTTTTAACTGTTAAAGAGATCTTTATGGGTTTCCTGTAAGCTAAAAGTTCTTGATATCTTTGAGAATGATATCAAAACTGTTGTGACGCAATATAGCTGTTCAACATTGTACGATAAATCCGATAATGGCGCTGGTTTGCATCCATGAAGCGTCCGAAGGAAAAGGAGATTTGGAAAGATTTTGAGACTTTGGTGCAACCCGGATATATGGCTTTTCTCTTCCTATCAAATCATAATTTCTGCTTCAACAAATGGTCTCAAATGGTTTCAACCACTAAAAGTGTTCTTTCGGATAAAGAAACAAAAGATTTGTGAGGTCTCGCTCTGGAAACGAACGCTGTATCACTCAGTCACGGCTGCACCGAGTTGAATCCGCAAGGAGGCCGCACATAGGTAACAAAAATAATCGTCTTTAAAACAAAAATTCGAACACTACAAATTTTAAGTTAGGCCCAAAAATGACCGGAAAAAATAAAATAATCCAAAAACTATCATCCAAAATTTCAGAATTAAAGGCGGCGACTTTGATTTTTTGAAATTTCATACTTCATCGAACCATGAAGTGTTAGGTTGAAAGCTGTTGAAGAGCGGCGAAGAAGATTGGATCTGCTGGATGAGCGAGGAAAACGGCTGATTTTTTTTCCCTCGATAAAGGACACGGCCGAGTTATTTCAACTATTTCATTCCTAATCTGCGAAAACCCGTGCTCGTCTCGCAATTGTCTTCCATTACAAGCTTGGGAAGGTTCAGATTCCTATGACTCGCCGAAGGAAAAGGAGATTTGGAAAGATTTTGAGACTGGTGCAACCCGGATATATGGCTTTTCTCTTCCTATCAAATCATAATTTCTGCTTCAACAAATGGTCTCAAATGGTTTCAACCACTAAAAGTGTTCTTTCGGATAAAGAAACAAAAGATTTGGCGTGCAAAGGCAAAGATTCAAAAGCCACAAATTGCTGCCAAACAGCGATTCTTTGCAATGAACTAGAAAAAGTTGGTGGTTCTGAACAAAGTATACTGGTCCATGCTCTATTCTTACATCTTGGCCCATTTGTCCATTGGCATAAACTCATCGGAAATGCATCCGACATCCATCGGAAACCACCAACTTTTTCTAAAAGTAGAGTAAAAATGCTCAAAAATACTTGTGACAACTTTTTTATAGCCTCTCGGAAAGGTTCCTAAATTTGCGTTTGAAAGTTGCCACCCAGGAGCCGCCAAGACTTTTGCCCATGACTGTATAACATCAAAGGTGCGCGCGGGCGATATAACCGCGCACTTCTAAAAAACTAAGGTTTCAGAGCTCGCGTTTCCATTGAACAAAACACAAAATTAAAAAACAGCTCCCGACTAACTTTTTGCGTAGAATTCGGAAATTTGCTTTTTGAGCCTAGTTTATCAGCTAGATTTTCGTGAAAAAAAATTATTTTGACTTTTCGGCGCAGAATATTGAAAAAATTTCATGGGAAAATAGATTCCACAAAAACTCAATTCAGTATTCTAAAAGAGCGTGATAAGAGGTATTGAATGACATATAACTATTGAATTATAGCTATTGAATTATAGCTATATAGCATATAGCTATTGGATGACATGGTTCGATGGTTTATAGTTCGATGAAATATGAAATTTCACTAACATCAAAGTCGCCGCCTTTAATTCTGAAATTTTGGATGATAGTTTTGGATTATTTTATTTTTTCCGTTCATTTTTGGGCCTAACTTAAAATTTGTAGTGTTCGGAACTTTTGATTTAAAGAAACAAAAAATTTACATTGGGTGTAATCGATGTGGGCCGATCGATGTGGGCCGATCGATGTGGGCCGATCGATGTGGGCCGATCGATGTGGGCCGATCGATGTGGGCCGATCGATGTGGGCCGATCGATGTGGGCCGATCGATGTGGGCCGATCGATGTGGGCCGATCGATGTGGGCCGATCGATGTGGGCCGATCGATGTGGGCCGATCGATGTGGGCCGATCGATGTGGGCCGATCGATGTGGGCCGATCGATGTGGGCCGATCGATGTGGGCCGATCGATGTGGGCCGATCGATGTGGGCCGATCGATGTGGGCCGATCGATGTGGGCCGATCGATGTGGGCCGATCGATGTGGGCCGATCGATGTGGGCCGATCGATGTGGGCCGATCGATGTGGGCCGATCGATGTGGGCCGATCGATGTGGGCCGATCGATGTGGGCCGATCGATGTGGGCCGATCGATGTGGGCCGATCGATGTGGGCCGCTAAGACCCACATTTGTCGTAACAAAACTTTAGACGCTTATAACTTCTGACATATTACCAAAAACGGAACATATATATTCTGAATCAGCATGAAATTCTGCGTCGAATGGTATAGCATTTGACCGGCTCAACCAATTGACCTTCCTTCGTAAGTAGCCTCTCCTGGATGTCGCAAATCTTTCTTTAAAATATCTTTGTCCTTTTGGGAGGGTTTTCTTGCTGGATGAATAACAAGAATGAATCTGTTATTATGAATGTATTTCAATTTTCTTCTGTCATTCGAAATTACCACAACGTCTAGGCTTAGAAAGGGCCATAGAAAGAACGTTTTTAGAATATGATCTCCTTGAATGATCACAGATCTGTGATCATTTAAGAAATTTTCAATGTTTTTCATTATCTTTCCAATCGATTTTACTAGCAAATTTCAATTCTTTTTTTGAGATGCTGGGTTGTGAATTTGATAGGGGTGGTGACCATGGTGGCTTCCCCAATTTTGAAGTTTTTCAAAGTATAAATTCGCATCATTGTTCATCAAGTTCTCCTAGAGTTCTCCAAGTCCATAATTAGAAGAAGAAGAATCCACTTCCACCCAATTTCCCCTTGGGTCTCCTCTTCAAAAATTTCAACAAGCAATTATTTCATTTATATTGAGAAAAACCTCATCCATACGTAATTATTTCAAATTTGCTTTTCATTGATCCATTTCTTAGCTGAGCGAGCTCATTGTGAAAAACAAAGAGCCCCAGATCTTGGCTTGACTTTTTCCCCTTTGCTTTCGCCTCCATCCATACCCAATCCATAAAATAAGCAGTTTCAAGTTCGATCAGCCTCTACGATGCACTCAAAAATCAATGCTCTGTTTGAGATTCTGAAAGAAGCCGAAATTTTCCAAGCACTCGCTTTAGGCGGAGGCATCACAGGTGGGTTCACTGCTAGCAGTCTTTGAAAACAAAAGCTTTCCAGCTGTTTTTGTTCAGCTCAACTTTTGGGCACAAGAAGTTGCGGTTCAAAGTGTGGCGAAACCCGAGAATCCAAATGAGACGTTGGAAATCAGTAGCGAGTTGTTTATTGCAATTGGTGAATGGCTGATTGTTCTAAATGGCTTTGTAAGTGTTCTTCTTCCTTAAGCTCTTCCTTAAATTCTTCCTTAAACTCTTCCTTAAATTCTTCCTTAAAACATTGAAATAGTTTAGCTAGAGGTGAGAGTTTTTTTTCCAAGAAAAAAAGAAGAAAAAAAATCGAGTATATTCAGGTTTCTCTTTTGGGAATAATAACAAATTTGTTCGCTATTTATTTCACTGTAATGAACGATGGGCTGGCTTTGCTTTTCAGGTAAGATTCATGGTTTTGCCTTCGATTTAAATTTTATTTGATTTCCTAGTTCTTTGTGAAGTTATATAGAAGAAAATGGAAATAGATTTACAGAAAGATCTAGGGATTTGAACAATTAGCTCTTGTTTTAGACTTATCGCAACATCAGAGAATGGCTGGCAACTCTTTTACACTTTCATGCAATCAACGAAATTCCTATGTCTACTATTTAGTGAGAGGTCTAGAATTTTTGAGGAAAATCGGAACTTAACTGACTTGACTAGTACTTTTCAAAAGAATCGAACAATCTTTAAGCTGTCCAACGGATAATTTGGTGATCTGGTTTTGTATTTTTTACGCCGACACTTTCTCCCTTTGTCTTTACTATCCACAGCTCTTCATTTCACTCAGGTTTGGGCAGAGAAACAAAATAAATGAATAGTTAAAGTCGAGAGATCTTCCCAATCATTAAACATAGTTTTTTAAAAACTGTACAATATTTTTGACACATTGGGGACAAGCATGGGCTTCAAAAATACAACCAAAAATAGATTTAAGCATAAATATTGGAAGAAATGGAAGTTGGGTTAAAGGGATCGATGAAGTTGGTGCTGTGCTTCGCCCAATTAAATTGGTAATCTGGATGAGAGGAAAGGCTTCGATAAGGAGTCGAAAATGAGTCGAGACCGAGGAGTGATGGATTTCTCGATTGCGAGAATCAAAGTGGCAGTAGATCGGTCAGACAAAAGGACACAAAACTTCTCATTCGATTCCCACCGAAGATCCATTTCTCGTTCATCCTTTCAACATGGTATTTCCGTTTTGCGAAGAGATCTCAACGGTGCATTCCGTTGAGCATTAAACGGCATTAAGCGCTAAGCACAGACTTGACAAAGGTGAAAGTTCTAGTTCAACATTTCCAGTTCTTCTTCACAATACTTGATTGTAGAATCTCGTTAGATTAAAGATGAATAAATTCGAGAATAGTAGTGAAGTTCTGTTTTGATTCTTCAAAGCAATTTTCCTAAATCGCTCAAACAAAAAATAGAATATTATACCGTATTCTCTCTCATAGTACTGCACTCTCTAATAGTATTGCGGTCCAGGAGGGGGTTGAAAAAATAGTAGTGCGCACTACTATTAGAGAGAGAATACGGTATTTAAGTTTACGTAATGATTGTTAAGTTCAATATTCGGTTTTTGAAAAAAACAAAAGATTGTAGTCTTACGAGAATCGCAAAAAGAATATGGGTAGTCAAGGGAAATGGATAAGCGGCTTATGGCCATTTCAAACATTTCAAAATACTGATAAGGTGAAAATCGTTTAACGCTTTTTTTCGTGGATAGTTGGGAGTTTTTTTTTGTTTGATTGAGTTCACCAAGAAAATGTTCAAATTATTGCTTCAACTTTTCACTTTTACCTATGTAATATCAGGTAAATTTTGAGAATTTGATCGTACTTTGATTATTTGATTTGATTATTTAATCTTAAAAAAGATAAATCTTGACTTTTATTGAAGATCAACCTTTAGCAACAAATGGGGAGATGTTTCGCGTTGAGTTGAATGAAGTCGATGCTTCTTATGCGATCGATGGAACATTATTTGATCAAGACACTGTTCGTATAAAATTTCTCTTATAGAATTTGACAATAGCAGCTTTCTCACTTTTTTTATTGGGTTGGTGCATTGAAAACTGCGGGCTATTTCGCGGGACTTGAAGCTAAAGAAAACAACGGCATAGAAGCAGCTGAAAAGGAGATTTATTTACTTCAACATTTCTTCTAATTATTGCGAAAAAATGATGCTTCCAACTTTTTATTTTTTAGTATTTTTCTTTACTTCTTCTATTGCACTCGAGAATCTGCCACTGGGATATATTCACCTGATGCTTCATGTGCTCTTACAAGAGCACAGTACAGGCTTGGCAGCTGCTAATATTAAAAAGATATATGGCGAGGACTCACCTTCCGAAAGAACGTGTCAAGTATGTTGCCAAGTTTCGATCTGGGGACAAATCTTTGAAAGAAGCAGAGGGCCGTGGAGCGGCACCCCAACTCGATGGCTCGAAATTACTCGAACTCATTACCAACGACCATCGGACATCATGAATTTGGAGATGAGTTAGGGGTTGATCATGCTACAGTGCTAACGCACCTTCATACTCTTTGATTTAAATCGAAACTTGGGGCTTGGATGCCCCATGACTTCACTGACCCACAGAAGTGGCAGCGCGCCTCGATCAGTGCCGTCCATCTCTCACAATACAAAAGGAAATCTTTTCTTTCTCGAATTGTGATAGGAGATGAGAAATGGGTTTTAGCTGTGAACTTTCAGAGGAGGTGGCAATGGGTGAGGCCAGGCGAGAAACCCGAAAGCGACCCTAAGCCCGATTTGCGCCAGAAGTTTATGCTCTGCTTTATTTATGCTCTTCGATTCAGAAGAAGCAGTCAAAAATTGGCTAGAAAAGTTTTTCGATTCAAAGCCAAGATCCTAGTAGGAAAGAGGAATTCGCAAATTGCTTGTAAAATGAGCAGAAGTCGTCCAGAATATCGCAATAATTCATTTCAAATAATGGAAACTATTTGGAATATGAATTTATGGTTTTATGTTGAATAAATTTTAGTTCAAAGTCTTCAAAGAAGAAGCAGTTTTCAATGCATCAATCCAATAAATAGAGCTTGAACTGAATCACAAAAAAATCCTAACAATATCCTAACAATCAGAAAATCCAACATCTATATGGCCTATAAATATGCATAGACTGTAATCTGGGAAATCTCTTTTTGATTGAGGAAAGCTCTATTTTGAATTATGACTATAGTGAACGAGTTTTTGTTCTGTTGCAGAACGAGTTTTTGTTCAGAAGTTTTGTTGCATAGGCGTTTTGTGTTTTACCGTCTTATTCTATTCAATTTCTACCCCTTAAACCCACTCTAATCATATCCAAAAACGTTGCATAGAGATCATGATGTGTAAAAAAAAGCTTTGCGTTCGCTTTTGCTTGCATATGTAGAGTAGAGTTTCTAAAATTTTACTCTTTTCTATTGTAGTCTTTTATCAAATCTCTAGCTTCCGTGCCAAGCATAGAAAGATTTCTGTAAGCTGTAGGCTTTCTGTAATCATGATCTGTAAAAAGAAGCTTCTTACTTAAGCACTTAAGATTTTAAGAAGCTAAAGATTCTTCAGCTCTTTCTCGTTTGGACTCCGCAAGATGCTCTTCTCGTACAATCATACTTTGAATCACAGAGTGACACTGATTTTACACTTTCTGATGGTCAAAAGACAATCAAGTAAGTAAAGTAAGTGAAGATGAAGGTTTATCAAAAAGAAATAGCTCAGCCAATCTACAAGTCGAAGAATGGTTTGGCACAAATTTAGTCATCGAAATGCCGAATAACACGAATTTTCGATGGGCTTTTGTTGTCCGCGGTTTCTCTAAAGATAAAGGTTTTTTTTGTTTTGGATTTGAATTGCATATTGGGTTGTCCAGTTATGAATGCGCGTTTTTCACTATTTTGTAAATTTCTCAAGATACCGAAATCAAGAAAAAGATTTATATGAGTATTATTCGAAAGCTGAAGATCTCCTCTACATTTTGATAGAAAAAGTTTTTGAATTTATTCAGCTTTTGGGCAAATTGACTGCACAGAAGAAGAGGTGGCCAGAACGTTTAATTTGCGTCGCTTTCCGTTCCATTCCTCTTTACATTTAATTTGCGTCGCTTTTCCGTTCCATTCCTCTTTACATTTAATTTGCGTCGCTTTTTCGTCTCATTCTCTCCCCCAAATTTCTTTTTTTTTAGTTTTTCGGCAGAAGTTGTGTGTGTGTGTGTGTGTGTGTTGTCTCACCCTTTTGGGTCGGAAGTTTTGCCCTCGTTCTTTCGTCATTTGATGTTTTTCTTCACGCGCACGCTGTTTTTGTAATGGGTATCGTTGCCTTTCTTTACTGCCTTTGGATCAAGTTTTGACTGCGCTCAAATTGAGTTAACCGTTTGATGTTTGGACAATAGATATATCAATACAACTTTTTTGTTTAAATATAACAATTTCAGAGCATTTTTACTTTTCTTTTCTTTTCTTTTCTGGGCGGTTATTTTACATTATAAAACTTGAGGAATAGCGAAGCTGGAATGGGGGTTTTTTTTTTGGAAAACGACCTCTCCCTTTGTGCAATCAATTTCCCAAAAAGTTGAATGAATTCAAAAACTTTTTTATTCCAAAATGTAGAGGAGATCTTCAGCTTTCGAATGATATAACACTTATATACATCTGTTCGATATCTTGAGAAATTTACAAAATAGTAAAAATGCGCATTCATAACTGAACAAATAATAAAAAAAAGATATTTAGTGAATGATTTTAATGAAAATACTCAAAGAAATCTCTTTTATTTGAATGAAACGACATCGATGAATGTCTCAATTGTATCAATAGCTGATAAAACTCAATATTTCACTTTTGTGCACACGCTTGCTTCTCCGTATGCACAAATGTCGATTCAGGCGAACATTGTGCGTTCTTTATGAAGTGAAGAATGGAGAAAAGTTAAAGAAACATAGTTTTTCTTTAACTAGATACATAGATAAAGTAGAATTATTAAATATAGAATGAAAAAACATCGAATTGTTTAATGAGACTTTACTCATATGGAATGCCGAGTGATGAGGGATCGGAAAAGTATTTGCTTTATACTTTCAAGTTTGTTTTAAGTAACAATTTTGACAAATACAAAAACACTTCCACAGGTATTTCGATTCGTATTTAAATACTCGCTTTGTTGATAGCGCTGTTTTGAGTTTTGCGGCCACGATTGAAGTACCGCCAGGATGTTTGGGAACAATTTTCGCTTCGAAATTAAATGGTCAAATCTTTTGATTGAAATTTCATAAATTAAAAGAGTTTTAACTAAACATAATTTAACTATAAAGAACCTTAAAAGAACTAGAATGGTTAAATAAAAAAAGAGACTTTGCTTGGCAACTAGAGGCAATTATTGGATTGGTGAATTGAAAACTGGGGGTTATTGTCATATGTGACAGTTTGAGCACTTTCTTCAAAAGAAACCCATTTTGGTGTCAATGGAAAAGTTGTAGAGAATCAAAAATCAAGCTTATATCCAAATTTCCAAAAAGATACACGTAAAATTTGTGTGTTCTGTGTGTTCTTTGTGCGGCCCCGTAATCGCTCGTCGTCTGGTGCAGGGCTTTTACATAACCCCCTCCACAACGAGTACGTAGTTTGAAAAAAAACATTTATCTTCAAATCAAAAATCCAAGCACTAACAATTCTTAAATGATGTCCAACTAAGAGAAAAAATGCAAAAAGAGGCGATTTCGACTTGTCAATTTTTGTTGATAGCTCGAGAAATTTTGTCTTTTGACCTAATCAATTCACCTAAGATATCCCAGTTGCAACTATTCAAATTCCACTTTCCTGGGCCAATTTTTTTGCGTAGATTCCAAAAAACACACTTTCACCACGATTTGACGACGTATCGCGATGAAAAGTGACTTTGAAAATTTCTAGATTTCAACTTTGGTGCTCAGAAGGGCAAAAACCTAAATAAAATAGAAAACATATAGAAAAACGACTACCATCGTGTAGAGCTCAACCTGAGCTTTCAGAATATACATAACACTTTTTTTCTGGGTTCTGTCGAGTACTTCTGTAGATATGGCGTATCAAAGTTGGTGAACTCCCAAACTGGCCAGCACCGTTGATGTTTTGATTAGGTCAAAAGACAAAATTTCTCGACCTATCAACAAAAAATTGACAAGTCGAAATCGATTCTTTTTGCATTTTTTCTCTTAGTTGGACATCATTTAAGAATTGTTAGTGCTTAGATTTTTGATTTGAAGACAAAAATTTTTGTACTCGTTGTGCCCTCCCCTCTCCCCTTGCCAAACTAATCTGACCGGCTCCGAATCCTCAAATTGGACATTGGCTTCTCCTCTGGCATTGACATTGACATTGACTTCTCCAAGGCTAATCTCAATCTATTGGGTTGGTGAATTGAAAACTGCCGGCTATTCTCATATGTCCCAGTTTGAGCACTTTCTTCAAAAGAAACCCATTTTGGTGTCAATGGAAAAGTTGTAGAGAATCAAAAATCAAGCTTCTATCCAAATTTTTAGAACGATTCAAAAGCTGGTTTTCAAGAAATGCCAAATTTACGAATTTTCACAAAACTTGCATTTTAAGCGAAACTACTAAGTGTATCTTTTTGGAAATTTGGCTATAAGCCTAATTTTTGATTCTCTACAACTTTTCTACTCGCACCAAAATGGGTTTCTTTTGAAGAAAGTGCTCAAACGTCCTCCAGGGACATCTCCAGTTCTCCATTTTTGAGTCTCACATTTGTCTCACACACAAACCAAAATCCTACCACGAAAGAGGAATCCGCAAATTGCCTGTAAAATGGGCAGAAGTCGTCAATAATAATGGAAATTATTTGGAATGAATTCATGGTTTTATGTTGAATAAATTTTAGTTCAAAGTCCGGCAGTTTTCGATTCAATTCAGCAAAACTGACTCGCTCTAAAATGGGTTTCTTCTGAAGAAAGTGCTCAAACTGTCACATATGACAATAGCCCGCAGTTTTCAATTCACCAACCCAATTGATCACTTTCATGTTAGCAAGCTGTGAAGCTCTAAAGTAAAATCATAAATCAAACGAATTGAAACTTGAAAGCTTATTGAAAACTTATTGAAATTAATCAAATAATTTAGATAAAGTTCTTTTTTAGATTTTAACTTTAACACTGTCTCCTTGAAAACGCTCGTAAATGAGGGTTTTTTGATGAGTCAAGGGTATCCGCGGCCATTGTTATATCCGAAAAACTTTGAGAAAGGCCGACCAATTCAAGTCACTTATCAAGTAGATGACTTTTGTAGGTTTAATGCATAAATAACAAAATAAGAAAAAATTACAGTGAAAATGCGAGACTCTACAGTTTTCACTAACGATTTGGTGTCGTTACAGCTTGGTTCATCGGGTGGCTTTTTTCAAATCACGATCGGAGTTAACCAATTTAAGTTAGTTAGTTAGTTGGCTATTTAGGTAGTTAGTTTAGTTAGTTATTTAGTTATTTAGTTAGTTATTTCGTGAGTTAGTTTAGTTAGTTAGTTATTTAGTTAGTTATTTAGTTAGTTGTTTAGTTAGTTAGTTAGTTATTTAGTTAGTTAGTTAGTTAGTTAGTTAGTTAGTTAGTTAGTTTAGTTAGTTAGTTAGTTATACTTATAAAAACATAATTATTCTATTATTCAAATTTTACTTTAGCAAACTTTGTCTTATCTATTTATAGTGGTTTACTTTGTAACTTTAGCACAACAGATAATGGGAATCACTTGGGATTTAATGGAGAAGGTGGGCGAATGCAGGTTTGTCAGTTCTAAGTACAAAATTCGTAGGAAAAAGAAAAAAAGATAGTTAGAAAGAATATGAAATAAGATTACAGGTTCTCTACACGAGCAAAGCCAATGATGGAGCGTTTTTGTTGAGATTTGTTGCGAGCACACCATCAGCAGTTGAATCAACTGAAATCATATCGACAACGAGTACAACAAGTAAAACAAGTACAACCAGTAAAACAAGTACAACAAGTACAACAAGTACAATGATAGCAATGACAACGACAACAAATTCTGGTACTAAATCGGCTATCAGTTCAACTATTGATACGACATCGACAATCACCACCACCGTAACTGTTCTCACTACGGCTTCTACACATCGTAAGGACCTAGAAAGAACCTAGAAAGAATAAATAAGGACCTAGAAAGAAAGGGGGAATGAAAAATAGAAAATAAAAGCAAGAACTTAATAAGTTTTAGAGATTAAGTTTGATAAAGAGATTTAATATTACTGAAAATTCTAGAGAGCACAACAACTCGCTCTTCTCCGACAAAACTTCAAGCTTTCTTTCTGTTTCTTATTGTTTTCTTTTGTGAAAAATTAAGAATTTGAGTTTTAATTAGCATTTAATTCAATAAATGATTTAAAAGTTTTAATTTTTCTGTAATTTGATAGATTTAGAATTTATATGCATACTTTATTGTCAACTTTATTGTATTTGTTAGGTAAAACAAAATATGTCTTTTATGATTGATAGATACTTTATTCAGGACATGAAATAAAGTGCTCAAGATTTAAGATTAATACACATAAACACGAAAAAGGACCGATAAAAAGCAACACGATATGGGTAGCACAGATGAATTTCAAGAATTCACTAGAGCTTCAAGATCAGGAACATCTACAGATAATGTATGGATAGCATAGATAACGCCAAGAATCCAATAGAGCTTCAAGATCAGGAACAACTACAGATAATGTATGGAATCTATGGATAGCACAGATAACGCCAAGAATCCACTAGAGCTTCAAGATCAAGAACATCTACAGATTTAATTTAAAACTTTCGAGACTATTGGACTCTCTCAAAACTCTGGGAAGTCGATTCAAAATTTTGGTAGTTCTTATTGGAAAAGAGTTAGGCACAAAAGTTATTGGAGGTGACTGAAATTTCTAAGACAATTGAGAAAAGAAAAATTAAAATTACTTAATATTAAATTATTTAATTTCATTTATATTAATTAAATAATGTTAAATTAAAGCTTAAAATTATTAAGTGAAAAAGCACAAACAAATTCAAAAGTAAGAAAAAAAAAAGATATTACGATATTCCGGGAGAAAAAGTGTAGGGCAGGTGCCATATTTTTTTCAGACCGTTCTTATCCATTAAGTGCGCTTGAATAAATGAATTAAAATTTTCTTGATTTATTTCCATGAGATTTCATCCAGTTTAGTTACGTGGAAAGAGCTAATTAAAAGGTTTTTTTTTGTTCTAATTTGATTCTTCTTGTGCCTGGGGTTCGCCGTTAAACTCAAGGATTTTGAACTTTAAAATATCTCAAAAAAAGGCTCTAAGAGATTTCTAAAAGGTTCGTATGTTTGCTCTAACAAGAAAACAACACTTACCTGTCTGTTGTGAAAAGATCCACTTAAGTTGGTCATGTTTTGATTGTCCATTCTAAAGATTCTAAGAGGGCCCCAAGCGACGGCGACCTCTCTCGAGAAGACATCGGCAAAGGTAACGATGACGCGTCGAGGGTGTTCACTTCTCAGATCGAACGTGCCCTCTCGCTCAACGCTTTGCACTTTCTCCAATAGCGGTCTAGCATCGATGGCGACCAGAATCTGGCAGACAGCATCCCAATCAGAAGCAGCTCTCTTTGCCACTTCAGTGAGGAACGACTCGGACAGATTGACGATCATCATCTTCCTCTCAACCGTAAACTCGTTGTGGAATTGTTCCTGGCGGGAGTCGTCGAGGCTCAGTCGCTCGAGGGAATCCCGCTCCGACTCGTTGCAATCCACCTAAAGTTGTTTGTACCAATAAACAATCTTGCCGCCAATCTCAAGGTTTTTTGAACTTTAAAATATCTCAAAAAAAGGCTCTAAAAGGTTTCTAAAAGGTTTGCAAGTTTGCTCGTTCTGCAAGATTTCTAAAAGGTTAGCATGTTTGCTCTAACAAGAAAACAACACTTACTTGTCTGTTGTGAAAAGATCCACTTAAGTTGGTCATGTTTTGATTGTCCATTCTAAAGGTTCTAAAGATTATTGAATGGCTAAAAGTTTTTCAAGTACAAAGCTGTTTAAAATAACAGCTGAAATATTAAAAGTAAAAGAAAAACAAAAGCTTTATTGATACAGAAAATTCGAAAAACAGTTTTCATTTCTTTCCTCTCGGTTTCACTTGTTGAAGTTGTTCACTTCTCAGTTCGAACGTGCCCTCTCGCTCAACGCTTTTCACTTTCTCCAATAGCGGTCTAGCACCGATGGCGACCAGAATCTGGCAGACAGCATCGCAATCAGAAGCAGCTTTTGAAAGTTTCAGGTTGAACTCTCTAACTAGTTTCGAAATTTCAGCAATGGAATATTTTTGAGTGTTTTTATTTTGTAAATTCATTAAAAGTGAACTTTTAGGAACTAATTTGCCGAAACCGAAACCCAAACCGATGAGAAATCCTTTTGATTTCCATTGTCTAATTTTTAGGGATTTGTACAAATAAGCTTTTTTTTTGACCATCTATCGGTTTTGCCCAATTTTTGTTACAAAAAATAAATTGTTGTTCTTAATGGTTATGTTTTATAAGAACTAGAGTAAAAATGCTACAAAATACTTTAAATAACTTTTTTTCAGTCTCCCAAAAATATGTGTAATTTTTCATTTTAATTCTCTGCGGCTCAAGGTATCAAGACTTTTGCGTATGACTGTATGTATGAATTGAGTTCGGTTGTTTTAGTTTTTTCTACGTCTTATTTGACCCATGAACTCGTTTGTAGCCTTGAATCATTTGTAGTTTGTAGTTTGTAGCCTTGAATCATGATTCAAGGCTACAAACTGATTATTTAATGCAAAAATCTCAAAACTCGAAACGAAATGAAACTCCTCTTCAGCAATGAGGGCTCCGTTTTGTGTATTGCCCTTTAGCGATCGTGGTTTCTGTCCTTCCTTCTTTCATAATTTTTTTTTGAATTGTGTTGCACGCGACTTGTGCTGGCAAAAGGTTATTTTATAAAAAGGCTAATGGTAAAAAGTATATCCTATTGTGTAAAAATATCACAATAGGATATCCTATCGTGCGCCCCGGCTACTGTAGCCGAATTGGTTATTTCTCATTTCCAACTCTTTCACTCTCTGAAACAAATCAGCCTAACAATGTCACGGCAATTTGTTTACCCAGTTGCTCATTTTTCTTCCGCATTCATATTATCGTTTTGTTTCTATTGTTGTTTTCAATTGATGGTTTAAATACTCAAGCTTGGTAAAAAGTGCCAACTTGGTCACTTTATGGATAAAGGAATTGTTCTCGATTGCACACTTCGTCAATAAGGAATCACAGAGCTAGAGCTCTGATCAATTGCTATGACTACAATACCGTTATCGCGACAAAGGGTCTATGAGTGAAAACAGTGACCGAAGGTGTGTGTGACGGGGCGAGAGAACGGACTAAAAGAGCCGGTCCGGAAAATCTGAACATTGGCGGAGTATTTGGTGCGGTGCCTCGGTGAGTCGATGGGGCATTCGAATGGGGGAGGAAAATTGATCAAATGGAAGAGGGGAAGCAAATAATTGAATTGAATTCACTAATATATTCAACTATTGACCATTATATAGATCATTATATAGATCATTATATAGATATAGATTCAACATTATATAGATTGATCAATATAACTGAACCTCTGCGAATAACATTCTACAAAAACTTGAAGTATCAAAATTATTGAGTTGCACAGCTGTTAAAATTTCTTTTTGTAGTATCGTTTATTTCTGAAGCAAGAAGGTCAGAAGCAAGAATTCATTGAGTCAAAAACGCAAGGAACCAGAATATCCATTCGAACTCGACGAATTGTATGAAGAAGTTGGAATCCACGACTTGCACCCCTCGATTCCAAGATCTACCGCCAAACCAACTACAACTTTTGACGCCTCCATGAAATTTTCAACCTTCTTCAAAGCTCCTTTCATCATCCTGAAATTTATACACTCGAACCTCTCTATAACGTCACTCCAAGGGACCGATTTTCTTTTTCCTAAAATGCAACACCTGTATATAACGTCATCCGCCTTATATTATAACAATTATAACGATTTAAACCCGCATCCGCAGTATAATGATTTTTGCATCTTTTTCTCAGCTCCTATTTAAGCTACAGAGTGCACTTTGGTAACAATCGAAAGAGAATTTTTTGTCCTATTTTTTGATACTAGAGTGCACTCTGCAGCATAAGTGGAAGCTGAGAAAAAGCATTCTTCTGATAGAAGGACACCTTTCCCTCAAGTTATTCAGTGAGCATCTCAGCTGAATGCCTGAAGATTTTCATATATAAATCTAGATCTTCAGCTGACAATAATAGGAAAATATCCACAATTCAGCAAATGGGTGACGTTATAGAGGTTTTGACGGTACTTAATTGTTTATGCCTTGTTAATTTGCGTATCTGCGTAAGATAATAGTAGGCTAGTCTTTTTTAAAAGAAACCCACGAAAATCTTGTTTTATCGCACTTTATCACTTCGGCCTCATGATCCTGTTGATCGACTTTGACATGAATCGTGAAAATCTCTGAAATGTTCGACCCAGTCAACGGCATAGAAAAGAGCTTCTGCCGAATATCTTGCAGTTCTTGCAGAGAAATCTCGGTTGTGTGTTCTTGTGCGAATCGTCGACAACTTTGATGATATTCCGTTCTGAGCGCCGCCAATTGATGGTACTCGTCCTGGTTCAACCCGGGAACGCTTTTAATTTTAGTCACTTCATCGTTGAGTAACTTTTTCAGATGCTCATCGAAGATATTGATTTTCTGAGCCATTCCCTTTTTGGCGAGAAACGTGGAGAATGCGGCCATCGCAAACAGAATATAGCTGAACTCCTTTTGATAGGTGTTGATGCATGATTCGAGGCGATTTATGGACATCTTCTTCGTTTCAGCCTCACTCTGTGCTAGTTTTTGCGGAGCTTCCAATGATTGAGTGAAAATCTTTTGTTTGTATTTGATCCGCTCGTGCTCATCGATGTGATGCCCACATTTCTTGCACTTTTTGGTCCAACCAAACACCTGGCACTCTTGCAAATTTGCATTTAAATGCAACCTGCAATCTTCGTGACACACCGTCTTGTATACAAGGACCTTTTTCTCGTCAATAATTTCGAAATCCACACATTCTACGTTTGTACAAACAGTTTGAGGAGATTTCAGCGGAATGATTTTCATTGTGGTCACACGAATCGTGGACAAATATTCGATATGATTTTCGACATTCAGAAGATCTCGTTTTTGTTCATGGAGTTTTCGGATGTTCGTTTGAATCATCGAGCTCGCCTTGAGAATCGGGTCGATCAGTTGTTCGATCCATGTTCGTGTGTCATTGATCGATAGAGTATCCGAAGTGTTATGTGGACGAATGCGTGATGCGTGTGCCAGCAGTTTCCGTACTTCCATTGCTGAGTGACTCCAGCTGTCGGCGAAAGTCTTTTTCTGAGAAGCCGGGAATTGAATGTTACTGAAATGCGCACACAAAAAGCGAAACGCTTCGTTGTCCAAACAGAAGGTGTTTTGACTGCTGATCTTCACAGAGAGATTCTCTCTGTCTTCCAAATCCTTAAAATACTTTTTCAGCAGGTCCATTGTGTCACCCGGGCGATAGAATGTGCCACGCGCGTTCGTGAATACGAAACACGCGTTCTCGAGAGCCGATTTGCTCAAATTTCCCAGAAGTTTTTCGATCGAGTAACGAAACGATTGTGTTAGACGAGACTCATTCGATTTGAACATAAAACAAATCGCATGTATCTCTTTGAACGGCGCAATCGATTGAAGAATATTCTGGATATTTTCATCGTCTTTTTCGGCGCCTCGTGTATCATTCATTCCCGGAGTGTCGATGATGTAAAGATTGTAGTCCTCACTCTCGCACAAGTAACTTTTTGCACTTTGCGTGACCGAGTGGGTGGTTTTGCTGATATCCTCGTTTTCGTCTTCACCAAGCAGCACCTCATGTCGTTGATAATTGTCATCACAAAACTCCAACTTTGTTGGAATCACGCACATCAGGGCTTCAGCGGCCATCGCTTCATCTAGTGTTTGAAACTTCAAATAGTTCGCAAGCGCATTTATCCACGTCGACTTTCCGACTCCTGTTTGACCGAGTACCAAAAGGACGAGCGACTTCTTTTTGGTTGACTCACTTTCCATTTGCTTTTGCAACCAATCGGCATTTCCTCTTTTTGCCTCGATTCGGCTTTCGCCAGCTTTTGTAAAAATTGGAGCAGGGGCAAGTTCTTTCAAGTTCTGTTGAGTGTCGTGAGCTTCGGCTGATGAGGTGTTCGACTGATGAGATGAGTGAATTTGAGAGTTTTTCGGGGATACAAAATTTGTTGGAACAGCTTCTGGAGCACTGCTAGTCATTTTAGGTTCAAAAGAATTATTAGACAAAGCTTCTTCATCTGCTTCTCTAGGTTGTTGTGTTTTGTGGCGATGTGAAGACAAATTGCTTGGCTGCTGTGGACAATGAGTGGCAATAGATTGACTTGTCTTCGATGCCAATTCAACATCGCGAGTTTCTAGCGAACTAAGGCCATTTTGAGGGGATGAGGGCTTGGAAAGGGTCTTTGGCTCAGTCTCTTCGATCTTCATTTTACGCTCAACATCGCACCCATCAATTTTCCCCAATTCTGTGGAAAAAACGGAGTCCTAAATTTGGATATTAAAAAGTTTGTGAATTGCAGCTACAGCTAAGTTGGCGATTTTTGAAAAAATTCTTTTTGAATTCGTTGAAAATTCTTGCTATTTTCAACTTGTATAATACTCACACCCTTGGACGCTAGCCAGTAAATTAAATTTCTTATTTATCTATCTATAAAAGGAATAAATGTTTTTCTTCAGCTAATCTTTCAAATGATAAATTGAAACTTTTAATAGCCGGCTTTATTAACGTCCATCCTCTACTAGAGCCCTATGGATTCCTATGTTGAGCCCCATGGATGCCTATTCTTCGGTACCCCAGAATCCAAAACCCAAAAAACTTTTGTAAGGGGAATCACATAAAAATAATTTTCAGGTTTTTTTAAAAAATATTTTATTGGATAACCCGTAGCCTAAAACGTACGAAAAACATGAACAATTAAAAGAAATATTTTACTGCCGCTCTGGTATAATGAGTTTAGAATCCATATTTATAAATTAATCAAAGAAAAACAACTTTTTAAAATCAAAATTTGGAGGGGTCTTTGTGACGTGGAATTTGTATAGGGGCGTGAGGCTCTAATAAAGATTTCACGGTACATGGATTTTATTCAAGTCGCAGTTCAGTAACACTTACATCTTGTGGGATCCTCCACAGACTTTTGTTTAGCGTTTCCACGAAAAGTCTCGCGTGTTCAGTAGTGACCTCACGAAGCCAAGGGTTGATAGAGTTTGCAGCCTGTTGCGCTCTTCGAATCACCTCTTCTTCGGCAGCTCTCACCCTTTCCGTTCTTTGTTCAGAAGTGGGCTGAAACTTCACGAGTTTAGTCAACGAATGATTCCACATCTTTTAAGCTTTTCGTTACTGATTGACTATTGTGGAAGAATTTTTCAAATTAACTTGGTAAAAGTTTGCTAAAATAGTATCATAGGATCAATAGCCACGAACAGTTTCAATAGTATCATACAGTGCGTTGTAAAATGATAGGGCCACCCTCGATTTTTGCGTTTTTGATTTTAAATAACTAAAAATGCAAAATGATGCTTAAATTCGAATTTTATATACAAAAGTACGCCCAAATACCGTTTGCCAAATAATTTACTTTAAAAGGCAAAATTTTTTAAGCATTTCTCTATTGGAAATGTTGGACCTGTTGGAAAATGATAGGACCACTACGTTTGTTTTTGATTTTCTACCTTTAATAACCATGTTTTTTGCTTACTTTTTGCTAATTTTTATTTTTTAGGAAGATGGGGCGCGGAAAATCGCTTTCGCGGATCGAACAGATGAAAATTATTTTGATTTTGAAAGGAAGAAAGTTGTCGAATCGGAAGATCGCAAAAAAAATGAAGCGCTCGCACCAAGTCGTCTCAAATTCAAATTTCTTGAAGGATCCTTTCAAGTATGGTAAGGAAAAGTCTCCGGGACGTTATCGAAAGCTCCCGGTCCGCGCTGAACGGCATATGGTACGTCTGTTGTCGAATTCGGTCGTGTCGCTACAGGACTTCAAGGCACAAGTTGGAGCTCCCGTCCACAAAAGCATTCTTTCTCGAGCCATCAAGTGTTACATCCGTTACGTCAAAAGAGCAGTCATGAAGAAAGCACCAAACTGAAGCCGTTACACAAAGAAAAAAGATTGTCTTGGGCTCGGGATCACATCACCATCGATTGGAAAAAAGTAAACTTTTTGCCTTGAGTTGTTAAATATTTTTTTCTTTGTAGGTCATCTTCAGCGATGAGAAAAAATTTAATTAGGATAGTCCCGACGGCAACAAGTACTATTGGCACGATTTGAGAAAAGATCCAATGCTTTGTGGGCGTCGAAACTTCGGTGGAGGATCACTGATGATATGGGGCGCTTTCAATGTGGATGACGTTCTTGATTTAGAATTTGTGACTTGTCGCATGAACTTGAACAATTACCAGGATGTCCTTGCGGATCAACTACTTCCTTTCCTAGCACAAAATCCAGCGAAACACTATATTTTTCAACAGGATAATGCGTCAATTCATGTCAGCCAATCGACTAAAGCTTTTCTGGAACGTCACAACATCGATTTTCTCGAATGGCCTGCGTGCTCACCGGACTTAAACCCAATGGAAAACTTATGGGGCATCCTCGTGAGGAGTATTTATACTAATGGAAAGACTTACGACACGATTTCGCAACCAAAAAAAGCAATTTTGCAAGCTTGGACGTCAATTCCACCATAAACGCTACAAAACTTAGTGAACTCAATGAAAAGGCGACAACTCGACGTCATCGAGAAAAAGGGAGCATCTATTGATTATTAATGAACTTTTCATTCGTTTTTCTTTTGTTTATTCTCAAATTTATTGTTATTTTATTTTTTATGTGGTCCTATCATTTCGCAACAGGTGTTAAACAAAGAAAATGTTATAATTTTGTTGCAATTTGTTCAGATAATGTTAAAAATGGTATAGATGCCTATTTTTATTTATATTTCTAGGATTTAAAAGCTATTTCGCGTTATTAAATTTCATAGCCAAAAAATGTAAAATTTAGGGGTGGTCCTATCATTTTGCAACGCACCTTAGTACCACTGTAGTAACATCTAACAGTTTTCAATTCATAATCACCTGGTTGCTTTGCACCGAACCCGCCTCCAATTCGAGAATTTTCTTCGGAATGGAACTATCTAAGAGAGGGAAAGATTATTGTTTTAATTTTTCTCACCATTTTCAATGTTCGACACACGTCCTGCGCTCATTTTCACGAAAATCGGCAAAAAGCTAAAAATTGAATCGCAATGGAATTGCATAAGTTTTATAAAATAGAATAACTAGATAGCAAATGACGGAAATCATTTGTAAAGCCAGAAACAAATCAAGACAAAATTTTCTTTTATTATAATCATTAAAAGAGAATATAAACTAGAGAAGAAAATGATCGCTACGAGTAGAACTTTCGGATTTTTTTTTACAATCATTTAAATAAAAGAATATTAAAGGACATAATCAAACAACTATTTATAAGGAGATATATGAAACGCTAATTCTTCTTAGCTTTTCCCTTTTTCGATCCCTTCGCTTCTTTTTGTGATTTTTGCGGGTTCTCTGTTTTCGAAGTTCCAGGTCTAAATTGCAATATTCAGATCTGAATTGCTGTTTTCTAATTTCACAAAATTTCAATTTAAAAAATATGTAGAGATTTAGATTCACTATTGGAGAATGTTTAGGGTAGTTTAAGCACTCCAATAAAACCTAATTTCTTCAGCAAACTCACTTTTCTTTCACGTCTCGTAGATTGTCCCTGTACCTTCCATAGTTTGCCGGTTGAATTTCTTTTGGTCTTTGCCATTTGACCGTTGTGAATGATTGATGTTTCGCTAGTCCGTCCTCCGTTGCGGCAAAGAGGCTCTGAAGAGTTTTTCCTGTGTTTTTTAGCGAGAACAACTCGGCTTTCAGCATCTCGATCTCATCGGGAGCAATCGTGTTTCCGCCGTCCCTTTGCGGGTTCTTCTGTGCCTCAAGTAGCATTCTCCGTTCTTCTCGATATTCCTTCAATAACTTGCGGAGACTGTCGAGTTTGGTTCGATTACCACCGACGCTCACACATTTTTCCTCTTCGGCAATCGATTGCTCGACATATTTCTCGAATGCGTCGTTGTAGGGAAGAATCGCGTTCGCTTGCAGGAAACTCCCAAAACGAAGCGAAGTTTTGATAATCTTTTGCTGTTCCGCTTTCAATTCATTGACTTCATCCTCACATCCTTTGATCATATGCTCCTTTACTTTGGTAGCATCTGATTTTTGTTCAATCAGTGCTTTCGTGTTTTTGTCCTCGGTTGCTATACTTGTTTTGATTTGCTCAAATCGGATGTGCATATGGTTTTTCCAGGAACATTTACACACTCCACAGTTTTCTCCGTTCATTGCAGCACAACGACGAAGATGCGGTTCGGGGGACTTTTCCACATCGACACCCGAAAGATAGCAGTGGTCATGGCAAATTTGGTTGTAGACGGTTTGTTGTTGATTTGTGTACGGTAAAGCTATTGTATCTATGCATTTCGTAGCACTGCATACGGTTTTTGGATAGTTCAACGGTTTGACTTCGATGCTAATTTGTGGAATCATAAGCTTCTTCTTCAGGTCATCCAAATTGGCGACCGTACTTTGGAGGTCGTTTTTCCGATCGTCGAAAACTCGAATCTTTGACTCGATCAACTCGTTTACATTGGCCAATGGGCGCGCCAAATTGTAGATGATCGTTCGCGCTTTGTTGACTGAAAGCATGTCCGCCACTTGGTGCGGCCGTTGCTTGGCGGCGAACTCGATGAAGCGATGCGTCTCTTGCGCTGACTGTCTCCAGCTACCGGCAAAGCTCTCAAAGTCCACATCATTGAATCGAGCTCCACTGAAATGGGCACAAACAAGTCGGAAAGCCTCATTGTCGGTGCAAAAGATTTGATCGCGATTTGATTTGATTAATATTGTTAGCATTTCTAAAGAACTTCGTTAATTCATAAAGTATTTCGCTGTCAAGAACAGCTATTACCAAGAAGAAAAATGATAAAAGAAAAAAAATTTATTCAGAGAGAAAACAAATAAGCTCAATTTCGTTCTTTTGTCGTCGTTTCTACTTTTCAAACGAGGCAATTTGATTCTTTTTCGGCACGACTTCAATCACTTTTTTTGATGGATTCGAAAAGAGATTTTGATAAACTGTTGACTTGTTTAGTTTTTCTCCAACGATTGAGTCTTCCTTCAATTTCTTAATTTTGCTCGAATAGTTCTCGAAGGTGATTTCCTCGCCGGCATTCGTTGAACAATGTGGAAGAAGCAATTTTTGTTGTTGATGAATTGCGATGAGTTTTTCCATTTTCTCTACCTCGCATCGATCACCGCCCGCTTCCAATGTTTTCTCCAATTGTTCGAGAGAAAACCTGGCATATTCCTCGAAAGCGCTATTCAGTGGAACGATCGAGTTCTTGCTGAGGAACGAAAAATACGGTTTGGTCAGTTCCTGAACTTGTTGATATTGAATTCCCAAGGCGTCCAATTCCTGCTGACTTTTCGAAATAGCGTCGGATTTACACTGAATTTGACGCGCGAGAAGGTTTTCGGCTTCTTTAACGTTTTTAAGCGTAATATTTCCGGATATCTTTTCTTGGGTGACCATAATGTGCATATGTGCTTGCCACAAGCACCCACAAGAGCCACACTTTCCAGCACTGTCAAAGATGGAGCATTGCCGTAAATTCGGTGTGCCGATCTGATTTACGGGGACATCCTTTGCCGAACTACCTTCAAAGCACACTTTCTTGTGCAATGTTTTTTGCGTGTCGGTGGCGAGATCGCGAACCGCTTCCCCGCATTTCGGTCCACAGCATACCGTGTTCGGCTTAATGATCGGCTTCTCCTCGAGGTACTCCCCGTGAAAAACACCGGATTTCTTCATTTCTGCCAACTCCTCGTTTAGGATTTGCAGCCTCTTTGTTTGTTGATCGATTTTCTTTTTCTCCAGCATGATTTCTTCATCCATGTCCGCCAAAATCGAGCACAACTCGTAGACAACGGCTCGAACGATACTCGCCACTTTTGTCTCATTTACCCAATGGGGATCCAAATCAGTCACATACTCGAAAAGATTGCACATTTTCTTCACTGTTTGTGCCCATGATTTTGCAAAATTTTCCACATGAGCCTCTTCAAATTTTACGCCTTTATGATGCGCGTAAAGCATCCGAACCGCTTCGTTATCAACGCAAAAAGTGTTCTCGTTGGTGAGCGGAATTTCGTGCTTGTGCTCGCGCTTCACCTCAGCAAAAAGCTCTTTCAACACCGTCATTGTGTCCCCAGGCCGGAAGAGAGTGCCACATGAGTTCGTGAAAACAACGGCAATATTTGGGATTGAGTTTTGATGTAAGTGCGCTAAAAGCTCAACGATGCAGTACCTGAGTGAAAGTCCGAGCCGGCTCACATTCGGCTTCAACAAAAGGCAAATCCCGTGGATTTTGTCCCATCTAGAGATGCATTTCATAATCATGCGCATGTTCGCCATGTCAACCTCCAAACCACGAGTGTCACCGATGCCGGGAGTGTCGGCAAAATTGAAAGTGAACGTATCGGTGAAAAACCGATAAACGCGCGGCTCCTGTGTGCACGATTCGCCCATTTTTGCGGTCGCCTCATTTTTCTGGCTATCCGGTGTGGTGGCGTTCATTGTGACCGTCAAGCTATCAGGCTCTCCATCCATGTGGTACAAGTTGAACTTCATCGGAATCACGCAGAGGGGTCTATTTTCCCTCAATGCCTCTTCCAATAACGCGAACTTCATGTAATTTGCAATTCCGTTGATCAAAGTTGATTTCCCGACCCCCGTCTCCCCGATCACGAAAATATTGCGATCTTGCCTGTTCACTGAATGTTCACTATCGGTTAAGTCAAACTTTTGAAAAGGATTGAGAGGGATCGGTGGTTTCTCATCTTTCTTTGGAGACAATTCACGAATCTAAATGTTAATTACGTATAAGTGAATGTTTCGGCTTGCCACCTGAGAACTTCCTTGTGCTTTTGTTTCCTTTTTCTTTGACTGTGTTTTAGAAGCATTCTTTTTGAAGCCCTTTTTCTTTTGAGTATCGTCTATGATGCCAATCTCACCGCTGGTCTAAAATAATTTGGAAATAAACATGGATATTCATAGTTAACTATCATTATTTTCCAATTCAAACTTAAAAGCTAGACGCCTTTGTATTTTCGTTAATCTTAAATTAAACTCAAATTTACAAATTAAAGCTTTACTAACTACAAGTTGTGCGTCTTTTTTATACATTTTTTAGTATTTACCAGAATTTTTTGCATAAAACGGACAAAATCCGAATCGTGGAGCAGATCGAGAAACGCGTTCATCTAGAATTGTCTTTGTTGTCTTAATATACCACATAAATCCTCTATTAATAAAGTCCACTTTATCGAGCTCCTAAAAGGGCAAAGGAAAGAGTATTCTCACACTATTTTATGGCTTGCTATTACCGTAACAATGGGTTTTATTTAGAGGAGCGGAGACTTTTTGTGTCGTGCAACGTTTTTTATGTTTACAAGCTCAAAAACTGAGCTTTCAGTGAACGTTGTTTATGTTTGCTAAATATTTTCAGCAATCCAAAATTTTCACATACCCTAAAGTCTCGAGTATAAGTTGATCCGAGTATAAGTTCTGCCTTAATTTACATTCGCTTTAATTGCTTTAGATTTCTTTTTGTTGGGTTTTTATACATTTTTATTGTTATATAAACTTTTATTATTGTTCTTGGAGAGCGGGATACTACAGGGTGACAGCCTATCACCATTGCTATTTGTTATGTGCATGGATACATCCAGACGATAGTGTTGAAGAAGACACTGGAAAGCATCTCTTTCGACCGTCGACGTGGACTTTGGCCGGATGAAGAGGCCTGGGAGGGATCCATAAGACTGAGCACCGGAGAGGAGCAGGGCGGACGCGCCGAGCCACGCCCGGAGCAACAAATAACAGCATAAAATGGCTATAACCCCCAATAAATTTACTGCTATTATTGTTCTTAAAAAAGCAAAAAGTTATGCTGCAGCGGGGTTCGAACCCTCGACACACCGCACCGGAGACAGCCGTCAATTTGCATGCGAAAACCAAACAGAACTTATACTCGCGACTTTAGGGTACTCAAAGCAAACTTAGCACTAGATTTGCCAAATTATTTTCGATCGAGTTATTTGAAATTTTAATTTGAAAACTAAATTCCGAATTTTATGGAAAATCAATTTTGTTTGTAGCTAGAATTGTTTGTTTGTCAATGTTTGTTTGTCCGAAACTCAATTTTGTTTGTAGCTAGAATTTCCTTTCAGAGAAGAAGATAAAGGAATTGATAAAGACAAAGGAATTGTTATACGGTTCCATTTTTTGTTGCATGAAAAAAATTTTGTAGGAAAAATTCGGTGTTATTGAGAGGGTAATGTTTACAACTCATAAGCAAAATATTCTCATGATACTCATAAGACATCGTTTCGGATCGAATTTTGCACTATCATTTAAAAGAATTGATTGACTTTAATAATAAAGTGAGTTTAACTGACTTTAATAATAATAAAGAGTTCAAAAATAGTATGAATCAGAAACCGGAAAATAGTGAAAAAAATAACATATTTGAAAGACCTTTCTTTTGAGCCTTTCACCTTTATACTGAAATTTCCTTGCAGGACAAATTCCATTTATCAAATTTTTTTTTATTTTCACCATTGTTTCACCTCTATTTCTCCATTTCTTCAGGCACTCTAATGAAAAAAATTTTTCATGCAACAAAATCCACGAGTGCAAAGTGTGTCTTATCTAGAGTGTGCTCCTTGTTGACAGACAATTTGTCAGACAAATTTTCATTGACAGCTTTTTTGTCATTGATCAATTGACAATTGAACGACGACAAACTTCCGACAACGCGTTTTCTAAAAGGTGCGCTTTTTAAGCCAGGCTATAAAGCTATAAAGGTCGCGCGAAAAAAAATTTGCAAACTTTTCTTAAAATGTAGTAATGGATAGTTTTATTTAAGGATTTAGGTTTTTTAGGGTGTGGAATTTTTTTTGGAATGGTTTTAGTACAAATGTAGACAATAGGCCTGGTAAATTCGTAAATAATATCATTTTTTGGAATGGTTTTAGTGCAAAGGTAGACAATAGGCCTGGTAAATTCGTAAATAATATCATTTTTTGGAATGGTTTTAGTGCAAATGTAGACAATAGGCCTGGTAAATTCGTAAATAATATCATTTTTTGGAATTGTTTTAGTACAAATGTTGACAATAGGCCTGGTAAATTCGTAAATAATATCATTTTTTGGAATTGTTTTAGTACAAATGTTGACAATAGGCCTGGTAAATTCGTAAATAATATCATTTTTTAATAGTGTTTCTTAACTTTTCCCGTTTTAAATGTTTTCTTTAATTTTACATAGCATTTTAAAAATTTTAAGTTTTAGCGAAAGAGTAATAGAGTCAAGGAAAGAGTAATCGAAAAAAAGAGCGCGAGATTTCAATGTACATTTGCATTTTGAAAAATTTGCTGATGCAAAGCATAGGGTTACGGTAGCTTATCCTTGGGATAGGGTTACGGTAGCTTATCAGCTTATCCTTTTAGAAAACGCGTTGTCTGCAAGGAACACACTCTAGTCTTATCTACCAAAAGCAAAAAGCAAAAGCAAAAGCCAAGCCTTTGCAATTTAACAAACAAATTTTTTTCACCTCGGGGCAAATTTGATAGCTGGAAGAGATTTCTCACCGATTCGTCATTTAACTTTGCCAAAAATATTGAAAAATTGCAGGGAAAATCGAAGAGTTGGAGAGGTCAAGTATCGAGAAACAACCACAAGACACGAGCCTTCATCCCGAAGTAAGGAAATAGTTAAATGAACAAAATATTTATTGGGAACCTCAGTTTAACGATATAGATCGTTATCGTTAAATATGATTTATTTAAATATGATAATATATCGTTTAAAGTAATCAAAAACAAAAAGTTGCTAAATTGGACTTTCAGTTTTTCAAACCCAAAAGCTGAAGCGTTCTTGAAAGTGTGTCTAACGGTGAATTAGTGGGATAAACAAAAGAACCAAATTAACGTCAACAAGAAGTTACATTCAATGAATTCAGGTTGAGAGCTGTGGTATGCCAGAGTTTCCTCGATCAATCGATGAAAGGGGCGCATTTGATCGCTCAGCTGCACCGGACCATTTTCGAGACCCCGATGCCGGTGCTTTTCCAATCACGACCCAAGCACTACCTAACAGTTTTGATGCTGAAATACGAAAAAAGATTGTGCTCAACAACGTCCTGGATCGATCCCCGAACCCCATTTCTCAATCAGATCGGGATGATGTTCGTGCAATTTTGTATGCGATTGGAGCCGAATTTTTGCGGCAGAACATTCGAGGCATTCAACGGGAAGGCCATTTTGATCCAAACGGAAGACCCCGACCTGTTGTCGTCATATTCAGTGAATTAGTGGGATAAACAAAAGAACCAAATTAACGTCAACAAGAAGTTACATATCAAGAGCCATTGAAAAGACCTATTTGAAATTTTATGAGTCAATCTATTTTCCCTTTCGTATTACCCTACCTGCATTACCATCAGGCAATATTTATATGTTTTCATGTCTTTGAAACATCTCCGAAAGCAGCACAGAGAGAACGATTCGGTTATATTCGTTATCATTATTTTATATCCGTTATTGAATCTATTGAATCGTCCAACCTACACGATTTTTGTTTTTTGTTAGGAGTTAGGAAGCATAATTCCGATTTCTATTCATAAAACTTTAAATTTCCAATTTGGATCCAACTTGTGCGTTCCGTATTTCTTGTTATTTTGTTTTTATTCAAATTTTTTTTAAATTCAGGTACTCGTTGGGATGAAACGATTTGGCGAGCAAATACTGGGATTGCTAGAAAGTTCGAGTGTCGAATACCTACACTCAAAAAATGCTAAGAAATTATTGAGATTCTAAATGGATCGTTTGCAAAGGACGAACTCATCGCGAAGCATAAAAATTGGCGAAATCGCTACACGCTGATGATTGAAAGTGGGAAAACCTTCATTTATTACAACGGTGAGTCAAATTATTGTCTTGATGATAATAGTATTTATTTCAGGGAAATAATCAAAATCTATTAGGGTGGTGCAAAAGAAACTGCCGATGGGTATCAGCTCTCATTTATCAGAAACGAGCGATGCTAACGGCATTATTTTTTTGATGTTTTGTTCGCATATTTGTTCGCTATTTATTTCGACATTTGAATTTTTTGGTTCTTGTTTATTTTATTTAAAAATGCTTATATTTTTTGTGTGAGCAAAAGTTTGTGCTACGAGCAGCATTACTGTTTAACTTCAAAATTGGAAAGTCTGCTGCCGACTCGCATCTTTCTCTCTGTGCTGCTTTCGGAGATGGCAGTTCGTCTCTCAGGCAGTGTCAGGCTTGGTTTCAAGAGAGGGAGACGAGACTTTGGAAGATTACGAGCACGGTTCGAGGCCAAAAGTCGTGAACGAAGCCGAGCTGACGGACGTTATTCAGACCGATCCATGCCAATCTGCTCGAGATCTTGCGAAAATATTCCATTGTGAGCATGTCACCATCGAACGCCATCTTCACGCTATTGGAAAGAAAAGTCGTTGTGGAAGATGGGTCCCTCATCAACTCAGTGATGCTAACCTCGCATCTCGCATTTCCATCGCTGGCATTCTCCTGAATCGTGCAAAGAATAGCGGATTTCTTGATTCTATCGTGACATCGGATGAGAAATGAATTGTATACGACAACTTTAAGCGAGAACGACAGTGGCTGAGCGCCGGCGAACGTGCTATTCCAACCCCAAGGCCCGAAATCCACGGAAAGAAGAACTTATTGTCTGTATGGTAGAACAGCAAGGGTTTGGTGTACTTTGTGTTACTGGAACATGGAAAAACGGTCACTGCGGACTTGTATGCTCATCAGCTGGACAGGGTGTACAAAGCAATGGAACGCCAGGATGCGGACATGACTTCGGTAAAGCTCTTGCATGACAATGCTAAGCCGCATGTTGCGAAAATCACACAGCAGGAAATCGAAGAATTTGCATGGGAAGTCCTGCCTCACCCGCCATATTCTCCTGATATGGTTTCAAGCGATTGTCACCTATTTGGCTCGATGCAGCACTTTCTGAAGGAGAAGCAGTTCAAGAATGATGATGAGGTCCGTAACTGGGTGCTCAACTATTTTGAGTCCCAGGAGTTCCAGTTCTTCGAATACAGCATTCGGTCTCTTCGCGTTCGATGGAGGAAAGTCATCGATGCTTGTTTTGAATATTTCGATGAATAAAGATTTCTCGCTTTGATGTTATGTTTTTTTGAATTTACCGTCAAATCGGCAGTTTCTTTTGCACCACCCTAATAGTTAGCATATTGAAGTCTGTGGTAGCGTTGCGGATCAACCTCGACACGAGCCGGGCCCCCGCTTCGAGCCACTCAATCGGTGTCGCTTTTAATTCTATTCATTTCTCTTTTGTCACTTTCTTTTCTGGGGTTCGCCCCACGGAAGTTGATGGGGTTGTGTTTTGTTCTTTCGATTTTAGATTCTCCACAAACGCAGCCGTCATGTCCGATTGAGGCTGAGAATTGCCTGAAAGAGCCGTTAACTTTTATCTTTTGCTTGTACTTCTTACAATCAGATTCTACAAACTATTTAAATTTTCAAAATTATGCTTCTTTCTCGTCACTGTCTAGCATTTCTGATTGATCACTATCAATCGATTGTTTTGGACTCTAAAATTTAAATTTAGTCTTATTATTGTTATTATTATAGTAAGAATTACTATTATCATAGTATTAAGAAGAAAATATTAGAAAAACCAGTTGTTTTTGCGGATTATCATCTTGTGGCATAAGCGCGTCGACTTGAAGAAGCTCCCATTCGTTGAGAGAAGAGGTTGGCTCCATTACAATTTTACTTAACAAAAATTAAAGTAAAGATTTAAATAAATGAAAAAAAACTTTTAGATAATGCGAGGATCACCCTCGTTAAAACAAAAGAAAAATTATGCAACTTTTTATAAATGATAATTAAATTAAAGGTTAAAAGCAGGATTTAAAGCGATAATTTAATAAATAATAGAAAAATAAATAGAAGCAAGACTTGAAAAAGAGAATTTAGAAACATTAACTAACACAAATGCAATGAAATTTTAGCTAACTTTTTTTCTTGACTTTTCCTTTTTTACTTTCAATTTCTTCTGGTCCTTTTCTCCGCTTTTAGGCTTGCTGCTTTGGCTCTGAAAGTGCACTCTTTAACGTCAGTGATTACTTTTTCAAAAGTTTGTTTCCCGTTTGAAAACTAATCTTATTACTCAAGGTTGAGAGAATGGGGAAAAATTGGTAAAAAGGTTTACTTTGTTATCTTATTGTAAGCTATATGTGCATTTAGTAAGGAGAATCTCTTTAGAACTACACTTTAGAACTTTATTTTCATCTTTATCACTTTAGAACTCTATTTAGAACATTGAAACTCTCTTTAGAACTTTAGAATACACTATTTGACTATTCTTTGAAACGTTGGCTCTTTAACAACTTACTTCTTTCCTTTCCTTTTATTCCTTTCCTCTTTTTATCTTGATTCTTGTATTTCCCATAGCCAACTGATGAGGCTTTTTTTGGAGATTCGTGCTCAACAACATTATGCTTTTGGTGTTTCGTGAGGCCGACTTTCGACGCGTTGTAGAGATTTTTGATTGTCTCTCCCATGTGCTTCAACTTGAATAACTCTTTGATTCCATTCTCAATCTCATTAGGTGTGATCGTCCGGCCGCGATTCTCGTTTGGATCATTCCGTGCCGCTTCAAGCATGAGCTTCTCTTGGCGATACTCGGCTAACGACTTTTGAAGGTTCTCGAGCTTTGTGCGATTCCCGCCAATCTCTGTGCATTTCTCTTCCTCGATGATAGTCTGCATGACGTATTTCTCGAAAGCATCGTTGTATGGAAGCACGGAGTTTTCTTGTAAGTAGCTAGCGAAGCGAAGCGACGTCTTGAGGAGCTTTTGTTGCTCTTCAGTATACTCTTTGCTTAATTTCTCGTGGTCAGCGAGCATTTGCTTTTTGGTCTTGCTCGCGTTCTGATTTTGTTCAATGAGATCTCTCGTTTGCCGGTCATCAGTTTTGATAGCGACCTTTTTCTGCTCATAGCGAATGTGCATATGAGATTCCCACGCGCAGCCACACTTTCGACAATTCAATCCTGACATTGCGGAACAAGCTTTGAGATGAGGCTCGGGCACCTTTTCGACGTCAATCCCCTTGAGATAGCAACGGTCGTGACACACTTGATTGTAGACAACTCGATTCTCTTCGGTGCCCGCCATTTGAACAACCTCGATACACTTTGGGTCAGTGCAAACCGTCTTTGGATAATCCAACTCATACACCTCAAGTCCAACCAGCGGAATCTTCAACCTTTTCTTCAACTCGTTCAAGTTTTCGTCAGTGTTCTGGATTTCCGTTTTACTGTTGGCAATCACCGAGATGTTTGACTCGATCAACTCGTTGACGATCGCGAGCGGCTGCGCGAGTCCGTAGATAATCGAGCGCACTTGGCTCAACGAAACCGTGCTCTGTGTCTCGTGTCCAATTTGTTTCGCGGCAAACTCGATGAATCGATGTGTCTCGTCAGCAGACTTGTTCCAGCTCTCCGCGAAATCGCTGAACGTCGCATCGTCAACATGAATCCCATTCGCATGAGCGCAAACGAGCCGAAACGCCTCATTGTCGGTGCAGTACATGTTCTCCTTTGTGAGCTTGATGTGAAGTCTCCTCTTGTCTCCTAACTCTTTGAGAAAAGCTCTGAGAGGCGTGATCGTGTCACCCGGACTGTACATGCTGCCGCGAGAGTTCGTGAAAAAGAAGACGAAATTGTTGACGGCGTCTTTGTGCAGCTGGAGCATCAGCTCGCTCACGCAAAAGTGGAAATTCGGTGTCAACCGAGCATGGTTTGCTTTGAAGAGCAAGCAGATCGCATGCAGATGAGTGTATTGACCGATAGCGCTCAAAATCTTTCGCGTGTTTTCTCTGTCTTGTTCGATTCCACGCGTGTCACCAATCCCGGGAGTGTCGATGATGTTGAGAATGTATTTGGGCGTCTCAAATTTGTAAGTCCTTGGTTCTTGCGTTGCCGATTGTCCCTTATCGGAGAAGACCTCATTCTCGTCGTTTTTTCCGTTTGTAGGATGCAATTTGACATCGACTCCGTATCTCGAAATCGCTTCGTAGAAAGGAAACTGGCTGGGAATGAGACAGATCGGCTTTGAGGCTTGCAGGGCGTCTTCGAGCGATTCATACTCGAGATAGTTGGCCATACCGTTGATCCAAGTCGATTTCCCGACACCCGTCTCTCCAAGAACGAGAATATTCAGCACCGTTTTGTCTCTCTTTTGTTTCTTGGATTGCTCGGCAAAGAGCTTGTTGGTGATTTGCGGCGTTTCGTCTATCTCCTCGTCCCCTTCGCCCTCCTCTGATTCGAAGCTCTCTTCTGATTGCTCGGATTCTTCCTCGCTTTCTTCAGACTCACTCGTTTCTTTTGTTTCTTTTGGTTTCTCTTTTGTCACTTTCTTTTCTGGGGTTTGCCCCACGAAAGTTGGTGGGGTTGTGCTTTCTTGTTTCGACTTGAGGTGCTCAGCAAACGCCGTGATATCCGGTTGAGAATTGCCTGAAAGAGCTGTTAAATTTTATCTTTTGTTTGTCCTTCTTACAATCAGATTCTACAAGTCATTTAAATTATCAAAATTCAAAATCAAAATCTTGTACATAAGATTTTTAAGGTGATCAGGATCGTTTTGATTTTTTGACTTTACCTATTGGAAACGTGGGGTTTTGGGGAAATGTTTGATGTTGCTGAGGCTGTTGTGGGAAGAAAGGCATTCCTTGAGGTCCAGCCGTTCCACTTGCTTGACCATTCGTTGGATTCTGTTGACCATAACCTAAAAAATTGAGTAAATGCATTAATATTAAATTTCTTAAAAGTTTTGTTTTAATGATTTTTATTGCATACCCATTTGTGGCCAGAAGGCTGCATGTGGATTCTGCGAATTTGGTATCGTTCCGTTAGGATCACACTGTTGTTGACCATAAACTGAATGCAGCAAAGTTTTGAAAGATTACCAAAATGTTACAATTTTGTGGATATCCATTTTGTCCAGCGGGTGTAAAGTTATTCGGCAACTGTTGATGTTGTTGATAACCGGGAGGCGCGGATGTCGGGATGGAGCCGGGCGGAAACATGTTGGCGAAAGACTCGTACTGACCTAAAATGGATCGCTTTTAGTAAGCATATGAAATGAAAAGTTTTTCTAAAAGTTTAGCTTAAGATTTTAAGTTGCTTTAAAGAAAAAAAGACCGTGTTGTGGATTACCATGTGGATTGGGGTGTTGGAATGGCGGTTGTCCTGGCGGGGAAGTCGCTGTGAAAGGCGGCGCCACCACGTATTGTGTTCCATACGGCCCTAGATAGTATGACAATCTTGTTTTAGAACAATTCTTTAAATTACCTCCAAAATCTCATTGATTAATTATAGGTTAAGCTTAAGTTCCACTTTTGCTACAGTAGCTTTTGTACCCACCTTGACGGGCATTGTACGGATTTTCGTGGGGATGAGGGGGGCTCATGCTTTGTTGAGTGTAATGGGGACCGCCGCTTCGTGGGTAGGGAAAACGACCGGGCATTCCTAAAGTTAACATTTCATAGAATGAGAAACACTCTAAACTTTACCATGCTGTTCATTGGCTGCTGGATTTTCCTGGTTCCACATGCCGCCGAGGTTTTGCCGGTTTTCCGTCATGGGCTAAAGCTTGCAATGTCACCTTACTCCCTTACGTTTACGGTAAAATCTTAATCTTAATCTTAAACTAGGGCCCACTAGGGAACTTTACAGATATCAAAACAATGAAACCTAACCCTCCAACGTGAATCTATAGCTTTACCCATCTATTTTTACCAACTTATACATAGCTATTTGAAAAAGCATGCCTGTTGCGAATAAGCATGAAGCACGACGAGACGCATTTGTGGAAACGCTGCCAATCGTGTGCCCCGATCGATGGCGACGTCTCTCGAGAAGACATCGGCAAAGGTAACGATGACGCATCGAGGATGTTCACTTCTCAGATCGAACGTGCCCTCTCGCTCAACGCTTTGTACTTTCTCCAATAGCGGTCTAGCATCGATGGCGACCAGAATCTGGCAGACAGCATCCCAATCAGAAGCAGCTCTCTTTGCCTCTTCAGCGACGAACGACTCGGGCAGATTGACGATCACCATCTTTCTCTCGGCGGCCGTAAAGTCGACGTTCTGGAATTGTTGCTGGCGTGAGTCGTCGAGGCTCATTCGTTCGAGGGAATCCCGCTCCGACTCGTTGCAATCCACCTAAAGTTTTTTGTACCAATAAACAAGCTCGCCGTCAATCTCAGGGATTTTGAACTTTAAAATATCTGAAAAAAGGCTCTAAAAGGTTTCTAAAAGGTTAGCAAGTTTGCTCTAACAAGAAAACAACACTTACCTGTCTGTTGTGCAAAGATCCACTTAAGTTGGTCATGTTTTGATTGTCCATTCTAAAGGTTCTAAAGATTATTGAATAGCTACAAGTTTTTAAAATACAAAGCTGTTTTAAATAACAGCTGAAATATTAAAAGTAAAAGAGAAACAAAAGCTTTATTGATACAGAAAATTCGAAAAACAGTTTTCATTTCTTTCCTCTCGGTTTCACTTCGATAAAATTAAACCTCGGAATCTCAAGCAACTTTTGATAAGCATCCGAATTTCTCAATGCATCACCAACGATTGGATCGTTTTTTAGCTGCAAAATTTTGCGGCTATAGTTTCCAAAGGTGATCTTTTCGCCCGAAGCCTCAACGCTGTCGAGAAGTTGTTGCTGTTGATGGAGAACAATCAGCTTCTCCAAGCGTTCAATTTTCGATCGATCATCTGGCTTCAACATTTTCTCCAATTCTCCAATGCAAAGCTCGACGTATTTCTCGAAATTCTTATTCAAAGGAACAATTGAGTTAGCCTCTAAAAAATCGGCATAAGGTTTGGCAAGGACTTGAACTTTTGGATAGTTTTCGGTCAAGTCGTTCAACTTTTGCTCGGTTTCGATTATCAACTCGGCATTGCACGCAAGCTCATCACTGAGTAAAGCCCTGTCCGCGGCGGTTTTTGAATCAGTCAGTTGGACGATGCCCGTTTTTTTCTCTTGTGAGTACGAGATGTGTCCATGGATCTGCCAAGAGCACTTGCAAGTTGTACATAAGCCATCACTGCCAAAAATTGGGCTTTGACGTAACGCCGGATCACCCGGTTGATTTTCTTTCACGTTCGGTAATGGACAGTTTTGCAAGCAAACCAGTTTATGGAAAGTCTTATTTGTGTTCGTGCTTGGGTCGATCAGTTGCTCGATACAATCCTTTCCCCAACAAACCATGTCCCGTGTCGTTTGAGGTGTTTCTACGAAGTAGTCGTCACTAATAGTGTGAGTCGCCTCGAATTCGACTAACTTTTCCTCCAGATACGTCGCGTGTCTCTTCTGTTGAACGAGTCGCTTTTGTGCTCTTTTCTTCAGATCAATAATCTCAACCAAAATTCGGCAAAGCTCATTGGTGCTTCCTCGAACCACACTTGTCACCCTTGTCTCATTTGCTAAATGGCTGCTCAAGTTGGCGACCCAATTGAACAGTCGATGCGTTTCACAAACAGTGTGCTTCCAGGTTTCTGAGAACTTTTTGAGAAACGATTGCTCAATACTGACTCCTTTGTGATGAGCGTACAAGAAGCGTATCGCCTCGTTGTCAACGCAGAAAACGTTTTTTGAAGTAAGTGGAATCTTGTTTCCACTCGTTTCCTTGACCTCCTCGAAAAGTTGCTTCAAGCCAACCATCGTGCCGCCCGGCTGGTGAAAAGTGGAGCGCGAGTTTGTGAAGACGACGACAATGTTTGGCAAAGCGTTTTGATGCAAGTTGGCCAACAACTCGGTGATGGTGTAGCGGAGTGACAAGCCGAGTCGATTCACATTCGGCTTCAAGAGGAGACAAATCCCGTGGATCGTTTCACAACTCGCCGCGCACTTCACCACCGAGCGCATATTCTCCATGTCGAACTCGACCCCTTTTGTGTCCCCAATACCCGGAGTGTCGATTAGATTAAAAGCAACCATGTCCGTGACAAATCGATAGACTTTTGGGGCCTGGGTACAAGATTGGCCAGTGCGTGCATCTTCCTCGTTTCCATCTGGCTGCAAAGCTATGGTCGGCTTCATGTCGACGGTATCACCTGTAGGCCAATTGAAAAACATTGGAATCAAACAAGCGGGTCTTTTCTCTTGCAAGGCGTCATCGAACGAGTCATACTTCATGTAGTTGGCAATTCCGTTGATAAACGTCGACTTGCCGACTCCCGTCTCGCCAATGAGGATAATGTTGCGCTCCCTCTTGACGACCGGCGGGGAGATGGAGTCGAATAATCGGAAAGGATTTGATTCAGTCCGTTCATCAGTCGACTCTTCACTTGACACATCACTTGACTCACTCTCGCTTCTTGTCTCCACGTTGACTTTCTAAAAAGATTTTGTAAAATGAGGTTTGAGTTTTTTTATTTAAAAAAGAAGATAGGCTTGAGAAATCGATTTAGAGTTGGGGGTGGGACAAAAGCTATCTAATTATTTGCGCACCCCCGAAAGCGCACCTTTTCAAAAGCGCACCCGACCCAAAAGCGCACCTTTTCACTGTTGTTTTTTTGGCTTTTCGCAAATCATTACAAAAGGGAAATTCCAATTTTTTCCACTTTGTTTTCTCCAAGTGTTTCCGGCGCTTTTAATCGCGTTTGACCATTTTTTTTGGGGTGTGGCTACTTTAAACCAAATTTTTTGCGCAACTCACCATAACTTTTTCCCATGTTTATGATTTTAGTCTCATTTTGTTGCACTTGTTGAGATCTACAAAATGACGCCAAAATCATAAAGATTAGCCCAACTAGAAGAAAGTTATGGCGAGTGGCGTAAAAAAAATTTGGCTCTAGTAGCCACTCCTTTTTGTGTTTTCAGTTGCAAAACAGACAAATTGTGTAGGAACCGGAGAGCTTCTGCACAATGTCGGGAAAACTACATAAGCGGTAAGGTCTTAAACAGTTTAAATTTACTTTTTCTTGCATTTGTTCACTTTTTACAATCACTAGCACTTTTTCTAGGGCGCTCACCGATACGCCTCGAGGCAACAAAAACAAAAAGATCTTCTACGATGCGATGGGCTTCGAATTTCGCAAACACAAAGACGGTAACAAAGGGACCCATTTACAGGTACTATTTAGATATAGGCACTTTTGGACAGGTGCGCTTTTGGGAGTGCGCTTTTGGGTCGGGTGCGCAAATAAAAGATCGCTTTTGTCCCACCCCTTTAGAGTTTACTTATAGAAGATACCAATTTAAATACATTTCTAGTTTCTGTCTATCGAGTTAAGCCAAAGTTGAAAAGGCGAAAAAACTATGTTAAAGCTCAAGTTAACTATGAAATTATGAAACAAATAATTGCGTCATTACCTTTGAGTACTTTGATGATAATGCTTTTCTTTTTTCTTTTGTAGGCTCCTCTTTCACTTTGCTTTTTTCTTTTTGCTTTAAATGGTATACTTTCATGGAGACTGACTTCCATTTGGTTAACTTTTTTAATTTCGCAGAGTTTTGAAGAATGATCTGTTGCTCGCTTTCATTCGCTAGATGGATGAGAAGTTTTCGTGGAGACTCGCGAGATTCGTCGAAATCTCCCAGTCGACAAACGCGCTCCACATGAAAGCTATCGACGATTGATTTAAGCATTTTGTTGACTCTTTTCAAATCTTTGATCTTTCGATCCTTGTAATCTCCATTGGATTCGGGGAAGTTGGAGAGAAGAATCTGATTTTGAACGACTTCAGCTTCTTGTTGAGAGTTTGAAGCCGGAGAGTTACTGGATCGCTTGGTCGATTCACGAGATGCTGATGTCCTGGGTGGATCACCGTCTTTCTAAAAAAGCTATTAAGAAAAACCATTACATTTTTCACAAAGCTTTTGAATTTCAAAATCTTTTATGCTAACATTGCTATTTGAAAGTACAAGAGCCATATCAGGAGAAAGCCATGCACAGTCTTTTACATTCCATTAGCAAAACGTTTGTCAAAGTATTGAAATTTAATTAATTTTAAGATTTCCCACCTCTTTCCCGGACATCTCTTCCAAGAAACAAGCGTACTCCTTTTGAAACTCGGAAAATGAATCCTCCGTTTGCGAGTTCATTCGGGAAATCTTATTTGAAAGACAAAGTTATGCTTTTGTTTAGAATGAAATACAAAAGTGTTCAGAAATTAAGATATTTTTGAAGCTCTTCCTTATCAGTACCCTCAAAATGCATGCTGTTGCGAAAATCGCGAAAACCGAACTAGGGCAGATCAGAAAGCTTTATGCCGAGATAATGAGATTTTTTTCTGTAAACCCAGATCACATTGTTTTCGAAAATCGAAAAATGAAACGATACAGCTCAAAAAAAAGATAAAGAATGGGTAAAAAAGTTCTATTGCAGAGAAATGTTCTCCACAAAGAGCAAAATCGAGTCATCAGAAAAGTCGCGTGATTTAAAAGAGAAATTATTTTGTAAAAATACCCTGCAAAATATTAGGTTGTCCAGTTATAAATGCGCGTTTTTAAGATAACAACTCTTTATTTCAAAACCAAGAGTTTAATAGCTCAATCAACAATATATTCACCATATGTTAACAATATTTGTTTCCATCTTCCATGCAAAGAATGAATTCCTTCGGCGTAAAAATTGGCTTGTTTGAAGGCAAAGAAGTCGGCTAACCATTTTTCGACCTCTTGAACATCTTTGAACCTTTTTCCAGCCAAATGGTTTCGCATTAGGCAAAATAAATGGTAATCTGAAAGAGAAAGATCCGGAGAATATGGCGGATGCGGTAGAGTTTCCCAGCCCAACTCTTCGAGTTTTTCCTGAACAATCTTTGCAACGTGTGGACTTTCGATTTTTTTTTCGACTTTCGATTTTGATTTTAAAGCTTTCTGTGGCGTAAAGCTTTCTGTGGCCTGCCCTAGTTCGGTTTTCGATCGATAATGCAGTACTGCAGTAGGCGTGTAGTGCAGTAGTTTCTATCGCCTACAAACTACAAAAATGAAACGATACAGCTTAAAAAAAGATAAAGAATGGATAAAAAAACGATGAAAGGTGCTCTCTTCTTTTTGACTGAAGCCGGCGATAGAAATGGATCCTCGACAAACTACACGGGAACTTGCAGAAATATTTAGAGTAAGCCCTCAAACAATTTCCGAGCATTTAAATCAATTGGGGAAAACAAGCCGACAAGGAAAATGGGTTCCTCATCTTCTCAGCAATGCCAATAAAGCTACTCGTGTCACTATGGCGGGTATTCTTCGTTTGGCAAAAAATACTGGGTTTTACGATGAAAGCCTTACTTGCGATGAAAAATGGATTCAATATGAAAATTCTACACGAAACCGGCAATGGCTAGAACCTGGTGAGGAGCCAATACCAACACCAAAACCCGACTTCCATGACAAGAAAGTAATGCTTACTGTCTGGTGGAATTTCCAAGGTATTGTTTATTTTGAGCTGCGTAAACCTGGACATACAATCACGGGTGAAACGTATGCACAACAACTGTAACCAGTGAACAATGTATTGCTACAAAAAGGCCTTGATCCTTCAAACATAAAGTTCATTCAAGATAACGCCCGTCCACACGTTCCGCCCGTCCACAGAAAGCTTTACGCCGAGATAATGAGATTTTTTTTCTGTAAACCCGGATCACATTGTTTTCGAAAATCAAAATCGAAAGTCGAAAAAAAAATCGAAAGTCCACACGTTGCAAAGATTGTTCAGGAAAAACTCGAAGAGTTGGGCTGGGAAACTCTACCGCATCCGCCATATTCTCCGGATCTTTCTCTGATTCAGTCCGTTCATCAGTCGACTCTTCACTTGACACATCACTTGACTCACTCTCGCTTCTTGTCTCCACGTTGACTTTCTAAAAAGATTTTGTAAAATGAGGTTTGAGTTTTTTTATTTAAAAAGAAGATAGGCTTGAGAAATCGATTTAGAGTTGGGGGTGGGACAAAAGCTATCTAATTATTTGCGCACCCCCGAAAGCGCACCTTTTCAAAAAGCGCACCCGACCCAAAAGCGCACCTTTTCACTGTTGTTTTTTTGGCTTTTCGCAAATCATTACAAAAGGGAAATTCCAATTTTTTCCACTTTGTTTTCTCCAAGTGTTTCCGGCGCTTTTAATCGCGTTTGACCATTTTTTTTGGGGTGTGGCTACTTTAAACCAAATTTTTTGCGCAACTCACCATAACTTTTTCCCATGTTTATGATTTTAGTCTCATTTTGTTGCACTTGTTGAGATCTACAAAATGACGCCAAAATCATAAAGATTAGCCCAACTAGAAGAAAGTTATGGCGAGTGGCGTAAAAAAATTTGGCTCTAGTAGCCACTCCTTTTTTGTGTTTTCAGTTGCAAAACAGACAAATTGTGTAGGAACCGGAGAGCTTCTGCACAATGTCGGGAAAACTACATAAGCGGTAAGGTCTTAAACAGTTTAAATTTACTTTTTCTTGCATTTGTTCACTTTTTACAATCACTAGCACTTTTTCTAGGGCGCTCACCGATACGCCTCGAGGCAACAAAAACAAAAAGATCTTCTACGATGCGATGGGCTTCGAATTTCGCAAACACAAAGACGGTAACAAAGGGACCCATTTACAGGTACTATTTAGATATAGGCACTTTTGGACAGGTGCGCTTTTGGGAGTGCGCTTTTGGGTCGGGTGCGCAAATAAAAGATCGCTTTTGTCCCACCCCTTTAGAGTTTACTTATAGAAGATACCAATTTAAATACATTTCTAGTTTCTGTCTATCGAGTTAAGCCAAAGTTGAAAAGGCGAAAAAACTATGTTAAAGCTCAAGTTAACTATGAAATTATGAAACAAATAATTGCGTCATTACCTTTGAGTACTTTGATGATAATGCTTTTCTTTTTTCTTTTGTAGGCTCCTCTTTCACTTTGCTTTTTTCTTTTTGCTTTAAATGGTATACTTTCATGGAGACTGACTTCCATTTGGTTAACTTTTTTAATTTCGCAGAGTTTTGAAGAATGATCTGTTGCTCGCTTTCATTCGCTAGATGGATGAGAAGTTTTCGTGGAGACTCGCGAGATTCGTCGAAATCTCCCAGTCGACAAACGCGCTCCACATGAAAGCTATCGACGATTGATTTAAGCATTTTGTTGACTCTTTTCAAATCTTTGATCTTTCGATCCTTGTAATCTCCATTGGATTCGGGGAAGTTGGAGAGAAGAATCTGATTTTGAACGACTTCAGCTTCTTGTTGAGAGTTTGAAGCCGGAGAGTTACTGGATCGCTTGGTCGATTCACGAGATGCTGATGTCCTGGGTGGATCACCGTCTTTCTAAAAAAGCTATTAAGAAAAACCATTACATTTTTCACAAAGCTTTTGAATTTCAAAATCTTTTATGCTAACATTGCTATTTGAAAGTACAAGAGCCATATCAGGAGAAAGCCATGCACAGTCTTTTACATTCCATTAGCAAAACGTTTGTCAAAGTATTGAAATTTAATTAATTTTAAGATTTCCCACCTCTTTCCCGGACATCTCTTCCAAGAAACAAGCGTACTCCTTTTGAAACTCGGAAAATGAATCCTCCGTTTGCGAGTTCATTCGGGAAATCTTATTTGAAAGACAAAGTTATGCTTTTGTTTAGAATGAAATACAAAAGTGTTCAGAAATTAAGATATTTTTGAAGCTCTTCCTTATCAGTACCCTCAAAATGCATGCTGTTGCGAAAATCGCGAAAACCGAACTAGGGCAGATCAGAAAGCTTTATGCCGAGATAATGAGATTTTTTTTCTGTAAACCCAGATCACATTGTTTTCGAAAATCGAAAAATGAAACGATACAGCTCAAAAAAAGATAAAGAATGGGTAAAAAAAGTTCTATTGCAGAGAAATGTTCTCCACAAAGAGCAAAATCGAGTCATCAGAAAAGTCGCGTGATTTAAAAGAGAAATTATTTTGTAAAAATACCCTGCAAAATATTAGGTTGTCCAGTTATAAATGCGCGTTTTTAAGATAACAACTCTTTATTTCAAAACCAAGAGTTTAATAGCTCAATCAACAATATATTCACCATATGTTAACAATATTTGTTTCCATCTTCCATGCAAAGAATGAATTCCTTCGGCGTAAAAATTGGCTTGTTTGAAGGCAAAGAAGTCGGCTAACCATTTTTCGACCTCTTGAACATCTTTGAACCTTTTTCCAGCCAAATGGTTTCGCATTAGGCAAAATAAATGGTAATCTGAAAGAGAAAGATCCGGAGAATATGGCGGATGCGGTAGAGTTTCCCAGCCCAACTCTTCGAGTTTTTCCTGAACAATCTTTGCAACGTGTGGACTTTCGATTTTTTTTTCGACTTTCGATTTTGATTTTAAAGCTTTCTGTGGCGTAAAGCTTTCTGTGGCCTGCCCTAGTTCGGTTTTCGATCGATAATGCAGTACTGCAGTAGGCGTGTAGTGCAGTAGTTTCTATCGCCTACAAACTACAAAAATGAAACGATACAGCTTAAAAAAAGATAAAGAATGGATAAAAAAACGATGAAAGGTGCTCTCTTCTTTTTGACTGAAGCCGGCGATAGAAATGGATCCTCGACAAACTACACGGGAACTTGCAGAAATATTTAGAGTAAGCCCTCAAACAATTTCCGAGCATTTAAATCAATTGGGGAAAACAAGCCGACAAGGAAAATGGGTTCCTCATCTTCTCAGCAATGCCAATAAAGCTACTCGTGTCACTATGGCGGGTATTCTTCGTTTGGCAAAAAATACTGGGTTTTACGATGAAAGCCTTACTTGCGATGAAAAATGGATTCAATATGAAAATTCTACACGAAACCGGCAATGGCTAGAACCTGGTGAGGAGCCAATACCAACACCAAAACCCGACTTCCATGACAAGAAAGTAATGCTTACTGTCTGGTGGAATTTCCAAGGTATTGTTTATTTTGAGCTGCGTAAACCTGGACATACAATCACGGGTGAAACGTATGCACAACAACTGTAACCAGTGAACAATGTATTGCTACAAAAAGGCCTTGATCCTTCAAACATAAAGTTCATTCAAGATAACGCCCGTCCACACGTTCCGCCCGTCCACAGAAAGCTTTACGCCGAGATAATGAGATTTTTTTTTCTGTAAACCCGGATCACATTGTTTTCGAAAATCAAAATCGAAAGTCGAAAAAAAAATCGAAAGTCCACACGTTGCAAAGATTGTTCAGGAAAAACTCGAAGAGTTGGGCTGGGAAACTCTACCGCATCCGCCATATTCTCCGGATCTTTCTCTGATTCAGTCCGTTCATCAGTCGACTCTTCACTTGACACATCACTTGACTCACTCTCGCTTCTTGTCTCCACGTTGACTTTCTAAAAAGATTTTGTAAAATGAGGTTTGAGTTTTTTTATTTAAAAAAGAAGATAGGCTTGAGAAATCGATTTAGAGTTGGGGGTGGGACAAAAGCTATCTAATTATTTGCGCACCCCCGAAAGCGCACCTTTTCAAAAGCGCACCCGACCCAAAAGCGCACCTTTTCACTGTTGTTTTTTTGGCTTTTCGCAAATCATTACAAAAGGGAAATTCCAATTTTTTCCACTTTGTTTTCTCCAAGTGTTTCCGGCGCTTTTAATCGCGTTTGACCATTTTTTTTGGGGTGTGGCTACTTTAAACCAAATTTTTTGCGCAACTCACCATAACTTTTTCCCATGTTTATGATTTTAGTCTCATTTTGTTGCACTTGTTGAGATCTACAAAATGACGCCAAAATCATAAAGATTAGCCCAACTAGAAGAAAGTTATGGCGAGTGGCGTAAAAAAAATTTGGCTCTAGTAGCCACTCCTTTTTTGTGTTTTCAGTTGCAAAACAGACAAATTGTGTAGGAACCGGAGAGCTTCTGCACAATGTCGGGAAAACTACATAAGCGGTAAGGTCTTAAACAGTTTAAATTTACTTTTTCTTGCATTTGTTCACTTTTTACAATCACTAGCACTTTTTCTAGGGCGCTCACCGATACGCCTCGAGGCAACAAAAACAAAAAGATCTTCTACGATGCGATGGGCTTCGAATTTCGCAAACACAAAGACGGTAACAAAGGGACCCATTTACAGGTACTATTTAGATATAGGCACTTTTGGACAGGTGCGCTTTTGGGAGTGCGCTTTTGGGTCGGGTGCGCAAATAAAAGATCGCTTTTGTCCCACCCCTTTAGAGTTTACTTATAGAAGATACCAATTTAAATACATTTCTAGTTTCTGTCTATCGAGTTAAGCCAAAGTTGAAAAGGCGAAAAAACTATGTTAAAGCTCAAGTTAACTATGAAATTATGAAACAAATAATTGCGTCATTACCTTTGAGTACTTTGATGATAATGCTTTTCTTTTTTCTTTTGTAGGCTCCTCTTTCACTTTGCTTTTTTCTTTTTGCTTTAAATGGTATACTTTCATGGAGACTGACTTCCATTTGGTTAACTTTTTTAATTTCGCAGAGTTTTGAAGAATGATCTGTTGCTCGCTTTCATTCGCTAGATGGATGAGAAGTTTTCGTGGAGACTCGCGAGATTCGTCGAAATCTCCCAGTCGACAAACGCGCTCCACATGAAAGCTATCGACGATTGATTTAAGCATTTTGTTGACTCTTTTCAAATCTTTGATCTTTCGATCCTTGTAATCTCCATTGGATTCGGGGAAGTTGGAGAGAAGAATCTGATTTTGAACGACTTCAGCTTCTTGTTGAGAGTTTGAAGCCGGAGAGTTACTGGATCGCTTGGTCGATTCACGAGATGCTGATGTCCTGGGTGGATCACCGTCTTTCTAAAAAAGCTATTAAGAAAAACCATTACATTTTTCACAAAGCTTTTGAATTTCAAAATCTTTTATGCTAACATTGCTATTTGAAAGTACAAGAGCCATATCAGGAGAAAGCCATGCACAGTCTTTTACATTCCATTAGCAAAACGTTTGTCAAAGTATTGAAATTTAATTAATTTTAAGATTTCCCACCTCTTTCCCGGACATCTCTTCCAAGAAACAAGCGTACTCCTTTTGAAACTCGGAAAATGAATCCTCCGTTTGCGAGTTCATTCGGGAAATCTTATTTGAAAGACAAAGTTATGCTTTTGTTTAGAATGAAATACAAAAGTGTTCAGAAATTAAGATATTTTTGAAGCTCTTCCTTATCAGTACCCTCAAAATGCATGCTGTTGCGAAAATCGCGAAAACCGAACTAGGGCAGATCAGAAAGCTTTATGCCGAGATAATGAGATTTTTTTCTGTAAACCCAGATCACATTGTTTTCGAAAATCGAAAAATGAAACGATACAGCTCAAAAAAAAGATAAAGAATGGGTAAAAAAGTTCTATTGCAGAGAAATGTTCTCCACAAAGAGCAAAATCGAGTCATCAGAAAAGTCGCGTGATTTAAAAGAGAAATTATTTTGTAAAAATACCCTGCAAAATATTAGGTTGTCCAGTTATAAATGCGCGTTTTTTAAGATAACAACTCTTTATTTCAAAACCAAGAGTTTAATAGCTCAATCAACAATATATTCACCATATGTTAACAATATTTGTTTCCATCTTCCATGCAAAGAATGAATTCCTTCGGCGTAAAAATTGGCTTGTTTGAAGGCAAAGAAGTCGGCTAACCATTTTTCGACCTCTTGAACATCTTTGAACCTTTTTCCAGCCAAATGGTTTCGCATTAGGCAAAATAAATGGTAATCTGAAAGAGAAAGATCCGGAGAATATGGCGGATGCGGTAGAGTTTCCCAGCCCAACTCTTCGAGTTTTTCCTGAACAATCTTTGCAACGTGTGGACTTTCGATTTTTTTTTCGACTTTCGATTTTGATTTTAAAGCTTTCTGTGGCGTAAAGCTTTCTGTGGCCTGCCCTAGTTCGGTTTTCGATCGATAATGCAGTACTGCAGTAGGCGTGTAGTGCAGTAGTTTCTATCGCCTACAAACTACAAAAATGAAACGATACAGCTTAAAAAAAGATAAAGAATGGATAAAAAAACGATGAAAGGTGCTCTCTTCTTTTGACTGAAGCCGGCGATAGAAATGGATCCTCGACAAACTACACGGGAACTTGCAGAAATATTTAGAGTAAGCCCTCAAACAATTTCCGAGCATTTAAATCAATTGGGGAAAACAAGCCGACAAGGAAAATGGGTTCCTCATCTTCTCAGCAATGCCAATAAAGCTACTCGTGTCACTATGGCGGGTATTCTTCGTTTGGCAAAAAATACTGGGTTTTACGATGAAAGCCTTACTTGCGATGAAAAATGGATTCAATATGAAAATTCTACACGAAACCGGCAATGGCTAGAACCTGGTGAGGAGCCAATACCAACACCAAAACCCGACTTCCATGACAAGAAAGTAATGCTTACTGTCTGGTGGAATTTCCAAGGTATTGTTTATTTTGAGCTGCGTAAACCTGGACATACAATCACGGGTGAAACGTATGCACAACAACTGTAACCAGTGAACAATGTATTGCTACAAAAAGGCCTTGATCCTTCAAACATAAAGTTCATTCAAGATAACGCCCGTCCACACGTTCCGCCCGTCCACAGAAAGCTTTACGCCGAGATAATGAGATTTTTTTTCTGTAAACCCGGATCACATTGTTTTCGAAAATCAAAATCGAAAGTCGAAAAAAAAATCGAAAGTCCACACGTTGCAAAGATTGTTCAGGAAAAACTCGAAGAGTTGGGCTGGGAAACTCTACCGCATCCGCCATATTCTCCGGATCTTTCTCTTTCAGATTACCATTTATTTTGCCTAATGCGAAACCATTTGGCTGGAAAAAGGTTCAAAGATGTTCAAGAGGTCGAAAAATGGTTAGCCGACTTCTTTGCCTTCAAACAAGCCAATTTTTACGCCGAAGGAATTCATTCTTTGCATGGAAGATGGAAACAAATATTGTTAACATATGGTGAATATATTGTTGATTGAGCTATTAAACTCTTGGTTTTGAAATAAAGAGTTGTTATCTTAAAAACGCGCATTTATAACTGGACAACCTAATATTTTGCAGGGTATTTTTACAAAATAATTTCTCTTTTAAATCACGCGACTTTTCTGATGACTCGATTTTGCTCTTTGTGGAGAACATTTCTCTGCAATAGAACTTTTTTACCCATTCTTTATCTTTTTTTTGAGCTGTATCGTTTCATTTTTCGATTTTCGAAAACAATGTGATCTGGGTTTACAGAAAAAAAATCTCATTATCTCGGCATAAAGCTTTCTGATCTGCCCTAGTTCGGTTTTCGCGATTTTCGCAACAGCATGCATTTTGAGGGTACTGATAAGGAAGAGCTTCAAAAATATCTTAATTTCTGAACACTTTTGTATTTCATTCTAAACAAAAGCATAACTTTGTCTTTCAAATAAGATTTCCCGAATGAACTCGCAAACGGAGGATTCATTTTCCGAGTTTCAAAAGGAGTACGCTTGTTTCTTGGAAGAGATGTCCGGGAAAGAGGTGGGAAATCTTAAAATTAATTAAATTTCAATACTTTGACAAACGTTTTGCTAATGGAATGTAAAAGACTGTGCATGGCTTTCTCCTGATATGGCTCTTGTACTTTCAAATAGCAATGTTAGCATAAAAGATTTTGAAATTCAAAAGCTTTGTGAAAAATGTAATGGTTTTTCTTAATAGCTTTTTTTAGAAAGACGGTGATCCACCCAGGACATCAGCATCTCGTGAATCGACCAAGCGATCCAGTAACTCTCCGGCTTCAAACTCTCAACAAGAAGCTGAAGTCGTTCAAAATCAGATTCTTCTCTCCAACTTCCCCGAATCCAATGGAGATTACAAGGATCGAAAGATCAAAGATTTGAAAAGAGTCAACAAAATGCTTAAATCAATCGTCGATAGCTTTCATGTGGAGCGCGTTTGTCGACTGGGAGATTTCGACGAATCTCGCGAGTCTCCACGAAAACTTCTCATCCATCTAGCGAATGAAAGCGAGCAACAGATCATTCTTCAAAACTCTGCGAAATTAAAAAAGTTAACCAAATGGAAGTCAGTCTCCATGAAAGTATACCATTTAAAGCAAAAGAAAAAAGCAAAGTGAAAGAGGAGCCTACAAAAGAAAAAGAAAAGCATTATCATCAAAGTACTCAAAGGTAATGACGCAATTATTTGTTTCATAATTTCATAGTTAACTTGAGCTTTAACATAGTTTTTTCGCCTTTTCAACTTTGGCTTAACTCGATAGACAGAAACTAGAAATGTATTTAAATTGGTATCTTCTATAAGTAAACTCTAAAGGGGTGGGACAAAAGCGATCTTTTATTTGCGCACCCGACCCAAAAGCGCACTCCCAAAAGCGCACCTGTCCAAAAGTGCCTATATCTAAATAGTACCTGTAAATGGGTCCCTTTGTTACCGTCTTTGTGTTTGCGAAATTCGAAGCCCATCGCATCGTAGAAGATCTTTTTGTTTTTGTTGCCTCGAGGCGTATCGGTGAGCGCCCTAGAAAAAGTGCTAGTGATTGTAAAAAGTGAACAAATGCAAGAAAAAGTAAATTTAAACTGTTTAAGACCTTACCGCTTATGTAGTTTTCCCGACATTGTGCAGAAGCTCTCCGGTTCCTACACAATTTGTCTGTTTTGCAACTGAAAACACAAAAGGAGTGGCTACTAGAGCCAAATTTTTTTACGCCACTCGCCATAACTTTCTTCTAGTTGGGCTAATCTTTATGATTTTGGCGTCATTTTGTAGATCTCAACAAGTGCAACAAAATGAGACTAAAATCATAAACATGGGAAAAAAGTTATGGTGAGTTGCGCAAAAAATTTGGTTTAAAGTAGCCACACCCCAAAAAAATGGTCAAACGCGATTAAAAGCGCCGGAAACACTTGGAGAAAACAAAGTGGAAAAATTGGAATTTCCCTTTTGTAATGATTTGCGAAAAGCCAAAAAAACAACAGTGAAAAGGTGCGCTTTTGGGTCGGGTGCGCTTTTGAAAAGGTGCGCTTTCGGGGGTGCGCAAATAATTAGATAGCTTTTTGTCCCACCCCCAACTCTAAATCGATTTCTCAAGCCTATCTTCTTTTTTAAATAAAAAAACTCAAACCTCATTTTACAAAATCTTTTTAGAAAGTCAACGTGGAGACAAGAAGCGAGAGTGAGTCAAGTGATGTGTCAAGTGAAGAGTCGACTGATGAACGGACTGAATCAGAGAAAGATCCGGAGAATATGGCGGATGCGGTAGAGTTTCCCAGCCCAACTCTTCGAGTTTTTCCTGAACAATCTTTGCAACGTGTGGACTTTCGATTTTTTTCGACTTTCGATTTTGATTTTCGAAAACAATGTGATCCGGGTTTACAGAAAAAAAATCTCATTATCTCGGCGTAAAGCTTTCTGTGGACGGGCGGAACGTGTGGACGGGCGTTATCTTGAATGAACTTTATGTTTGAAGGATCAAGGCCTTTTTGTAGCAATACATTGTTCACTGGTTACAGTTGTTGTGCATACGTTTCACCCGTGATTGTATGTCCAGGTTTACGCAGCTCAAAATAAACAATACCTTGGAAATTCCACCAGACAGTAAGCATTACTTTCTTGTCATGGAAGTCGGGTTTTGGTGTTGGTATTGGCTCCTCACCAGGTTCTAGCCATTGCCGGTTTCGTGTAGAATTTTCATATTGAATCCATTTTTCATCGCAAGTAAGGCTTTCATCGTAAAACCCAGTATTTTTTGCCAAACGAAGAATACCCGCCATAGTGACACGAGTAGCTTTATTGGCATTGCTGAGAAGATGAGGAACCCATTTTCCTTGTCGGCTTGTTTTCCCCAATTGATTTAAATGCTCGGAAATTGTTTGAGGGCTTACTCTAAATATTTCTGCAAGTTCCCGTGTAGTTTGTCGAGGATCCATTTCTATCGCCGGCTTCAGTCAAAAAAGAAGAGAGCACCTTTCATCGTTTTTTTATCCATTCTTTATCTTTTTTTAAGCTGTATCGTTTCATTTTTGTAGTTTGTAGGCGATAGAAACTACTGCACTACACGCCTACTGCAGTACTGCATTATCGATCGAAAACCGAACTAGGGCAGGCCACAGAAAG